TTCCTGCTCCTCCAAAAGGAGCTTGACATCAACTTGACATTTGGTTACGCCAGTCCAGCCAAAATTAACATTTAAGTGTGATTCCTAATGTTATTAAGTGATATTAAACACTATTAGATACTATTTTTGCATTGAAGAAATATTGAAAAGCTTTTCTTAACAATTTTTCATAGAGAAAAGTGGCCAAATGACAGATTGTCGACTAGCGCTCATTCAAGCGCTTGTTAAATGAGTTGTACAAGTCGAATCGGGATGTTTTTGGTAGATAAATGTTGCCGAGAATTAGGCCTACAATTCTCTGTATAACACTTGCCACTTTTGAAATAAACTAGACATTTCCCAGATACTCTTCCAAAAAGTTGTTGCGGTAATTCGTGGTCACTCTGTAGGTTACGATAGCTTTTTTGGAGGCTTTTTTTTTTAGTTTTTTTGGTGTTGTTTACGAGAGAATCGAAATGATTCATTTTGTTCGATTAAATTACAAGTTTTTGCTTTCGCTTTAAAGAAAAAACTTTCAAAAGCACCTGCTCTATTACAAGATCATTTTTGACTTCTGTTATTGTGTAAAAGAACTCTTATTCTTTGCTTTATCCAAAAAAATTTTTAAGGTGTTGTTTACGAGAGAATTGAAATGATTCAGTCATAAAAAGAACGAATTTTTATTTTTATTAGTGCAAAGGGTTGAGCGATAGGAGAGGGAAACGGGATTGAAAGCAATCACTGATAAGTCATCAAAGCTGAAAAGAAAAGACTAAAATAAGCTCTGTCAATAGGTTCTACGACACAGAAAGCCTTTGGCATAAATTTTCTAACAGTAAAACTTTGGGGAAACATTTCCAGAGAAAAAAGAGAAAACCCCGTGAGGGGCCGGGTGTTCTTTGTGCGCGGGCACAATCGCTCGTCTTCTGGCACAGGCTCGAGATAGATAGGGTTCCTTCTGGCCTCTGGCATGGATCGGGCAAATGAGCGGTGCGCGACTAGGCGTCCAGCGACTAGGCGTCCAGCGACTAGGCGTCCAGCGACTAGGCGTCCAGCGACTAGGCGTCCAGCGACTAGGCGTCCAGCGACTAGGCGTCCAGCGACTAGGCGTCCAGCGACTAGGCGTCCAGCGACTAGGCGTCCAGCGACTAGGCGTCCAGCGACTAGGCGTCCAGCGACTAGGCGTCCAGCGACTAGGCGTCCAGCGACTAGGCGTCCAGCGACTAGGCGTCCAGCGACTAGGCGTCCAGCGACTAGGCGTCCAGCGACTAGGCGTCCAGCGACTAGGCGTCCAGCGACTAGGCGTCCAGCGACTAGGCGTCCAGCGACTAGGCGTCCAGCGACTAGGCGTCCAGCGACTAGGCGTCCAGCGACTAGGCGTCCAGCGACTAGGCGTCCAGCGACTAGGCGTCCAGCGACTAGGCGTCCAGCGACTAGGCGTCCAGCGACTAGGCGTCCAGCGACTAGGCGTCCAGCGACTAGGCGTCCAGCGACTAGGCGTCCAGCGACTAGGCGGCGAGTTTTCAGCGTTACTATACCCAAATTTTTCAATCATTCCAAAGGATCAATTCTCCAAAGGATATTCTTGTGGCTACAAGACTCACTTAAAGTACCAGCAAAACGGGGGTGGGACAAAAGCGATCTTTTATTTGCGCACCCGACCCAAAAGCGCACCCCCAAAAGCGCACTCGACCCAAAAGCGCACCCGCCCAAAAGCGCACCTTTTCAAAAGCGCACCCGACCCAAAAGCGCACCCGTCCCAAAAGCGCACCTTTTCACTGTTGTTTTTTTGGCTTTTTGCAAATCAATACAAAACCAAAAATTCCAAATTTATTTTCCCATGATTATTAGACTAATGTATTTTGTTTCCGGTGCCAAAAATGAACTTCTAATTGTACTTTTGCTTCTTTATACCTTCAATAACAACCTAACCATTTAACAGTAAAACATTTAGCAGTAAAACAACGACATAAAACAGACAAAAGTAACAATAACACAACTTAAAAACATGGCAACATTACCGAGAAACAATATGAGGCAAGAGTTGAGATAAATGTTGAACATGAGACACATTATTTCTACCATTAAGTACAGCATGAAACCTAAGATTCTGACGATGAACAACACGATTAGTTTGAGGATACAACTGACCAAGCGAGAGATTTCGTCCATTGGCAAGTTTTAGCCTGTTGATAGCATTTGACATTTCTTTAAAAAGGCGACAAACAGTGAAGCTTGGATGTGGGTTCTTTGGGCCAATCTAAAAAACGAATAAAAAAGCTTGAATCAACAAAATACCTTTAGCAACGAGTTGAACGATTCATGTGTTGAATTCCCGAGTTGTTCTGATTGAAGCACACGGGAATAAACGCTCCATTTCTCCACATCAAACGTCGCAGGCTGGCGAAAGGCTCCATTTGGTCCGTGCTGACATTTTCCGACATAGTTCTTTTCAATAAAGGCGAAAAACTCTAAAACTAAAATAAAAACGAAAAAACAAAATTTTAGTAGTATAAGTGGTACAACTTACTTTTTACAGCCCGAAAATTTGTGCCAAGCGGTGGTGGTGAATTGTGAGCTGACAAGACAACAGCGTCAAAATAGTCGGGCACTTCTTGCGGTTCCACCAATGCGAGAGCCATCATTGACTGAAGATGTCCTTTGCCGAAAGGAGTTTGCACGAGAGAAGAAAGGCCACGTTTCTAAATTTCAACGTTAATTACAAAGGATAACACATATTTTAAACTTGCCTTAATATTTCGTAAAATATTTTGGTGAAAGTGAAACACACAATACTGATGAGCGACTCCGGCGCCATAAACCTGCTGATAACCTTGAAAAATCGCTCGCTCAAAGTCTACAAAGCAACATTAAACAAAGAAAATGCTGCACCTACCTGTCATTAGTTTTGTTGGTGCAGGAATATTTTCCGACAAAATGTAACGAAAGACTGCTTCGTAGCACTGGGCGGACTTTCCACTCAACAGAGCAAAAACACACGGTAAGAATAGGTGTTCTTTCTAAATTGATACACACATTAGTAAACTCCTTTTGCCACTTACTTGGATTCCAATGATGAACAGTTGAGCAAAGTCTGCCGGACACGAGTAAAATGTGCCATCGGCCGTCCAAGAACGATTCTATACATTCAATTAAACAGAGATTTCATAAAATAATCTTACCTTTCGTAATAGATCGAGTCCAACATTGTGCGCGTAGATTTTCACCGCTGCGTGATCACCCTGCTGGTGCTGCGCACATGTATCAACCCTTTCAAACAGTGCACCTAATGAAATAACTGTCTTTTACTAAGAAATCACAACCAACCATAAGTTGAGCAGTCAATCGGATGAGGCCACGTTGTTGTGGAGGCTCTCTTTGCCACCCGTTTTGCTACTTTCGCCAACGCTTTTTCATTCACAAACGGCTTTAAATGATCTTCTGCCTCTTTGATCACGCTTGTTTCGATGTGGCGAATCGGTGTTCCCATTTTTGCGTGATGTTTCACGACTTTCTTTAATTTACGCATCTAAAAGAGAAAGGATATTCGTCAAAAAAAAAATGTTTACCTCTTTGGCGTAGTTGGTTGGCATATGATTATGCATACCTTCGCATTGTACCAAATTTGAATTCACCGTTAGCTTTGCAAGTATTCCACACTTTTTTACAAGGCATCTAAATCAAATTTTTAAACTTAAAACTATCTAAATAGTACCTGTAAATGGGTCCCTTTTTCACCGTCTCTTTGTGCTTGCGAAATTCGAAGCCCATAGCATCGTAGAAGATCTTTTTGTTTTTGTTGCTTCGAGGCGTATCGGTGAGCACCCTAGAAAAAGTGCTAGTGATTGTAAAAGTGAACAAATGCAAGAAAAGTAAATTTAAACTGTTTAAAATCTTACCGCTTATGTGGATTTCCCGACATTGTGCTGAAGCTCTCAATTTGTCTGTTTTGCAACTGAAAACACAAAAGAGGAGTGGCTACTTTGTGCCAAATTTTTTGCGCAACTCGCCATAACTTTCTTCTAAGTGGGCTAGTCTTTATGATTTTGGCGTCATTTTGTAGAACTCAACAAGTGCAACAAAATGACACTAAAATCATAAAGATGAGCAAAATTTATGGCGAGTTGCGCAAAAATTTGGTTCAAAGTAGCCACATTGTAAAAAAATGAGCAAACGCGATTAAAAACGTCAGAAACACTTGGAGAAAAAAATGGAAAAAAAAAATGGAATTTTGCTTTTGTATTGATTCGCGAAAAGCAAAAAAACCACAGTGAAAAGGTGCGCTTTTGGGTCGGGTGCGCTTTTGGACGGGTGCGCTTTTGGGTCGGGTGCGCTTTTGGGTCGGGTGCGCTTTTGAAAAGGTGCGCTTTTGGGGGTGCGCTTTTGGGTCGGGTGCGCAAATAAAAGATCGCTTTTGTCCCACCCCCGCAAAACGAACGAAAAAATTTAGCTAAATCTAGCCAAACTCTAGCTTGTCATTAGTTGACCAGTGATCATTATTCTGTCCTCTCCCCTCCCCTCTTCGACTCGCTCATTAGTTAACTTGTTTTTTTTCCACTCTCGAATCACTCAACTCTTCAAAAAGCCATGAAAAAAAGCCATGAAAAAAAAGCGATTTTTTAAGATCTCTCATCGATTTTCACTCTCGTCAAGCGCTTTCCTTTCCCCCTCAATTCCCTCTTTCATCAAATCGAAAAACTCTCGTGAACAAATATAGGCGAAAATTGTGAAAATTGTGAAAATATACAGCTAAAGTCCATGAAAAAACCGGGAAAACATTAGTTTTTTTCAATTTTCGATCCCATTTTTTCTTTTCAGTTAACTTCTCACAATCTGCAACAATCGGCCGCCCAAAATGCCCTTTTGACGCAAATTTTGAAGAGCCCGGTGCTGCAAAGTGGGTTTTCCTTTTTGGAATTAAAATTAGATTAAATCATACGAGCTAATAGTAAAGTTTATGAGAAACTTTGTATCAAAAAAAAAATTCTACAGTCTATCAATGAAATTTTTTAGATTTCTCAATGGCCACCCCGACGCCGACAAAGATTCTCAACCCACAACCCTGGGAAGTTTCAAGCGCACAAAAACAATACGCTCAGGGATTTATTGGTTCGTTTTTTTGGTGCTCTTTGCAGGAATTTAGCAGAAATTTGTAAATGGATTGATATCATTCATATCATATCATTAAATGCCATTAAATGCCATTAAATGAATTATCATTAAATGCCATTAAATGCCATTAAATGCCATTAAATGCCATTAAATGAATTATCATTAAATGCCATTAAATGCCATTAAATGATATCATTAAATGCCCAAAATCTTTCTCTCTCGATACGTACAAAAACTATTGAAATTCGACCAATCAACACAAAGAAATTTTGAGCCTAAAGTTAGATTGACAATCTGTACTGTACTTTGTACTGTACTGATCTGTAGTTTGTGCTCGTCACATTTGAAACACACCCTTTATCGTGCACTGAATCCGTACAAAAGCCACTAGAATGAAAGCCCATAGAAGTCTTTTCCAGATGCCCTTCGTCACATTCAACAACTCGAGAATTTCAAGTATGACACGAATTTGGTCTCTCCATCTTTGGTCGCTCCAATCTTGAGCACACAATCCGAACTCTTGCGAAGCCCGCTTTTATCCCCGACGGCACCATTGTAAGTTTTTCTTTTATTTTATTTAGGTCTAAGATTTCCTAAAAGTGAACTGCTGGAAGAAAACTTTAAACTTTAACTTGAACTATTTCAGAAGTTCAAGTTAAAGTTTAAAGTTTTCATCCTGAATCTCTTCCAGCATTTCATCCCTCTTCCAGCATTTCATCCCTCTTCCAGAATCTCTTCCAGCAGTTCACTTTTAGGAAATCTTAGACCTAAATAAAAGAAAATAAGTAAAATAGTAAGAAAAAAAGTAAAATAGCTGCCGAAAAGAATTTTGCATTATTGAAAAGCATTCCAGAGATCTCCAAGCTGTCATGCAAGCTCTAGGCGGCAATCCGTTGACTCCAGTCTGTTCGGCGCCGAGCCTTCTCCTATCCAAAAACGAGTCAAGTCTCGTCGATTCGGCTACGGTAAGTCAAAAGTATTGTAAAGTCTCATTTCCTCGCTACAGTATTAGATGACTGGTTTGAGAAAGAACTGAACAAGATTTGTTGAGAATTTTTCATTCTTTTCCATTCTTTTCCATTTTTAGACAAGCGCCTCGTTGACCTCGACGCTAAGCCAACTACCGCCCGCTTTTCTACAGGTAAATTACTACGAGTTAAAATTTAAACTGATAGATAAACTGATAATCATAATATGTCAAAATAATCTAGACAACTCAAAATTCAACTCTCAAAAGATTCGTTAGTTATTGAATAAATCAGAATTTGAAGTTTTTCTCATGGATAACTTGGCTCAAAAACTGCTATTTTAAACAGCTCTTTTCACCCTTTTTATTCACATCGATCTTCATCAATCCATAGCTAACTGGCTAAGAGCTTTATATCCTAGTAGCTCAAGTAGCTCAAGGGTTCGATCCCGCCACCTAAATTTTTCCCTCTTTTTCCCTCTTTTTCCCATGTTTTTCGTTTCTTTTTCGTACTTTCTTTAAAAAATAACAAATTCACCAATTAACCTACCGTAAATACTGTAATTGGACCCCACTCCCCTCGTACAGTCGCGTAGTCGCAAAAGTTTTTAGTATTTCATTTTTTTCAAAGCGCTCGTACTTTCAAAAAATGCGTCTTTGGTATCAAAAAATAGCTGAAATTCAGGGCTATTTTTTGTTACCTAAACGAACATTGTAGCATAAACCAGTGTCGAGAAAAACTCGTTCAAAGCTAGACTACGCAGCACTCCGCACCGTCATTATGGGCGGTGGGGTACTATTACAGTATTTACGATATAGTTTCCTGTAAATAAAAAGTGTTTATTGTTGAATTGCCGATCTTTTAAAGTCAATTTCGTTTCACTTTCAAGCAAATTCAAGAGAGAAAACGGATGTTTTTGTAAAAATCTATTAAAAATCCTCTTGGAAAAAAAAATTGGCTGAATGAATTTCTCTAAAAATTTCGCTATATAATAAACTTTTTATGCTCTTTTATCTATTCATATAAAGATAGGTTTTCTTAGCTAAAGTCCCCTAAGCTACATTATCAAGTTATCCATAAAACATTGGCTTTTCTTTTGAAATAAATGATAGTTCAATTTGTCTATTTGTTGGCTTTTAAACTGGAAACACGAAAAGAAAGGAAATGGCTTTTTGGATAGAAAAATTACAAAAAACTGAACTAGAGTATTGATATGTTGAAAGCAGAATTGAAAAAATGATGTTGATGAGTCGGCTTTTGCAGGCCTCCTCTCTGCCGGTGCTGCCCTCACTCGCCCCGTCGACCACTGCGAGCACTCCATCCTCCTCCTCGTCATCTTCAATTCCATCGTCATCCACTCTTCCCACAAATCTTTCCCTTCCCGCTCCGTTGCCTCATTTCTTCAAAAATAATCACCAAATGATGAGCGCGCAATTGGATCTGAAGCCGACGCCTCCGCCAATCGTTGAAATGCCCGTCAATCGAGAGATCAAAATTGAGGTAAACAATTTTTCGTTTTTAAATTCGACATCCCATTTTTGACAATCCCCAAAACTAAAAAAACAAATTTTAACTTGAAAACTAAATGCTGATATACTCGAAATGAACTCTCTTGATCATTAGAAAATCAAAATTCAAAACGCTTTCGATTCAAACCGCTAAACCGATTCGCGATTTGAAGCCTCTAAAGCCTTTTAGATTAAATCTCTTTTCAAAAAAAAAATCGCTATTATTCAGCTAGAAAAACGAAAGCATAATTTCTAGGAATAAGAAGAAAAGGGAAAATTTAGAACTTTAGAACTTTAGAACTTTAGAACTTTAGAGCTTTAGAGCTTTAGAGCTTTAGAGCTTTAGAGCTTTAGAACTTTAGAGCTTTAGGGCTTTAGGACTTTAGAAATTTAGAACTTTAGAACTTTAGAGCTTTAGAGCTTTATAGCTTTAGAGCTTTAGAGCTTTAGAGCTTCAGAGCTTTATAGCTTTAGAAATTTAGAGCTTTAAAACTTTAGAGCTTTAGAGCTTTAGGGCTTTAGGACTTTAGAAATTTAGAACTTTAGAGCTTTAGAGCTTTATAGCTTTAGAAATTTAGAGCTTTAGAGCTTTATAGCTTTATAGCTTTCTATTTATTAGTCTCCTCCATCTCTGTTCACCTAGTGACATTTAGAAAATCGAGTAAAAATGTAGTAGGAAGAAGTTTTCAAGTAGAATATTTCGAGTAATTCCATGCTCAACCTAATTTCACCGTCGTTTTCTTCGCTGATACCTTTGAACTTTGAAATTTTGAATAGAAAATCCGAGATTTTCAGCTTATAGACAAAATTTTAAAGTAATCGGCCAAGAAACGAAGAAAACGAAGATGGAATTAGGTTTAGATTAGAATTTTCCTTTGCCTAGTAACTCCTCGTTTTCTAAAACATGCCCTCTTTCTCTTTCTACCGTAATCTATTCTCTATTTTTATCGAATCAATCTACTTTTTGATTGATTTTTGATTGATTGATTTTTATTGAACCAACTTTTTATCTAATTCTCTTCATAAAGCATGCAAAAAGTGAATAGATTTCATAAAAGAGAAAGCGAGCGATCTACTCTATATAAAAGTGTGCTTGTTTGTTTGTCTGTCTGTCTGTACAGGCATTTTCACCGCAATGGCCAAAGAAAGGGAGATTTTTTAGAAAAACGAGTACTGTAGGAAGAAGTTTGCAAATGAAATATTTAATTTCAATAGAAATTTCAATATGTCTAGATCCCTGCACCTCGTGCCGGTTCCGAGGACTCAATGTCCTCTCGCTCATCGTCAACTGGCCCATCATCGTCAGGCGCACGGTTTCACTCATCCCGCGATGATCCAATGGATGGGTGAGTTTTTAGAAAAACCCATCTCAGCTCAGCTCATCTACCGTAATCCAAGTTTATACCATCTCTAGCGATCTACTATATATATATATATATATGTTGTGTCCGATTTAGATTTCCGTCCGATTTAGTCCGACTTATATATATTTTTCAAAGGTCTGTTACTGTCTTTTTCTGAAAAGAAAACCCAACTATGAAATAATCAATAAAAGACCTTTGAAAATGCAGAAAACTACAGAAAACGCTTAAGAACATATACTAAACATGTTTATATTATTGTTCAATCTATATAAGACGTCCGATTTAGATTGAGTCGTCCGATATAGACTGTAATCTAAATCGGACGTCCGCGATAAGTTCAATCTAAATCGGACGTCCGATTTAGATTCAATCTAAATCGGACACAACATATATATATATGCTTTATTCAGTTGAATAGCGACAAGACAAAATCACAATAATTACCCGGGACACCACTCAAAACACACCCAAAAGATAAATGGATACCTCAAGAAAGAATCACAGAGCAGTCAAATCAATTGACGAAAATTGCGGCTTTAAATCTAGCCACGGGGAAAATGTGCAGTGTTTCCGTAAAGCATTACTCATAGATATCTTTGTTCCCAAAGCAAGCAGCAAAAGCCAATGGATACTCTCCATAATAGGCGTAACCTGGAATTAAGATCGGATTGGAATAATTAAGAAACTAAACAATCTACAAACTTTAAAGCTATCAATTTCTAAGCATTTCTAATTTCTCCCCCCTTTTCTTTCCTTCTTTCTCTTGTGCAGTGTTTCCGTAAAGCATTACTCACTCTTATCAACCAAATTTTTCGTGATTTTTACACATATTTTCATTTTTTTCTTGCCCCGATTTCCGGAAATCGGATCGGATTGTAAACCGACAAAAAAATCAGCATACTTTCCATCTTTCAAATTCAACTTATTCAAGTATTAAAGTAATTATGATTTTAAGATTAAAGATCATTAAAAATTCTTCTTTTTTTTTAACAAAAAGTCAAAAATTTTCTTTCTTTATTCAAAAAAATCAGTTTTCAAACTAGCCAAGCTTTTTGATAAACTTTAGACCATCCGTTTTCAAACTGAGGAATTCAAAATTCCCCAGTCAAACTGAGGAATTCAAAATTCCCCAGTCAAACTGAGGAATTCAAAATTCCCCAGTTTTTTTTGCTTTGTCTTCACAAATTCCCCTCGTCAAAATAATCAATTTCGTTTTATTTCACGAAAAGAAATCACCTAAAAACCAGTTTTAATGAAAAGAAAAATGATTTTTGTGATGAAATGAACATCTATGCGCCATCTATACGCTATTTATTGAATCCTACAGTAGCCTAGAGTTCACAACACTCTTCTCAATAGTTATTTCTTTTCCAAAAGACACAGGATACAGTAGCTTTACACTTAAACACACTTGCGCACTTTTAGAGAACAACTCTAGCTGATAGATGATTAGATTTGAATGCTGTAGCTGTTGAACGTTGAAAGTTGAACGTTAAACTTCTTGGCCGGTATTTGAGTTGATTTAGATTAGATTAGGTGTCTTTGATTAGATTTTTTTTGATTAGATTTCTTTGATTAGATGTTCAACGTTAAACTTCTTGGCCGGTATTAGATTTTCAAATACGGATCTAAATTGCATAAAGGAACAACCAATCAAAAGCAATCAAAGCAATCAAAGCAACCAAAACAATTCAAGTCTAATCATCTATCAAAACACACCTCAGGGTGTTCCCCTTGGAAAAACACGAGCACGGAGATGACGCATAGGGAAGGCCAAAAAAAGAGGCAAAAAAAGAGGCAAAAAAAGAGGCCAAAAAAGGCTTTCCCGAATCCCTCTTCTTCCAATCTTTCCCTTTTTTCCCGATCTTTTCGCAGGCGATTTCTCCATTCTATTTTCCAAAAAGGGGCGAGGGATAGGGTTGTGCAGGGATGGGCAGAACAGGCCGTGCAGGGATGGATTGGATAGACTTGAACACCTCCTCCAGTGACTCACACCCCCACCCAGACCTGGGAAAACTCGTTTAGAACCTAAAAACAGATAAATTAGTATATTGTACTTGTATCTTGAATACTAATAGAATTTGAAGGCTAGAATTGGAATACTATTAGAATTTGATTGACTTCACTAGAGCTCTTCCAGAATCCAACTCTTCTAGAATCCAACTCCTCTAGAATCTAACTCTTCTAGAATCCAACTCTTCTAGAATCCAACTCTTCTAGAATCCAACTCTTCTAGAATCCAACTCTTCCAGAATCCAACTCCTCTAGAATCTAACTCTTCTAGAATCCAACTCTTCTAGAATCCAACTCTTCTAGAATCTAACTCTTCTAGAATCCAACTCTTCTAGAATCCAACTCTTCTAGAATCCAACTCTTCTAGAATCTAACTCTTCTAGAATCCAACTCCTCCAGAATCGAACTCTTCTAGAATCCAACTCCTCTAGAATCTAACTCTTCTAGAATCCAATTCTTCTAGAATCTAACTCTTCTAGAATCCAACTCTTCTAGAATCCAATTCTTCTAGAATCCAACTCTTCTAGAATCCAAGAACCCCTCCTCTGCTTTTCTCTCAAAACTTTTCTAGAATAGAGTATTTTTAAGATAGAATTTTCAAAGTCTAACAATTTTGGCTACGATTTTAAACGCCTACAATTGTAAGTGTCACTTTTTAATGGTTTTCCATTTCCAAAAACTCTTTTAATGCAATGTAGTTGACCATTTTAAACCTTTTTTTCGACTTCTATGACTTAATGACACTTACTGAGCTTATAGTTAAGCTTTACTGTAAGTTCTGTGTAAGTCAGAAGGTCTAACAAAGCATAGATTGAGTTTAGAGTTTAATGAAGGCCAATGCCGAGTGTTTGCGATGTTTCCAAAAAATCGACAAAAGCAATTTTAGTTAAATTCGTTTTTTTTCTTCTATCTGGATGTCACCCTAAACAAGGATTCGATTTTTTTTTGATTTTCAACAAAACATTTGTACTCGATGTGGAGGGCGGTCCGCAGCCGGTCGGCTGGCTGACACAACGGTGACTCAGAGCCTTTTCCCCTCTTTCTTCTTCTTCCCACCCCACACATCTTTCCATCTCTATTCAACGCGTTTCTCCCAATCTCTCTTTCGTCTCTCAATTCCCCCAACTCTCTGCCCATTCTTCGTTTCCCCCGCCATCTCTCTACCCCTTTCTTCTCATTCGAAGACGTACAGTGCACCACAGCTCGCTCTTTTCTCCACCCCCACCCCTCGAAACCATTCCCCTTTGAATATTCCTTATTCACTCTTATTACCGTACTCTTAAAAATGTACGGATACGGTAGTCAACCGTCTACTATCCAACATTACCCTCAACCACCAATCCATTCACATCAAACCTATGTACCCATGGAACACAAGTCAGTTTTTCAAGACTTTAAGGGATAGGCTACTTTGCGATAAATTTTTTGGGTCATTTGCGGTCATTTGCGGGTCATTTGCGGGTCATTTGCGAAGCTGAATCATTTGCGCAACTAGGCCGTTTGTGCAACTCACCATAACTTTCTTCTAGGCCCCTCCAATCTTTATGATTTGGGGTTTCATTTTGTTGCACTTATTGAGATCTATAAAATGAAACCAAAATCATAAAGATTCGCCGACCTAGAAGAAAGTTATGGCGAGTTGCGCAAATGACCCTGTTGCGCAAAAAAATTTTGACGTAAAGTAGCCTACCCCGACTTTAACCTTAAAAAAACAAAAATTGCCTATTTCCTTTTCGACAGTAAGCTTGCTTTTTAATTCTCTAAATTCTCCTTTCTTATATCGTATTGATTTATATCCATAATCTTGAGCTCATTTTGATTGCCCTACTAGCTTAGTTGCCTTTAGCTGAATATCGTATAGCTCTTATATCGTATTGATTTATATCCATAATCTTGAGCTCATTTTGATTGCCCTACTAGCCTATTCGCCTCTGGTTGAATAACATTTTTATACTACCTTTTTTTCTTTTATAAGTTCTAAATTGCATTAATTTATTTTCCATTAAATTCCATTAATCCATTAATTTCGAGGAATTGTTTAGTTTATCAGAAAATCTTTTAGACTTTTTTTTACCTTTAACCTTCAATTACTTTACCTTCGAATTTTAGTTTTAAATCGAAACTCTTCTTCTGATTGCCTACCGTTTCCTTAAAACTTAGCTGAATATCATTTTATTAAAGCTTTACATTCCGCAAAAATCTTAAGAAAAAAAATCTTTTCGATTTACGAAATCTCAATTGCTGGTTGTTGGGAAATGTGTTGCGAAATGGGTTTTGTCAAAGAAAAAAAGCTTACGAAAGCTTAAGAAAGCTTAAGAAAGCTCACGAATTCGTTAGATCAATTCAATTGATCAATTCTAAGCATCTTTTCAAGAAATAAAACTAAACATTGCAAAATTTTATCCAATTTTTAGTCAACGATTCTTTTTGATGTATAAAATAGCTTTTGATGACTCATAGATCGACACCAAATTTCATTTTCTTTCGTATGACTCATTTTCTGGATTTGATTTGAGGAAAAGAAAACAATAGAAAGAAGGAAAAAGAGAGAAAAGAGGGAAAAGAGAGAAAAGAGGGAAAACTGGTTAAACAGCTTTAACTTTAACTTTAACTTTAACTTTAACGTTAACCTTACTTTACTTAAACCTAAACTTAAACTTAAACTTGAACTTGAACTTGAACTTAAACTTTAGCTTTAACTTTAACTTTAACTTTAACTTTAACTTTAACCTTAACCTTACTTTACTTGAATAATTTTCGATCTTAAAGTGGAAGAAACGAGTTGAAACGAGTCAAAACAAGTGCTATCTCATAAATCTCATTTCGATAGGGTTATTGGTGATTTGTTAAATCTTTTTTTCTAAATCACAAATCACAAATAAAAAATACCGACTGGGGCTACCAGTGGTGAATTTATCGCATACACGAAATATATCAATCACAATACAACGACACACACAATACTAGGCTATATCTTAACTTAACCCACGTCATGACAGACGGCTCCCTAACCCTAAGCTCAATGGGGAACTAAATAGCTTTTTTGGTGGTGAAGGGAAGATGACGATGAAGGAGTCGAGAACAAAAAGGAAGTCTAGACAAATGACTCTAGAAATCGAAAATTCAACATTTTTCAGTCATTTAATATCATTTATTTTGAAATCTTTAAGCAAAATAAAGATTTTAATTTAATTTAAATCTTTATTCTGATTTAAATAAAATAAACACTAAAATTTGCCCATTTTCTCATTTTCTCATCTCAGAGCCATTCAAAAATCTATAAACGATTGAGAATCGATGGGAAAAACCCCCCGAAAATCTTTTCCTATTGTATAGCTGGATTGAAAAAAAAAAAATGGGGACAAGTATAGGGGAAAAGAGGAAAAGATCTTTTGAGGAAACGAGAGAATAGAATAGAAGGAAAAGAGGAAAAGAGAGAATAGAATTGAAAGATTGAGGAAAGGAGTGTCAATCCAGCGAATAAAAGGAATAAAACGGAATCGAGCAAACATTTGTGTCTCTTTTTTTTTTTTAAAAGAACCATCGACCTAAACCTCAACTCATTGAAAATTTCATTCAATGACTTTCATTGAAAGTTATGTGCTTCGTGCTCATTCCTAAACACAGCCTTTCTAGTGCACGTGTTTCTTCGCCTTTCTTTATTCCAGAAAATTCATCAAGTGCATCAGAAAGTTTCCGTTTTCACAAGCACAAAGTACAAAGCAAGGCACTAAGGATTACGGGATTCGATTCTAAGTTCTCTAGTTCTAAAGTCTATAACATTTCGGGGTCTATAACATTTAAGATTCTTAGCTTCAGCTATTCTTAGCGATCTAAATGCCAATGTTGGGAAACTGGACCAGATCGAATATTGAAAAGTACCGACACAAACGGATCAAACTAATATCTTGAAGCAAGCTGTCTGCAAAGCTTCTTCTAGCTTCTTCTAGCTTCCTCTAGCTTCCTCTAGCTTCCTCTAGCTTCTTCTAGCTTCTCCTAGCTTCTCCTAGCTTCCTCTATCTTCTTCTAGCTTCCTCTAGCTTCCTCTAGCTTCCTCTAGCTTCCTCTAGCTTCCTCTAGCTTCTTCTAGCTTCTTCTAGCTTCCAACAAACACTCAGTGATCAAAGCAAATTTTTAAGCTCTGACTAATTGTTGAGTTCACTAGAAGCATACTCCAGAGAAATTATGACTAAAATGCATGTGTGTTTTTGTTTTCCCCTCCAAAACCCTTCCCTTCTGACTCATTTTCCCAAGTGTCCAATTTTCCGCAAAATTTCCCCCACTTTTGCCAATCTGATAAAGAAAAATGACTCATTTTTCCCTAACTTCCGATCGACACAAAAACATTTTGAAGATAACAAATCGTAAAATCTTCTAGAGTTTCCAGAAAATTTTCAGGAAAAATCAAGAAATCCGTTCCCACCGGAACCCGAACCCCCCACCTTTCATTTACCAGCCAACTGTGCTAACCATTACACCAAAACGCACCTAGTCTCCCTTACTTCAAAGGGAGTTAAGTTCCCTCCTCTCTGGACGAAACGGTTCCACACGTCGCGATTTATAGGCCTGGGTGCACCTAGGTATGCTGGCTAAGGCACCTTAGCCAGCATTGCAGAGCAGAGCCCATCCTTCCGTGATCGCCAGGCCAGGCCGATCAAAAATTTGAGCACCGTCGGGACTCGAACCCGGCGACCTTTCATTTACCAGCCAACTGTGCTAACCATTACATCAAAACGCATTTAATCTCCGTTACTTTAGAGGGAGATTAAAACGAAAGGTGGCGGGTTGGAGTCCCGGTGGGAACGGATTTCTTGATCCGCCCTAATTCTAACTAATTCTAACTCGTTACGAAATTGCACCAAATCCGAAATCTAGTTTTAAAACTTAGCTTTCGAGAATCACTGTAAGACTACTGTAATCTGATGAGACTACAGTAATCCGGGAATATTGACAGCTATAGTAAGCTACAAAAACCCTGAATACGTTCATTGTCATGTAAAGTAATCGATCAGAGTACAGCGCTTAGTATTAAACAGATTAGATTACTGTATAGATATAGATTAGATTACTGTATAGATATAGATCAGATTACTGTAAAGATATAGATCAAATTACTGTATTCTTTTAAAAATAAGAACTAATATCACTACAGTAAACATTTTACTTTACTATTAGGCATTGAGAGTACTGTATTCTTTTTAAAATAAGAACTAATGACGTTACAGTACCCCGTTTGTGTATTTATATTTACCAATGGAGCAAAGCGGGGCGGTTCACTTCAAAAGGGATTTACCACCACCTCTTTCCCCTTTTCCCCTTTTCACTAAACGATCAAAAAGGGGAAAATGATCGCATCGACACGTTTTCTTAAGAGCTTAACCCTTTTTAGGAATAAAAAAAGACCCTTTCATGAGTCTGCTTGCTTGTTTAGACACAAATATCGGATTATACGATCCCGATTTTCTTCGGCATATGCTTAGCGCCTCGTTATTGGCTCATTTGCTATTTCTTTTTTTCGATATTGGGAATAGTTGAGAGCAAATTAGATGTAAAATTGTCTAATTGAAAGGCAAAAAGTTGTTTAATAGTGCCAGGAAAAGGTTAAATAAAGTATTTCTCGTTGCACAGTGTGACAATATCTGGCTTGTATACAGTATCCTTAAAATTGTATTGTAAAATTGTCTAATTGAAAGGTGAAAAGTTGTTGGATAGCGCCAGGAAAGGATAAATAAAATAAATAAAGGATTTCTAGTTGCACAGTGTCACAATATCTGGCTCCTAATAACGCCAGTATCCTCAAAATTATATCAATATCTTTGTTCCACTAGTACTACCCTCGTTTACTAGTACTAGTGTTCTCTCAGAAGCTTAACACCAGTAAACCGTATTTTCTCTAATAGTAGTGCACCGCGGCGAGCCGAGTTGGTGACGATTTTATCGTTTCTAAGTTCTCTCAGAAGCTTAACACTTTAAAAACTAACTAGATCTCATCGTCAGCTACATTTTCCGACCCCACATCGATAGGTTCTGATAAGTGGTTCTCGAGATTTTGAGGGATTTAAACGAAGCTTAAGGTGCATTAATACTAGAGAAAATACGGTATTTATAGTACAGTATTCGTTACTTTGATAGACTTTATAGTAGACTTCGGAAAACAAAACTTAACCAAAACCAAAACCATAACAAAACCAAAACCAAAACCAAAACCAAAACCAAAACTAACCAAAACCAAAACCAAAACCAAAACCAAAACTAACCAAAACTCGCCAATATCTCGCGACTGGGAGGAGCTAGCGAAAATCTGTTTGCAGATTTGAAATCAGCATCCAAAAATCTATCCCATAGGCTATTTTTTGTTTCGAAATTTCGAGGTCGTGTTTTGGTCCTTTTTTCGGCCGCGAGATTTTGTGGAGTGAGAAAAAGTGAAAGGCAAATTTGCATTTTACATTAAAATTTGCATTTTGCAATTTTAAATTTACATTTTACAATTCTAAATTTACATGTTAATTTATATGCAAATTGAGTTTTGGTTTGTTTTGGTTTTGGTCTGTTTTGGTCTGTTTTGGTTTTGGTTTTGGTTTTGGTGTTTTGGTTTTGGTCTGTTTTGGTTTTGGTTTTGTTTGCCGAAGTCTACTTTATAGTACAGTACTTCTTACTTTGATAAAGTACCTTTTTTTCTGTACAAAGCTAAAACACTGCGAAAATAATGATAAAATACAGATTTCAAGAATCAATCTTTCCAAAATCAATCGATTTTTTTTTTATAAACTTTTGTCCATTTGAATGTTTAGAATATATTTGAATCACATCTGTCGGCTTTTTTTATAGCAAAAAAAATCGACACAAAAAGGGCAACACCCCAACCAACCACTTTTTTTTCTTTTGCCATCTTTCCCCCCGATCTTTTCCTTTCTTTGATTATTCATTTGATGATTCAGCTCTTCTCCCATCCTGACAACATCATCCTAACAAAAACCATAAAATTTAAAAAAATGATGGGAAAGGAAAGTTGAGAAAAATATAAAATTTTAATTAAATTATAATGTTCAAAACTAGATTTTCATTAGCTTTTAATATTTCTTTTAGTTATCAATTATCGTTTCTCATTTCTAGTATTCATGTTGATGAGCAAGAGCGCCGGAAACTCGAACGAAAACGTCTCCGCAATCGGCAAGCTGCCAGCAAATGTAGACAAAAGAAATTGGAGAGAATTGCTGAATTAGAAATTCAAGCCAATGAGGAAAAGGTGGGCATTTCAAAGGAAAAGAGATTTCAAAAATCAAAATAAAGAATAACTCAAAGGTTTTGGTTAGAAAAGTGCAACTGATTTTTTTTCTCTAATGAGAAAGAAAAACTAGGTAGGCTTTAAAAGAACAATTTTTTTGCGCAACAGGGTCATTTGCGAAGCTGGATCATTTCCGCAACTAGGTCGTTTGCGCAACTCGCCATAACTTTCGTTTAAGTGGACCAATCTTTATGATTTTGGTGTCATTTTGTAGATCTCAACAAGTGCAAGAAAATGACACCAACATCGCAATAAGTGCAACAAAATGACACCAACATCGCAATAAATGCAAGAAAATGACACCAACATCTCAATAAGTGCAACAAAATGACACCAACATCGCAATAAATGCAACAAAATGACACCAACATCTCAATAAGTGCAAGAAAATGACACCAACATCTCAATAAGTGCAACAAAATGACACCAACATCATAAAGATTGGCCCACTTAGAAGAAAGTTAGCGCGCAAATGGTCCAGTTTCGAGTTGAGCAAATGATCTAATTTCGCAAAAAAAAAATTGCGGCCCCCCAGAAAAACTGAAATAAATGAGCACCATTTAGAAAACATAGAGAAAACAAGTGCTAAATAGAATTAACGTGCTGGTGTTGACACTATAAAAGCATCACTGTTTTTAATTTCACTTTCACATTCACAAAGCACATAGCCGTTCACATGAGTGTAAATGTTTGGTTTCAGCTCCGCTCTGCAGCACTTGATGGTGATTTACAGAGACTGCGGCATTGCTTAGAGGATTTGCAGAAAAAGGTAGAACACTTTTTAAAGGAGTTCAATATTTAAATAGCTGCTTATAGAAATGATGTACAGAAGTTTTTTTTCAGGTAGCCTATCACCAACAAAAGGGTTGTCCATCAGCGTATCCACGAGGAAATGTGAAAATCGGGAATGGACATTAAATAGAATGGACATTAAATGAAATGGGCATTAAATGAAATGGGCATTAAATGAAATGGGCATTAAATGGAATGGACATTAAATGAAATGGGCATTAAATGAAATGGGCATTAAATGAAATGGGCATTAAATGGAATGGACATTAAATGAAATGGGCATTAAATGAAATGGGCATTAAATGAAATGGGCATTAAATGGAATGGACATTAAATGAAATGGACATTAAATGGAATGAACATTAAATGAAATGGGCATTAAATGAAATGGACATTAAATGAAATGAACGTTGCAAAAATCTAATGTCAATCTTCTAAAGCTCTATCAGGTTACGATAAACGTAGTGTTTTTTGTCTTTTTTTATTATTATTCAATCAATAACGGTAACGATATAGATTTCTAAATCTTCTCCATTTCCTCCATCAATTTTGTGATATTTTATGATATTTTATGATATTTTATGATGATTTTCTTTTTTTTAAATCGTTTCCCGACTCTTGTACATATCAGATCTCAAATATTTTTACTATTTCTTAAAAAAATTTTTCTATTTTTTGGCTAAAAAACCCTCTTTTTGTGGTAGCTGAATACGGATTTTACTCTTTTTTTTCATCCTGTTTTTCTATTTTCTATATTCTCCACTGGATTACTGTATGTTGTTGTTTGTAATGTTGTTTACTTTACTTTACTTTTCTTTTCTTTTCTTTTCTTTTCTTTTCTTTTCTTTTCTTTTCTTTACTTTTCTTTTCTTTATTCTCTCTTCTCTTTGTTCAATTACTGTATGTTTTTGTTTTTTTTTTTTTTTTTAATTCACGGTTAGGCACTTTTCTAGAGAATTTTTCTTTCTTTGATTTTTTTGATTTTTTTGGTTTCTTTTTATGATTCGTTTAGTGAGACAAGTTGGCAAAAAATGAGTTAGCTAGATTTTTAAGAAATAAATCTCTGAAACAAAATTGAATTTGAAAAGTTTTACGCTGAAAAAACACACACATTCTATGGAAAATTTGAAACGAAACAGCTTCTACAGAACTGCATTTCTTTCAAGGAAAAGATATTTGGATTTAAGTTTGAAGCTTTGGGTTTAACAGATTTAAGACGAAGGGACCCACATGCTGGGTCTCTAGTTGAGTAGACGTGTGGGACGAAGGGACTCACATGCTGGGTCTCTAGGTGGGTAGACGTGTGGGACGAAGGGACCCACATGTTGGGTATCTCGGTGAGTAGACGTGTGGGACGAAGGGACCCACATGTTGGGTATCTCGGTGAGTAGACGTGTGGGACGAAGGGACCCACATGTTGGGTATCTCGGTGAGTAGACGTGTGGGACGAAGAGACCCACGTCCTGGGTCCCTCGATTTTTTAGCCAGAGTCATCAGATTGACCCGAAAATTTGTGAGGATACCAAATCGACTGTGGAGAATCCAAATCTGGTGTTAGATTTTTCAAAAAAATGTCTCCCTGGCAAGATTTTGTGCCTTTTTCCACTGGGCGACATGGCGCAGACGTTCCGTTTCTCTTTCGACTCTCGTCCCAGACGGCAGTTTTGTAAAAAAACAGCCTGTGTTAAAGTTTAAATGTAAAACTTTAAAAAAAAAACTGGGAAGATTTGTGAGAAAAGTTTTCTCTTTGGAAAATCTCTGGAAAATAAACGAATTTCTTCCCCGGAGCGCTGAGACAAAAGAGGCGTCTTTTAAACAAAACAAAACTCAATCCAGTTTCTCCAATAATTTTCTCTTTTCACACAAAGCACAAATGTTTATTTTTTAAGATTTCTACTATAGAAAATAGCAAAAAAATGATTTCAATTCAAAAATCGGATCTATTTCTTCTGTGCTTCTCGATTTTTCTCGTCCAAATAGCAGCAAGGAAACACCGAAGACCGAATGAGGTTTCAAAGCGAAAATTGAGCTTTTCAAAGCGTCAAAAGCGTCAAAAGCGTCAACAAAACAATTGACTCGCTTGTAAATCCGTTTTCTAAAACGTGCCCTTTTTTCTACCGGTTCTACCGGTAATCTTGTCTCTATTTTTATCGAATTAATCGGGAGTGGGACAAATGCGACCTTTTTTTTGCGCCCCTGGACATTTGCGTACCTTTTTTTGGCCTTAGGCAAGGTAGAGCTTCGAAAATATTTCCATATAAGGGAATCGTATGCGTAGATTCCGAATTTCGACAAATCGCACCTCGCTGACACGTCAAATTTGGGCTAAAAGGCAAAAACTACGCAACTTAACGCTTTTCCGCAGTTTTTGCCTTTTAGCCCAAATTTGACGTGTCAGCGAGGTATGAATTGTCGAAATTCGGAATCTACGCATACGATTCCCTTTCTATGAAAACATTTTTGAAGCTCTACGGCCTTGCCTAAGGCCTTTTCCAGCAAAAAAAAGGTGCGCAAATGTCCAGGTGCGCAAAAAAAAGGTCGCATTTGTCCCACCCCCAATTAATCCACTTTTTTGATTTTACAATATCCTTTTTAAACTCTCACAGAATTCGATTTTAAAAAATGAAAAGATTTACGAGAGAAAGGGGTAATTAGATTAATATTAGACATTAATTAGATTAATTGACAATATTAGACATTAATTAACAATATTAGACATTAATTAGACACAATCTAGATTAAATACATACCGTAAATACTGTGATAGTACTGTCGTGTAGTCGAAAAAGTTTTTTCGGATTTCATTTTTTGCAAATACTCCGTACTTTCGTCTCTCTTATATCAAAAAAATAGCCCTGAATTTCAGCTATTTTTTGATACCCAAGCGCACATTCTAGCTTAAACTAGTGTCGAGAAAAAACGCGTTCAAAGACTAGACAAAACTTGGCCAGCCTGAACCCAATGCGGTTCCAATACGGTTCCAATACGGTTCCAATACGGTCCAATACGGTCCAATACGGTCTAATACGGTTCTAATACGGTCCAATACGGTCTAATACGGTTCTAATACGGTCCAATACGGTTCCAATACGGTTCCAATACGGTTCCAATACGGTTCCAATACGTTCCAATACGGTCCAATACGGTTCCAACCGTATTGGAACCGTATTGGAACCGAAGTTTCAAAGACTAGACAAAAGACACTCTTCGCAACATTATGACGATGCGGTACTATTACAGGATTTACGATAGATTTACAATTATAAAGCGAATTGTAAACAAATTGTAAACAATTGTAATTGTAATTGTAATTGTAATTGTAAACAATTGTAAACAAAACCCTAATGTCATTGAATTTTTAGATAAACATCGTGAATCTATTGGATCGAAATGTGAAATTGCGATGTCAATCGATAAAAACCGATTTTCATGATCGTTTCCTGAACATAAATGAACGCTTTAGCTTCAAATTCTATGATATTGATCGAGGTGGGTTATGTTAGAAGAGATTTCTATTGTTTATTAAAAGTTAAGAGATAGAATTTGAATTACCGTATTTTCTCTAATAGTAGTGCCGAGTTGGTGACGATTTTACGGTTTCCAAGCTTTTGCAGAAGCTCAACACTCGAATCCCCCACATAGATCTCATCGTCAGCTACATTTTCCGAGCCCACATCGATAGGTTCTGATAAGCGCTTTTCGAGATTTCGAGGAATTTAGACGAAGCTTAGGGTGCACTATCATTAGAGAAAATACGGTATTTATCGAAACTCTACTCTAAACACTTAACAGTAGAGTGTGTTCCTCGCGAGTAATGCGTTTTTTAAAAAGCACACTTGGGAAAAAAAAGACCGTACTTTTGGCAAAAAAAAAAAAATTGCAAAAAATGACGCGAAAAAATGACGAGCTCCATGTTTTATACGACTCTTTTTGAAGATATTCAGCCGTTCAACTGATTTGATACCAAATTCCCTTCAAATATAAAGATACTCAATTTACTCGACGTGTAAAGAGGATCACTCGTAGTTACTCGACCAAAAAACGTCGATTAATCAAATAAAAAATAACTCACGAGATTTTACTCAAGTGATTACTTACTCGCGAGGAAAAGACTCTACTTAACAGGGTGATCGCGAGATATGGTGACACCTTTTTTAGAAGAGTTGCTGACAAACACTTCACTTATTACCAAAGTGTTATATAGAAAAATAAAGCCCTAAATCTTTGCTACATTTTTCTATAAAGAACTTCTCAATTAGAATTATACAACTCATTTTACATGCTCTAGAATGAGCTCGGCCTTTCCGGCGATCTGCTATCGGAAAAGTTGCTGGTAAATGCCTGTCTTATTACCAAAGTATCAAGTGTTATATAGAAAAATAAAGCCCTAAATCTTGGCTACATTTTTCTATAAAGAGCTTCTCAATTAGAATTATACAACGCATTTTACAAGCTCTAGAATGAGCTCGAGCTCTCTCTAGCGATCTGCCATTTTTGACACACAATATTTTCATCTGGAAATGATTCTTTCAATCAAACTTGTGGGGATTTTACTTTAAAAGTATCATTAAAGAAAAATATAACATTAGAGAAGCTTATAAATCGAGATCTTTTAAACTAGATATTCGAATATGATCAATCTTCTCTTTTTTTTGCGGAGTTTCCCAGAAATCATCCCCAATTTTGGCTATAAAAGTGACAAAAGTCTATGAAAAAAAAAGAGTTTTCTGTTGCTTTATTGCTATTAAATGATAGTAAATGTTATTTTCTCACAAAATAAATATCGAGAATCGTTTTTTTATTAAGAAAATTGTCAAAATAGCAGATCGGAAAAAGGCCGAGCTCATTCTAGAGCTTGTAAAATGAGTTGTATAATTCTAATTGAGAAGCTCTTTATAGAAAAATGAAGTCAAGATTTAGGGCTTTATTTTTCTATATAACACTTGATACTTTGGTAATAAGACAGGCATTTACCAGCAACTTTTCCGATAGCAGATCGCCGGAAAGGCCGAGCTCATTCTAGAGCTTGTAAAATGAGTTGTATAATTCTAATCGAGAAGCTCTTTATAGAAAAATGAAGTCAAGATTTAGGGCTTTATTTTTCTATATAACACTTGATACTTTGGTAATAAGACAGGCGTTTGTCAGTAACATTTCTAAAAAAGGTCGTAGTTTCTATGTAGGTGACATGCACTTTTGGTGTGACGTCTATGCGCTCGGCGGGATCGATCGAACGTTTGACGCTTTTGGTGGATACGCGCCGTTGAGGGGAACGTTGACTTGGTGGGTCAAAGCTTTTTCAATCCACTTTTTGCTCAATATGCATAAACAAATCCTTTTTTGATGCACCTATTAGATTGGGTTGGTGAATGGAAAACTGGAAAACTGTCGGCTATTGTCATATCTCACAGTTTGAGGACTTTCTTCAAAAGAAACCCATTTTGGTGTCAATGAAAAAGTTGTAGAGAATCAAAAATCAAGCTTATATCCAAATTTTCAGAACGATTCAAAAACTGGTTTTCAAGAAATGCCAAATTTACGAATTTTCACAAAACTTGCAATTTAAGCAAAACTACTAAGTGTATCTTTTTGGAAATTTGGATATAAGCCTTATTTTTGATTCTCTACAACTTTTCTATTGACACCAAAATGGGTTTCTTTTGAAGAAAGTGCTCAAACTGGGAAAACTCAAACTGCTCCAGTTCTCCATTTTTGAGTCTCACACTTGTCTCACACACAAACCAAAATCTTACCACGAAAGAGGGATCCGCAAATTGCCTGTAAAATAGGCAGAAGTCGTCAATAATAATGGAAATTATTTGGAATCATTTTATGGTTTTATGCTCAATAAATTTTAGTTCAAAGTCCCGCAGCTTCCAACCCAATAGTTTAGGTTTATTCGCCGAAATGGCATTCAACTCGATCACCCGAATGCCACTGTTTTCCCGTGGAGAGATCTCCGTCCTTTATTGAGCTCTTTGCCCAGAACAATGGCCACAGGATTTACAAAAAGACCACCAATGTAAATGAAAAGTTGAATCAACAATAAAGTATAAATCAACAATAAACTTCGGAATCCATCGTGTTTTTCTCGTTCTTTTCGTTGTAACTGATGTAGACGGAGCAAATCTGGAATAGCTTTTGATAGCTCATTTTTGATTTAATAGTGATTTTCTAGAAATAGCTTATATTCTTATTTTCCCACCCTTTTCCCCGCTGATACATCGAGCTTGCAATTCTTGACGTTCGACTCTGGCACCGAACTCCGCGAACACATCGATTTTTGGGTTAAAACTTTGAAAACCCAAGTGAAATGACGATCACCGCTTATCGGAGTGATTGTACGAGTGGCTGAATAACTGAAAAGTTTATCGTTTATCACTTTGCGAACTTTTCTGAACATTCTCGAGGTATAAGCCTTCAATGTTTCGGTCGATTTTCACCAAAGAGCAAGCTAGCCTACTTAAAGTGTTTCCACGGGCCAATTGGTGTTTCCACGGTAGCCTATTGGTGTTTCTACGGGCCAATTGGTGTTTCCACGGGCCAATTGGTGTTTCCACGGACCAATTCGTGTTTCCACGGGCCAATTGGTGTTTCCACGGGCCAATTCGTGTTTCCACGGGCCAATCGGTGTTTCCACGGTAGCTTATTGAATAGTGTGTTAGAGCCTTGGATTATTTAAAAGTTTAAATCTTTGTCCTTAGTGGTTCGAATCCACTGTCGATCAGACTTTTTTTTAGAAAAACACTAGAAAGTTACTTTCCAGGTCTTAAACAATTTTTAGCTTTATAATTCAAAGATTTTGCACGTTTTTTTGAGTGCTCTAAATGTGGGCTTACTTTGGCCCAGCCGGTATCCACCACATCGAGTCACCAATCACCTCGTTTATCCGATGAATGCCCACTGAGTAAACCAATTTCTGAAATTTTTCGTTTTATGACCCTCATCGAAAAACAGAAAAGTAGAAGATTTTTTCACTCACCAATAATATCGGATCATTATCCTTTACGGAAATTGTTCGATCGATTGTGGCCGATTGAGAGAAAAGAATAAATAATGATAGGGTAAGGGAAATTGCTTGAAATAACATTTTTCCGAAAGTGAATGCTGAAATTTTACTTTTAAACCTTTATGAGAAGTTATTTCATTTTTTTTTTGATGAAATAAATGTCAGTCTGATACCGGGAAAACACAAAAACAGCGTGAATGACCTTGAAAATGTGGATGGCAAAAAATGAGATGAGTCATGGGAAGTTGAGTTGTTGAGAGCAAAACATTTCTGGTAAACACAACATTTCTGGGGCACTGATTCTCTCAATTTCTCGTAATAACAAATCATTAATGTGAGAAGGGAATTAAGGGAAATGGGGAATTAAGTGCACTAGAAAGAGTGCGTTTTTAAAAGAATTCAAAATGTAGACTGAAAAAAGATTGATTGAAAATGATTGATTGAAAATGATTGATTGAAAATGATTGATTGAAAATGATTGATTGGAAATGATTGATTGGAAATGATTGATTGGAAATGATTGACTAAAAATGATTGATTGGAAATGATTGATTGAAAATGATTGATTGGAAATGATTGATTAAAAATGATTGATTAAAAATGATTGACTCAAAGTGGTTAAACTTTAGAAATTTATTAAAAATGAAATAAAGATTTAAAGCTTCAAAATGGAATCGTTTTTTTATGCAATTCATAAAGAGAATAAATCAATGAAATCCTTGAAATTAATCTTTATGAGTAAAGGGAGAAATTAAGAGATTGAGAGAAGTTTTGAGAGGATCAGATTTGTGTAAATCCCGTTTGAATCACAAATCAGAGATTAGGGTGAAGCACGGATGATTCATCCGCCACTGCCCGCAAAAGCTTTTGTTTACACACACAAAAAACGCAAGAACAAGCAACAAAATGTGCATGAGAAATGAAAAATGATTCATCCATGCTTCACCCCAATCTCTCATTTCTCATATCAAGTTTGAGAAGATCGGATTTGTGTAAATCCCGTGTGAATCATCCGTGCTTCACTCTGATCGCTCATTTCTCATAAAGAACTTCAAAAAAATTAGCGAAATTTGAAAAAAGGCAAATAAAACTTCATGCAAACTCTGTTTAATGCAAAAAAAAAAAACAAATAGTTTAAAGCAAATACGATAAAATGTTAAATGTTCGTTTGAATGAGTGATTGATGATATAAAAACTTTAAAAATTGATGATGCTAATGCAAAAATAATGAATGAAAATTTAAAATTTAAAAAGAGAATCGAATTTATTTTTCCTCTTTCTTATCCTCTTTTCGACATTTCTGTCAGTGATTTCGAAATTTTTCTTTCTTTCTCTGTGTGCACACTTTTCAATCAACCGCCACTGCCCGCAAAAGCTTCATCAATTTTGTTTACACACACACAAAAACGCAAGAACAAGCAACAAAATGTAAATGAAATTAAAGATTAAGAATTCATTGAAAACGTTACAAAACACTTTAGTTGAAAGGATTTGAAAGAATTGAGTTGGTGATGAGTAATCTTTGCCATTACTTTGAGCAAATTCTACGGCTAAAGCACTTTTCCCGGAAATACTTAACGTAAATACTTTAATTGAACCCCACCGCCCTCGTACAGTCGCGTAGTCGCAAAAGTTTTTAGTATTTCATTTTTTTGCGAAGCACCCGTACTTTCAAAAAATACGTCTTTGGTATCAAAAAATAGCCCTGAATTTCAGGGCTATTTTTTGATACCTAAGCGCGCCTTCTAGCATAAACCAGTGTCGAGAAAAACGCGTTCAAAGCTAGACTACGCAACACTCCGCACCGTCATTATGGGCGGTGGGGTACTATTACAGTATTTACGATAGGTTGTAAACTAAATAATCAAACTTTTTGGCAATTGAAAAAAAAACAGAAAAGCGCTCACTTTTCAGCCTGACAAGTATTCATTTAAATTTTTCGCGCGAAATAAAGCTCTTAGTTTTTTTACATTTTAAGTAAAATTATGAGCCAAATCGATTTGAAATGCTTGCAAATTATGTAATTTAAAACATCAAACGCTTATCCATTCAACAATTTTTTCAACAAGAATTGCTTTTACTTTCTTATGTAAAATAAAAACATAGATTTTCTATATTTTCAGTAAAATTTTCAACCAAATTCGTTCAGCTGTTTTTTCTGAATTTTGATTTGAACAAAAGTCCTCAAATAAACAAAATTTTGATCATATGAGGCTGAATGGGGGTGGGACAAATGCGACCTTTTTTTTGCGCACCCGGCCAAAAGCGCACCTTTTTTTTCGCTGGCAAAAACTACGCAACTTAACGCTTTTCCGCAGTTTTTGCATTTTAGCCCAAATTTGACGTGTCAGCGAGGTCTGATTTGTCGAAATTCGGAATCTACGCATACGATTCCCTTCTATGAAAACATTTTTGAAGCTCTACGGCCTTTCCTAAGGCCTTTTCCAGCGAAAAAAAAGGTGCGCTTTTGGCCGGGTGCGCAAAAAAAAGGTCGCATTTGTCCCACCCCCGGCTGAATAACTTGAAATTTGTAGAAAACGGCTGAGTGGATCTTACTGGAAATTTTAATAAAAATGTAACAGAGATTTCTTTAGCGTAGAAAGTTAGTGTCAGTTCCCATTAAAAAAGTTGCCAATCATCGTTTCTTACCAATTTTGCCTACTCGTCTTTGCGCTCCCGAAAAAACCCCCAAAAACGAAAGTTTTTCCAAATTGCCAACGGCCATTTTGTAGAGGAAATTTAGATGTTTCCAACCGTACTTCATTTGGTGCATTCAATATTTGGAAAATCAAGTTTTAGTGAAAAAGTTCGGTTATTTAGTTGACAAGGTAATACACAAAACACACAAAAACAAGCAACACTGCTTTCTAAAAGGTGGACAAATAATATCGTACTCAAAAGTTGCACAATTTAAAGTCTCATATTTCATTTCTTTTTCTTTCCACCTTCACTGGCTTGACTGCCAATCACTCGAAAATTTTTTGTCTGTCTATATTTTTGTCAACGAGTGCCATAAAACAAGTCTAATTACACGATTTCGAATATAGTTACGTGCAATACATCCTTCACCACACACAAAGTTAAAACCAAAGCTGTTGTAGGAATTTCTTGTTTTTTTTGTGTTTTTCAACTTTGCTATTTCTTTTTACTAATCATTTTTCTTTAGGAAACCCTGACAACATGGAGCTCTACAAGGCGTCGATCGAAAAGCTGATCGCCGACAAGGAGGCCGTCACCCGGATCAATCTCGAGATGGTGAGTGTTTTTAAATTTTAAGTTTTTTAAGCCATTTTAAATGGGACAAGTTTATGAGAGTCAGTGAAGCTTTAAAAGATGTACTTTGCCGTGCAAAGTCATAAACAACAATGGTTGTACGTGCTGAAGTAGTTTCTAGTATTGTTTTGGTAAAACAATAACAGCTCGTTCTAATAAACTATTTACGGTAGGCTAGCAATAGTTCTGTTCTTTTAGCAACAAAAGATGCGAGACGTGAGTCTACAGGGCCAACGGCGAGAGGACAATCAAAAGAAGGGAGGCGCTGTTGAACAATTCGTGGCTGACGAGCTGACTGATTTGGTGAAACAAAAGCATAAACTGTAAGTTTATTTTCTTATGCAATTACGAAAGATATCAACTTTTAGGCTTGAAGATGCCAAAGTCGCGATCGAAAGGGCGAACGCTTACATGGGATGCACCGAGAAAATCTTTGCAACAGGTAGTTTTGGCGGCTTGATAGACTATAGATTTGTTTTAGGTCTTATGATGAACGAGTGCTTGACCAAGAAGCAAGAAGAGCTGCAGATGAACGCTCAGAAACTCGAGTCGGCTGCTCATCAATTCGTGCAGAAGAGAGCCATTCGGAAAAAGGAAGTAGAAACTGAAGGTTGTAATTTTATTTAAGCATTTATGGCTAAAAATTTTAGGTATTCATCTGAAAAGGCTGGCCGAGGAGACAGAACAACGATTGACGAGAACTGCCGACATTGAAAAGCTGAACGCTATTCTTCTAAGCTTAAAACAACGGATGGTTAGTAATTTTTGAGTTGTGAATCTCTAATTCTACTTAAGGAGCACGTCGCCGAGTCGGTTAAAGCCAAGGAACAACGATACGATGAGATGTCTACGCAACAAAAGCAAATCGAAGACGAGACTGAACAGCTCCAGAATCTCATCAAAGAAAAGGAAGAGCTGAAGCGGATCATTTTGGCGAAGATCGAGTCTGAGCGCAAGATGGCAACGGCTCTAATGGTTAGTTAAACCTTAGAAGGTTAAAAAGCACTGTGTCTAGTTGTTTCAATATACTTTAGAAAAAACAAGAACAACTTCAACGCGAGACCAACAAGTCGGCTCAGCTTTTGACGGAGAGACAGCAGGATCTGGGCGAGAAGAAGACCTTGATCGAAAAGACCCAAGCCGAAGTGCGAGAACTAGAGGCACAATTAGTTGGTGCCAAGGAAAAGGTAACATTTCAAGTTGGTGATTTAAATTGATAGAATTTGTTTAGAACACTCAAGCGGCTGCCGAGTTGAACGAGCGGAAAGAGTTGAATGCGAAGCTAAATACCGAGTTGACTCAAATGCGCCAAGATGATGTGAAGGCGATCAGGCAGAAAACGGTAAATTTTAGTTTTTTATTACTTTGATTGTTTATTTTAGGCTGAACATAAGGAAATTTTGGAGGCTGCTGAGGAGAAACTGGCTACGCTGATAAAAGAAGCCGAGAAGTTTGCTCAAGAGTGCGATCCGACAAAGCTTGAGGGCTACGAAACATTCAAGGATCTGAATGTGGAAACGCTGAATGCAATGTTGGAAGGTGAGTTTTCAAATAGATATTTAACTTTTTATGCTTTGTTTGTTTAAGAATTCTTCAAATTTAGAAGCCCTGAAGAAAGAAGAAGCCTTGCAAAAGGAAGTCGACGCCAAACGCGCTATACAGGAGCAGATCATCGAGGAGAAAAAGACAAGTTCTGGAAAAGGTTAAAAGCTTTGATACAACAATTTGTAAAGTTCATTTTAGAAGGCTGTTCTTGCACAGGAAAACATGGTCGCTCACAACAAGCTTGACGAAGAGCTGAAGACTTACATGCAAGAGCTTGAAGAACGCAAAGAACACCTAAATGGAGAGGAAGAAACGAGGGAGAGGGTTTGTTAATAACATACTATAAGTAATTATTGTTTTAGAAACAACACGAACTTCGCATCGCCAAGGACCGGGTCAATGCTGTAAAAGCGATGGAAACCTCACAGAAAGAGCAAGCTGATAGGAAATTGGCCGATATAAACAAGCAGGTATGTTTAGGTTTATAAAGTTAGGAAACATCTTGGAATTTAGTTGAGTGCTGCGCGACAGGAAGCACGGCTTCTTCAAACTGGCAGCTGGAAACTAACGGATCACAACGATAAAATGGCTGGTGGCGATGATGTCGCTCTTGAGAAGAAACGGAAGATCAAAACCGAGATTTCGTCGACTGATCGGCTATTACCCCGGAAAGAGGTGTTTTTAAAAAGGGGACTTCTCCTTGTAAACATTTTTTAGCAACTACTTAGTCAATTCAATCAACCGAAAGCACAATCTCAGCCAATGCGTGATGGAATGCTCAACGCGAAGAGACGTTCGAGTTTCAATAAGAATAACGCAAGAACCCAAGGGCTTGTCGATAGTGAAGATGGGGGTTAGTGAACCAAGCTCCGAATGCGTTTAACTTGTTTTAGATGAAGTTCGTCCAATTCCTGTGGTTCTACCGCCCGATGTTGAATGGGCTAGTCAACATGGTGGACAAGTCTATGCCGCAATTGTTGAGGACAACTCGACGCCCTTTGATGCTTTTAAGAATTCGAGAATGACAGTTTGTTTACTGTTTTCAAGGCAAACAGTAATCTTTGTATATTTTAGGATGCCGTTCCCGCAGAGCTTACTAAAGGATCAGGAATGAACAATTTCACGGACACTCAGGTATTTCAACACACCTTCAACGTCTAGTTTCATTAGCAGGCAAGCGAGCTAACACTTGCACCAGAGACGATCAATGTGCTAACCCAGATGGATGAAAACCATGACAATTCTATAGTCAACGAGGTAACGAGCTTTTTTTAGCAACAATAGTTTTTACATTGTTTAGACCATGGAAACAGAATACGATAGCTTTGAGGGCACATTGGATTTTTCGATGAACAGGAACCAGATGGACATTGAGGGACGCTTTCCGGCTGATATCTTCTTGCATACCGATCCAACCAAAGCTACTCGTGATCCAACAACAACTCACGATGAAGCATCAAGTACTGAACGAACGGAGAACCCGTCAGAGGTGGCTTTTTCTTTGTTGAACATATTTTCACTTTTTATAGGTGGATGAGGCATCTCTTCGAGCAATCGCACCTTCCAGACGCCCACATGAAAGCCAATCGCTTGACGACACAATTGCCACGATTCAAACTCAAGACACTATCGATGATCCATTTGATGATGATCTATTTTAGTTTGCCTTTAAGAATATTTGCCTGTTAATTCGAGTCGGGGAATTCGAATCCATGTTATTTAAATGTTTGTTGCCTTAACACACTCGCGACAATGGCTCCCACATGAACTGGCCCCTGGAACCAAGGGACGCACTTGAAATTGTCCTAATTTATGAAAAGATTAAGCTGAAAATTTGTATATGTGGGGTTTTCGGGGTCGGGGAATTTGAATTCAACATTTGTTTTAACCTACAGTAACGCCAAATACTAGAAATAGGAGTGCTAGTTTCGACCATTTTAAGAAGTACAAACTTCGACAGTGAAGAACTTTTGGTACTAATAAAGTTCGGGAGGCGCTTTGATCTAATTTGGTCAGATCGTATTTTTCGACCGTTTTACCAATGTTATTTTCACTTTTTCTGGGGTGATCAAACATGCTCGCTCTATTGATGATATTTTAGAAAGTTTTGATTTGAGAAAATGATGTTATGATTTTCAGAAAGTAAAGGAAATTTGTCTAGGGGCTGACCAACATGAAAAACGATTATCCGCCTAGTTTTTGAAATTTTCGCGTTTGAAGTTGGCCATTTTCACTTTCTTTTGAATTTTTCAATTTTTGAGCGCAAAAATCTCGAAAACTAGATGGAGAACCGTTTTTCATGTTGGTCAGTCAAATTACCTCTACTTTCTGAAAATCGTTAGTTTTGTAAAATTCAATTGGTCAATTGTTGATGCCTAAACTCATTTTATCAAATTTTTTGCACTAAAATGCAAAAACCTTGAGCCCCTTGAATTAAAAAAAACTGTTTAGATAGTTTTGTAACATGAAATTAAAAAATATATATAATTTTTTGTTCGGAAATTGATTCGGGGGTAGCCTCGAGAAGCTCGGACCGTTAGACTGAAAGGTTTCGGATTTACTAACCTCGAAAACCTCCAAGTACAAATTTTCGTATTGATCCAGCGCTAAAATCGTTCCGTTCTCAGCCCAAAATACCAAAAAATTGTGGCATTGTCGCGAATGTGTTAAGTGGTGATTCTGTGATTTAGTTAATTTTTGCTCCGCATTCTCACGATTGTCTTGTTTTTTTTGTTTGTTTGCTATAAATGTTTTGAAATTTTAATGAAATTCGTTGATCAAAGTAAGAATAGCGTAATACTGCTAAAGGTGTGTCGTGAAATTTTTGAGAGAAAGGTGGTTGTGAAGAGATTTAGAGAAAAGGGGCGGTGAAAGACACTTGTTTGGACGCGTTTTTTGCCCGCCAAAAGCACTTTCGACATTTTTGGAGTTTGCATTTCGTTAGAAACGCTTTCTTTGGTATTTTACCGACTATATTAGATGAAGCCAAAGATTCTTTTGTTATTACAAGACATTGTAATTCCATTGAGCTTTTCAAGTTTTTTTTTAAACTTTAAGGTATCTTACGCTTTTTGAAAATTTAGAGGTCACAAAATCAAAAGATGTCTGATTCGGAAGATGAAGTGATTGGAGACGCTCGACAGACGCGTCAACAATCGCTCCACGTGAAATGGGCTGAATCTGGTGGGTTTCCAAATGAGCAATAAGCCTTTAGCAAGCTAAACTTCCCTATTTTGACAAATTTTAATGTTTAGGATACGAATCGACCAGCCTTTCACTGCCCGGACCCGATGAACATGAAGAAGTAGAACAAGATGGAAGTGTAAGGGATTTTGTTTTTGAAACAGCTTTAGAAATAACTTAACTTGGATTAACTTGTAGTAAAAGTTAAAAAAATTTAGCAAGACTGACCGTAAAGTGTCTAATTCTAGTTTAAAATACGCTCACAATGTAAACTTTTAGATAATTCACCTTTCCGGCGATGCCACAAAACCGCAACGTGTTGGCGAAGATGAGTCGACCGAGCAAATCATTGCACACGTTGTCGACGATAGTGGTTAGTTCTTTTAAAAGTTGTTTTTTTTAATAAAAGGTTTAGGTCATTGAGAAGATGCTTTAGTTGTAAGATTATTCATCGAGAATTTTCTATTTTAGGCTCATTTGGACGAGGTGGCATGTTCACGGCGCTCAACAGGAAATTCCCCATGGTGGCCGAACGATACGAGTTTATCGCCGAGATGAAGGTAAGATCTTTGCTCATAGTTTGATAAACATGAAAGCTTTTAACAATTGACTTTTTCATCATTATGGATTAAAAGTGCAACAATTCTAATGCAATTCCAATTTGATTATTTAGGACATGAAAGTGGGCGATGTTCATCTGATCGATGTGAGCGGTACGTTGAATGCATCTACTTCAGAAGATAACGACAAGGAAAACACAGGCGACGACGAAAAGGAGAAGAAGGCAAAGACGACGGTGGCTCTGTTGATTGCACAACATGCCGACAAAAGAGGTAATTGAGTAGAATCTAGTCAAAATACGAATCATTTTATAAATTTAAGCTTTTGATCAACTTAAATTTAACAGCAGAGTACTCCTAACTTTTATACATAAATGAATGAAATGAACAAAATGTTTAGATGAGATTCAAACGGAACTCTTGAAGACATGCTTCCGGAAGCTCACTCACTATGCCCTCACCGACGACCGTAAAGTTAGCGTGCACTTTGCGAAAGTTGGAGCAGGTGCGTCTTTTCCTTCTTTTATTGTCTAAATTTGTACTTTATCGATTTTATAACTTCGATCTTTTTTAGGAATGGACGCGTTTGAGCGAACGGTAGAGAAGCACTTGTGCAATTTTGGTGTGCCCACGTATGTCTACCGATTTGCAAAGGATAGGCAATCAACATCGCACAGATCACCACAAGTTAGCAATTATTTAACCTAAATTTTTATTGGAAACATTTTGACATGTACTGTTTTGTTTAGAAACGAAGACATTCATCACCAGTTGCTCAAACGGGAAGACCACCACGCCGAGCAGCCGCTAGGCCTACAAAAAGGACGAAGATTGTGGTAAGCTAAGCTTTGATTTAACGTAAGATTGATTTTTTTAAGTTTTAAAAAGTTTTGTCAAGTAAATTATAATTTTTTTTTATTTAGGACGATGTGTTTTCTGATGAGGACTCGGAATCGGACATTTCGACCGAAGCGAGTGACAGTGAGGATGAATACGACCCGGACAAAGGAAGCGAGAAAGGTAAAGGACTTTCAGCGAGAAATTAACATTAGTTTTTAGATCCTGATGACAATGAGGGGTCAGAAGAATCGAGCTCAGAAGGATCGGAGGAGGATAGTGGAGACGAAGGTTTGTGTTCAACCGGTATGATATTGAATGATTTTTTCTAGAAGAACTAGATGATGACGAGGAAGAAGAGGTGGAGATGAAACCGAAGAAAAACGCGACGATCAAGCGACCGGCCACTAGTTCTACATTGCTCACAACAACTCAAACGCGAAAACCCTCAGCCTCGCCAGTGAAAGCACAAACGAGCGATGAAAAAATGGGTATCTAATTTGTTTATGAGGCTCTGTGAATCTGAAAGCTGTTAAACTTATTCTAATCTTAAATTTTAGGAGCAAACGCTTTCGAAAAAGATGTCATCTCGTTGGCTGAAATCGAGAAGAAACGTTCGTCTGATTACGGGGAATTCAAGTAAGCTGTTTTTTTTATGGTTTTTATGTTATATACTTTTGTGAAATTTGCATTACACTATTTATTGCAGAGAGCTCGTTGAGGAGGGGAGTGGATCGATTGTCGAAGAAAGTGACGATGATTCGCTCAAGACGGTCAACATTTGCGTGGTGCCGAAGTCTTTTCGGAATAACGCGGCTAGGTAGACTTGAATTTGCATCTGTTTCGAAACGAGAACAAATATTTTAATAATTCAAAATGTTCCTTGATCATAATTTATAATACAGAAAAGTAAATTTGAATATATTTCTCGATACATTTAATCATAATTTGTTTTAGTTTGGCCTCACTGCGCAAGCAACTGCCCAAAGGCGCGAAAATCGTTTCGGACGGATGGATGACCGAGTGTACGCTGTACGAGAAACGAGTTGATCTTTCGAGATATATCGTATAGTGAATTAAATTTCACTAAGTTGACTGTTTTGTTATATTTTTACCCATCGCCTTTTCATCACTTTTGCACTTATTCGGGAGGGCCCAATTTCACCAAAGAGTCATTTCGGCAACTCACTATAACTTTCTTTGTAGCTGACCGATTTAGAAGATTTACACACCATTTTTTTTTGCACTCATCGTGAGCAACAAAAAACAAAACTAAAATCGTTTCAATAGGTCAAAAACTACGAAAGTTGGAAAAAAAACCCCCACTTTTGTAGTTTTTGACCTATTGAAATGATTTTAGTACCATTTTGTTGCTCTCGATGAATGCAACAAAATGGTGTGTAAATCTTCTAAATCGATCCACTACAAAGAAATTTATAGCGAGTTGCTGAAATGCCCCTTTGCTGAATTTGGACCCTCCCACTTATTCTTTTGTCACGTTGTAAAAGTTTATTTTTTTGATTTGATTTCAACAATGATTCTTTTTCTTACGGAGATCTCAGATAAAGTTTATGCATTTATGGAAATTTTTCGGAAACATCGAAAAATTAAAGGCTTCGGAATGCGCTTTTCATAGGGCTCATGAACTAACGCCAACTAAGGGGTACGGTAGCTTTTCACAAAAGCAAAGGGTTGAGCTTACTTTTTATCCACATTGGACTGTAAACTTATCGTACTTTGGGCCCTCGTAAACATGCAATTTTTGGCACACTGATCGATTATTTTTTGTCAACATTATGGAACATTATGGAGCTTTTTACATTTAAGCTTCACCAGGAAATCAGCTGTTAATCCAGAAAAAAGGAGATCTGACTTTTTACTAAAAAATTTCTATCGTGTTAACTGATAAATTGCCTAAAAAATGTTCAAATTTTGACTTGTCTCTTACCCAATTTTACCAATCTTTCTCTAATGGTCATTTGAGTGGAACAAGTGAAGTCAAGAAAGAAAAAAAAAACAACGAAAAACGAAAAAGCAAAAGTGGAACGAGAAAAATCTCGAAGGAAAATAAGCAAAAGAGTCGCCTCTTCACATCGCTTTTTTCTGACTTTTCTGACTTTTCGACGTTCTACTAAAATTTTAGCATTTATTTTTTTTTCCCGATAGTCTCGTATATAAGCCTAGTGATTGGCTTCCAAAAATCGGCAAGTCTCTTCGTCCGATTTTGCGAAACGATGGAGAACGAACGCGCTTTTGTGCTTGTTTCAAGGGTGGCTTCGGTCTTCACTGGAGGTTTGAGTCTTTATCTTTTTTTGGGGAAAACTTTAAAAGCTAAATAAGTTAAATAGAAAATAAAGAAAACGATTTGGGTTTCTTTCTTTCTTTCTTTCTCTCTTTCTTCTGTTTTCTATTTTGCAATAAATTCCATAAATTTCATAAAGTCTTACTTGAAAAAAATCAGCTCTATGTTAAGCTTTAATTTTTTTTTTTTGGATAATCTTTTTTAAATTTTAAAGTTTTAAATTCTTAACTAATAAAGGTAAATAGTTTTTTTTATAGCTTGAAATAGCTAAATAGCTTGAAAGGCTTTTGTTTGGTAGAAAGAAGACGTAGAAAGAAGACGTTTCTTTCTACCAAACAAAAGCCTTTCAAGCTATTCGTCGAAACGTCGTCGTCGAAACGTCGAAAGAACTAAAGTAATCGTGGTAAAAAGAACGTGGTAGAACGTCGAAAAGTCAGAAAAAAAAAGCGATGTGAAAAGGGTTGTTATAAATAGAAAAGAAAATTTATAACAAGCTATAAATTCTCTTTTCTTCTAAGATTTTAGGATTTAAGGAAAGGTAAAAAAGAAAGGTTTTAAGGAGTGCTAAAAAACCCCATTTTTCCTAATCTTATATGTAAATTTGAGATTACGAAAGAGATGAAGAAAAGAAAATAAAATTGAAATTTTAGATTTCTCGAGATTTCTCTAGATTTTCTCATCTCATAAATATTCATCATAAAATCATTATAAAAATCTTTCAGTTGCTTTATTCTCGTTGGCGATCACTTTACCAATGATCAGCCAATATGTGAACGATGTGCAAATGCGCGCCGAACGACAAATCACCGAGTGCGAGGTGCGGGCACATTTAGCTTAGAACCTAGCCGACTGATACTCGAGATCTCAACGTACACTACTGGACAATGAAATATGATATTTGAAAAAAGATCGTCACCTTCGCGCGTCTGTAACTCCCTTGTCTTTACAGTATTTCTAAATATTAATATTATCATTGTGTAGCCCTTGAAAAGAGCTTTCAGAAAATGTACAACACTAATAGTTTAAACGCAAAGACAAGGGAGTTACAGACGCGCGAAAGTGACGATCGTTTTTTTTGAAATATCATATTTCATTGTCCAGTACTGTAGCTGTTGTATATAGCTGTTGTATATAGCCGTTATATATAGCTGTTGTATATAGCATTGTCCAGTACTGTAGCTGAGAGATCTTCCAACAACAGTGGCATAGATTCTCCAAAAAAAAGACAAAAAAACCGGATACCAACCTAGCCACTCCGTATTCTAACCTACCGTAAATACTGTAATAGTACCCCACCGCCCATAATGACGGTGCGGAGTGCTGCGTAGTCTAGCTTTGAACGAGTTTTTCTCGACACTGGTTTATGCTACAATGCGCGTTTAGGTATCAAAAAATAGCTGAAATTCAGGGCTATTTTTTGATACCAAAGACGCTTTTTTTGAAAGTATGGGCGCTTTGAAAAAAATGAAATACTAAAAACTTTTGCGACTACGCGACTGTACGAGGACGGTGGGGTCCAATTAAAGTATTTACGGTACGCAACACTACACCACTCAGTCATTTCCTCAAACTGAATCAGAGCCAATCCGATCAGATCCAATTGAAATCTCAGCTCAAGGACCCAGCTTCCCTTTCAGATTTCTTCTGCTCAAGTGATGGAGGAGGTCTACTCGTTCCGTCTTCATCCCGTTAACGAGACTCGTGGAAAGAGGCAGGCGTATGGAGGATGCAACGGTTTAATTTTGGAAAATGATCGCGTTTATGGAAATTCTGTACAGGTTGCTGCCTTCCTGGAGCCCAAGGAGCTCAGGGAGCCGCTGGACGACATGGAAAACCCGGCCGTCCCGGAGCCCAAGGAGCCCCCGGTGCCCCTGGACGTCCACCAAAAATCTGCGGACAACGAGCCGAAACCCCTTGCGAGCCTTGCCCACAAGGACCACCTGGACCACCCGGACAACCTGGAGAGAAGGGTACGATAATGGAATTTGTGATAAGTAAACTGCCGTCGCTTGCTCTAGAAGTCCACTTTTATTTTAGGCGAATCGTATTATGCAAGTATAAGTACGTCACAAATTTCAGGATCTTCTGGATCACCTGGACAGCCCGGAGGCTCTGGCGGACATGGATTCCCTGGAGCTCCTGGAAACCCAGGAAAGCCTGGAAACCCTGGAAGCCGTGGACAACCCGGAAACCCTGGACGCCCTGGAAACCCAGCTCCATCGGAAGCTGCTCGCCCTGGAGCTCCCGGCAGACCTGGCAACAATGGAGCCCCTGGAGAGGCTGGACCTGCTGGAGGAAAGGGAGCCCCTGGACAGCCTGGAAGAGATGGAGCACGGGGATTCCCTGGAGCCGCTGGAGAACCCGGACACGCTGGAGAGCCAGGGTAAGGGTGTTGAGAAAGGAAATAGATAAGAGATACATTCACGTGAACAACTTCACTTTTAGAAGCCCCGGCGGCCCCGGCTCGGATGGTCGCTCTGGAGAGCGCGGTATCTGCCCCAAATATTGCTCTCTCGACGGAGGAATCTTCTTCGAGGACGGAACTCGTCGTTAGATTTTTATATCAAAAGACGAATAAATTCTCTGGCATCAAAATACAACAATTTTAAAAATTACAGAAAAAAAGCGACAATTTTCTTTTCAAAAAAAAGCTTTAGTCTCTTTCTGTTTGCCAAAATTTGAATAGCGATCATTGAATGGAAAAAGTCATTGTTTTTTTTTTAAAAAACCCAGTTCTTTATATTGATTTAAATAACTTTCCATTCATCTAGTCTATTCAAATTATTTTCTTTTCTTAAAAGAAATCAAAAGCTTTTAACTATGAGATCGAGTGAAGAAAAGAAAATTGGAAAAAGAAAATTTGAAAATCGATTACTTTAGTTTAAAGTTTTTAAATATTATGAAAAGAAAAGGAAAAATAACCGGCAGAAAATTGAATTACAGTACGCTGATCTCCGCTGAATCTCAGTACACGCTGATCTCCGCTGAATTTCAGTACACGTTGATCTCCGCTGAATTTCAGTACGCTGATCTCCGCTGAATTTCAGTACCTGATCTCCGCTGAATCTCAGTACACGCAAATTTTCCCTAAGAATTGATCTTAACTTTCCATTCATCTAGTCTATTCAAATTCTTTAACACATTCGCGACGAGGCGTTTTTTTTGCGTTACTGCCCCAGTGGACGAGGGGGTGTCTCGCAAAGATATTAGCCCCAAAATACACCTCCTATATGTAAAATCTCATGCTGAATCCGAATCTCTAGTCAGATTTTGAAAATATTGCTGCCTCAAAAAGATATCGGCTCTTTTTGGCTCGTGAGACAAAACGCCGCATTTCTCTTTTCTCCAATGATCTGTTTTCCACGACTTTTGTTTTATTGGATGAAGCTCAGCTAGATGAACCTTTCATATCAACAACATTTTTTGATAAGACTTTATCCCAAAAAGGTCCTTTTACTGGGATACGCGCAATAGAGGTCTTCTATAGCGCAATCGGTAGAGCGTCTGTCTCTGGGACGGGAGGGGTTTCGTCCGGTGGACCACAATTTCGTCCACCGGTGGATCGAACCGTTCCAGGGGCCAGACGACCTTCGTCCACTTTCGTCCACCAGAAATTTTGAAAATCTGACACTAGAATCGTGTTCCCCACCCCCGAAAACCCCCGGATACAAATTTTTAGCTCTCTGGACAATACATCAGCTGTACAGTACGGGGTATTTCTAATTCCGGCTGCCGAACAGAGGTTTCTAAAATCTGAATTCGTGTTCTCCACCCTCGAAAACCCTAGACTACAAGCTTTTCCAAGAGTTTGGAAAATTTGGTTTGTTTTTGGTTGATACCTGGGAAGAAAGAGCATCTAGCGATGTTCTTTCGTCAACCTAGCAGAAAAACGCTTCGTCATCATTGTGTTAAGGGTTGTACAAGTGAACTCTTCTCATAGCGGAAAGTCGAATAAGTTCTAAAGTTGTGGTAAGTTATAGCAAGTTCAAATACTCTTTAATGTGTTTAATAATCCTCTAGAGAAATGTTTAATAATCCTCTAGAGATTTTAGAGAAATAGTAAATTCTAAGCATAAAGTATTTCAAGCCAGGAGAGCTTAAAAGAAAGAATAAAAGACTCTTTCTTTTAAGCTCTCCTGCTTTGAGGCAAAGAGTCACTCAAAAGTCTCTTTTATTTTGTATAGAATGACAGGTGGGATCGATGAATTTTCGATTGATGAAGAGAAGGAGATTCATTCAAAGAGATTCAAAGAGATTCAAATGGAGAAAGAGAAGAATCAAAGCCATATTCAATTCAATTCAATTCGATTGCCTTTTGGGTTGATTGAGGAACTGGATTGGAGAGTTGGAGGGGAAAGCAATGAATCTTCACAGCAATGATCTTCACAGCAATCAATCGAGCAACATCACTTCACACGCGATTATCAAGAACGGGGAAACACTCTCGTCGATGAGATCCTCAACTTTCACAAACCGGATTTGTTTATCCTGAATTTTCCAAGTTTCTACCGTATTATAAAGTTAGAGTAATTGCTTTTCGTCACCAAGAAATGTACTCTCTGAAATGTACTCTCTGAAATGTACTCTCTGAAATATACTCTCTGAAATGTACTCTTTGAAATGTACTCTTTGAAATGTACTCTCTGCTCACCTCACAAGTAAACGATTACTTTCTGGTTCTAGATTCAAAAAAATCTTCTTTTTCTATGAAACAAGGTTTAAAGGAACAGAAGTAACAAAGAAAAGAAGACAAAGAATCATACCTAACCCTCAAAAACCGAACCCTAACCCCCTAAAAGTCTATTCAAATCATTCCGAATATCGGCTAGATCAAAATCAAAATCTTCTTTTTCTATGAAACAAGGTTTTAAAGGAACAGAAGCAACTGGGCAAGCGACGTTTTGACAAAGAAAACCATATCTTAAACTCTATTCAAACCCTTCCGAATATCGGCTAGATCAAAATCAAATTTTCCAATCAAAATAGACAGTGAGACTTTGAAAATCACAAGGAAACCGTGAGAATTTAACTGTTTTTTTGGAAGTTTTAAAGTTCTCCGATTCTAATTGAGCGGAACATTCGATGGAATTTGGTACCCAAGGGGAAAATTGAAAGAAAGAGAGAGAGAAAGAGAGAGAAAGAGAAAGAGAGAGAAAAAGGATTGATGTTTGGTAAAGAAAGAGAAAAAAAGGAAAGAAAATTGATTAGGCAATTGCCCAAATTTACCCCCACCAATTTTCTTTGATCCCACCGATGGGTGCTTTGGGGTGTTTGGGGTGTAGCTTTTTTTTTTCTTCTTTTTTAGACTATGAGAGACTCAGACGGTTAGATAATTTTTGGGTTGAAAAAGAGGCTGAAAGATTGAGGGGGGGGGCGGAGCCTCGCTTGGGTAACGCAAAGGACCACTGGCATTTTTTTGACAACTGAAATCCCTTTGATTCATTTTTCTTTAGATATCAAATACTATAATGATATTCTTATATTATATAATCGTTGCTTATCTTCATAGTTTTCTGAAGAGAACTCAAAATCTTTATTTCTTTGACAGTTTGACTTTTGAAAGCTCTTTTGATTTGCTGAATTTCTTTGTTGATCTCTGTTGACCTTTGACTTTGGGTTTGTTGATTTTATAATATAGAATCAGTCTATGAAATATTGCTAGTATCCTTTCTAACTCCTTTCTGCACTTCTTTATCCTTCAATTCCTTTCGAACTAAGAATTGAAGGATAAAGCAGTGCAGAAATGCAAAAAGGTTTCAAAAAGGGTTTGAACCCTCGACCTTCCGCTTTTCAGCATTTAACCTCTAACCACTGAGCTATTTTGTACCTTGATTTGCCTAGAGAAAAAGGGGAACACAAGGGGAGAGTGCAAGATCTTTACTTATCTATCAAACAAAAGTTTACAAAGCATTTTCCTTTGAGATACTAAGAACTAGTCCTTTTTTTTTTCTTTTGATCAAATAAATATCTTGATACCGGTTTTAAATTATTTGTTATTTCTCAAAATCATTCGAAACCTTTCAGATTATCAATCAAGTATATCAATCGCTTTGAAGTGACGCATTTTCTCTAAAATGCGGCTCCGACCGCGAATTTCCCAATTTTCAACGGGAATCTCTCTGAATATTTTATTGATTTTCTTAATATTTCCATTAAAAGAAGTCTTTTCATCATGTGAACATTTGCATCATTCACCCTATGCGACGGTCGAATTGTTGACGAGAAGAATGGGTGAGTTAGGAAAAAGATTTTCCTTATCTAGATAAGAGCTTGATTTAGATTTACCGTATTTTCTCTAATAGTAGTGCACCCAGCCGAGTTGGTGACTAATTTACAGTTACAGATAGGTTTCCAAGTCTTCCCAGAAGCTCAACACTCAAATCCCCCACTAGATCTGATCGTCAGCTACATTTTCCGATCCCACATCGATAGGTTTTGATAAGCGGTTCTCGAGATTTCGAGGAATTCGAGCTTTCGGTGCACTACTATTAGAGAGAATACTTGGCTTACTTGACCAGCTGGCCGATTGGTTAAAGAGTCTTGTCTCTTAAGAATTTCCTAGCATTTTCAATTATTTTTTTTGCTATGTTTATGTTTTTGTTTTTCTTCTTCACCCCCTAAATGACCTGAGCGATCAAATTTCGGCTCTTAATGGGTGGATAAGTGGGATGGGATCAAAAGGAATGAAAAGAATGAAAAGAATGATGGAATAACGAGGAGAAAGAAGAGAATTGGAACAATATGTAAGCCAAAAAAGCTATAGTGCAAAAAACTTTTGATTGTTTCTTCTTTAGAAAACCATCTTTCGGGTAGTTATCTAAATGAGGATCAGCTCAGATTTCTATAGCAATACTTACGAAAAAGTTGACTATGAAGTGAACCAACCTTTGGCACTGTAAATCTGGTTCGGTTCGGTTTCCCAGTTCGGTTTCCCATCAAGGAGATTCAAAAAATGTTAAGCCGACCAGCTGGAAACGGCTGGTCCTTTTATGGGTTGAGGCTGAGAATGGTCGATGCCGGGATTCGATCTCTCCCTTACGATCTCTCCCTTACGATCTCTCCCTTACGATCTCTCCCTTACGGGGCGAACGCTCTACCAATGAGTTACACCGACTACCAATGAGCTACAACGATTCCAATTACCGCCAGAGTGCTTTATCTCTTACTGGCCAGACTAGAAAAAGCCAAGACAGAAGCCAGGGGTAAAACCTGGCTTTTTAACTTTTGATCAACTTTCCTAGGGTTGGAACTTCAGACACTCATCAAAACCAAAACCAAAACCAAACCAAATCAATTCTCTAACTCAGAAAACCATCTTTTCTTTCTTTTCTTTCACCTCTTTCTATCGAGAAAAGGAATCCTTCTATTCAGAGCAATCGTTCTATTCAAAGCAATCCTTCTAACTTCACAAACAAATGTCACCTCAATTTGCCACGATCAGGCAAAACGAAAATGAAATTTCTTGACAAAAAAGTGAAGACAAATTGGTGTCCATATGTTTGGGATGAATGAAAAAGGAAAACAAAAAAAAACCTTTTGCAATGCAAAAACCTTCTTTCGGGCATTCTTTGTCTTTCTTTGGAAGTACCAAAGAGAGCCAAAAAAAACTCGAAAATCATAGAAAAACGATTGGTCTTTCCTGGGAAAACTGGGGGGTAAATGGAAGAGAGAAATAGAGAGATTCATTCATTCATTTTCGATTTTTAAGGTAAAGATTGAAATTAGTGAAATTAAATCGATAGTTGGTTTGCTCTTGGTTTTGCCTGATTAAAAAAGCCTTGAAAACTTCAAAATTTCCAGGTGAGCACCTCCAAATTTGCCCACAATCCGACAAATCGTGTTGCACCCAGGCGATGGAGTTGCGGATACGACACAATGATGCGAGGGTGAGTCATTGAGTTGGAACTAGGGCAGAACAAAAACTTGTGCACTGCCGGGACTCGAACCCATGACCTTTCGCTTACCGGGCAACTGTGCTAACCATTACACCACAATGGTTAGCACAGTTGCCATTGTGGTGCTTTTGATCGAGGGACTTACCTCAGAGGGGCTCATGGGCTTTCTAACCAATTTCTAAAAGGAGGAAAGCCTGGTCGCTGTGGCGCAGTCGGAGGGCCTTTGTTTACCACTCACACTATCCGGGTTCGATCCCCGGTAGTGCCACAGAGTTTCGATTTTTTTGATTTTTGTTGACAATGAATGATAATGACACTATTATATTCAATTCTAGGCTTTCCGAGGCGCTGTCGAGGATCGAGTGATCGTCTTGAGGCATCTCTTGCATTCGAATTTAGAGAGAATGAGAAGTAAACGAGATTTAGCTTAGCTTTGAAAATCCGAAATTCTCAGCTCATTTCCTTTCTTCATTGAGCACTTGCCATACTCATCTGGACACGATGTTCAATCGAACATACGGTCGCTACTATCAACAGAATCGAGAGGTTGGGCACTGTTTTTATAACGGATATTTGAAATCATTGAGCAAGCTAACGTTTTTGTAAACTTAAACTGGAGTTTTAGCCAGGACTCGAGGTTAAAACGGTAAATTTATTGAGTTCTTGCTTTTATTAAAGGTTTTTGTTTTTATTTTTATAGAATTCATAATCCAAACCTGGTTCTGGTTTGGTTTAATGAATTTAGCCGCCAAAATTTCCCCCTAATGAGCCGGATGTGATGAGCCCAACGGGTAAATTAAGCACCCCAAAATTGGCCTAGTTTATAAAGAAATCTCGGAAGGGAGATTCTTTTGCGCTTTGCCATCGTTGAAGTGTGAAGTTGACACTTTCAAGTAAGGCTTTTTACTGTTTTCTTTCACGCAGCGGGAGCGCGTGTCAAAAAAATGCCTCTGGCTTTGCCGACAAAGCCGGCGGACACTTGGGACATTTGAAAGTCGATCGAAAATGTTTTTAGAAAATATTTTTAGAAAATATTTTCTAATAAATGAAATCTACAATCTACAATTTACAAATTGTAGTTTTCGACTTTTATCTGAATTTCTTCTTTCAGATCTTCTCGAAATTCTTTCGTCAACTGCAATCTTTCTCTAGTCCCCATTCGGTGATGCCTGTTGAATTGATGGTTGACAATCTCTTTGAAGAGCTTTATATCACATTATATCAATTGTTGAATCCATTGGTGAGCAGTATAGAGCAGTATAGTCTATTTTTTATAGATTATAGCTTTTTTCAAAATTATCTTAATGTTGTTTACAGAAAAAAGTGACTCCAGAAGTGCAACGGTGTATGAAAGAAACGATGGAAGAGGTAAGCTGAAATTTTTGATCAACTACACTACTGGACAATGAAATATGATATTTGAAAAAAAGATCGTCACTTTCGCGCGCCTGTAACTCCCTTGTCTTTACCGTATTTCTAAATATTAATATTACCATTGTGTAGCGCTTGAAAAGAGCTTTCAGAAAATGTATAACACTAATAGTTTAAACGCAAAGACAAGGGAGTTAGAGAGGCGCGAAAGTGACGATCGTTTTTCAAAATATCATATTTCATTGTCCAGTACTGTACATACCATAAAACGATAGTTTTTTTTTTATCAATATTTTAATAAAGCTAATTATTTAACTAATTATTTAGCAAGATATTTGTTAGTAAAAGTTGAATTTCCGAAAAAATCCACTATTGATTTAGATGCGCCCATTTGCGGAGGTGCCGAATCGACTGCAAGATGGTTTACGCCGCGGTTTAGAGGGATGGCGAGCTCTTTTAGCGCATCTCGACGAAGCACACTCGATTTTGGGTGTATTCCTTAATGTGAGTTGAATACACTTTGAAATCCAATTCAAATTCGATACTATCAAAATATTTCTTCATTTTCCTTTCTTTCTCGCCTAGATTGTACTCTTTTTGATAAACGCACCCCATCTGGCGCATTGAATTCGTTATTTTCTTATCTAGTATGCCAGTAAGGATGCATTTATGAGCCAAAATCGATTCTGAAATCCATTAAGATTCCATTTTCAAGTGTACTTTGTGCTTGAATCTGTAAAAGCATCCCTTTTGGTGCACCAAAATTTCCATTTTTTATTGTAGCTCAATTCAAAAAAAGCAATATCCAAGCTTTTAGGTCAAAAATGATCCAACCCCATTTTTATGACTGTTTAATATCTTTTACGAGTCAATATAAAGATCTGTTCCGAGATCTCAAAAAGATAAAAAGAAAAAGAACAGTTGTCTGGTCAAAATATGGGTTTCTTTTTGTTCTCTTATGTTCTGAAACAATCCTTCGTCTTGTCATAAAATGATACTGTGTCATAAAGAGGATTGCCGCCTTTTCTCCCTTCTCTTCTTTACCCTTTTGATCGATTCAATATTCTCAACAAACCATGGCCTTACCTAGATGTTATGGGATTTGGATAAGTGATCGAAATTTGCATTTAGATAGGTTTTTAAATCATTTTTGGTACTTATGCATCTGGCGGGGCGCATTTCCGAACAGCAACGCATTAAGCACTGTTATTTGAAGTTTTTTTTGTTATTAATATGTTATCTCTATCAAACAAAAAATATCATTGAAGCTAAACAATACAATATACAATATACAATATAGCAATATACTTTTGTATTGTATTGCTTCAATCACATTTTTGGAAAGTGTTCGACTTGGCACTGTTCGACCGTTCGATCTGTTCGGAAATGCGCCCGCCAGATGCATAAGTACCTATTTTTTAATTTCGAAATCATTTAAATGGGTTTTTAAAGAGCCTGGGACTCAATATGGTTAGAGTAATGACACGGATTGAGAGTCATTGAATCGGAAAGAAGATTTAATGGAGAGAAAGACAAAAGAACGAGATGGGAAATCCCTTTGATCTCTTTTTTGCCAATATTCTGATCGAGTACCCGACGGGGGGCACCTGTCAATCTTTGGAGACATTTCTGAGAAGAAAATTGTATTCGAGGATTAGTGGAAAGGAAAGAACTGTGACCGAGATTTGGATCCAATCCACTGGGGTAAAAGGCTTGACAATATGCATTAAATTACATATGGCACTGGCTACAACAGACTGTAAAAGAATGTGCTCTCTTGCAACTTTCTAAAAGGTTTTCCATCCTAGTTTTTGAAATTTCCGGAACAATCAAATGAAGCAAACGAGGTCATCAGACAAATTGTTGCCTTTGGCGCCGGTGTTCAAAAGTAGAAAACTTGAAAAACGTGGAATGATTTTCTAGACAACTCTCCCCGATCAGTGCCAAACGGGATTAGCGCGAATGGGTGATTGCTCGCTGTGCTCACAGAGTGAACCGACGAAGGTAAGAAGTTCTACAAAATAAGTAGTTAATAACCATTTAACCTTATCCCATACTTGTTTACTCACTAAGGCTTTTTCTAAAATAATTAGACACAAAATTCAGAAAGAAAAACCCCAAGAAGATCGATTTGATTTGTTAGATTTTGTGCGTTTTAGTTGAAAGAGAAATGAAGCTAAGTTTATGCGGCACATAAAAAGATTCAATAGAGTATAAGACAATAGAGTAAAAGAAAGCCAAAAGAAACAGAAAAAAATCATTTAAGAAATTTAAACAGAAAAGCGGAATAATATAAGAGAAAGGAATGTGGAGAAGAAAGTAAACGCGCTACAAAAGGGAAAGAAAAGCTTATGTGGACTTAAAAAACAAAGAAAACTCAAAAAAACTTTAAGAAAACTTAAAAACTGGAGAAACATTGCGAGCCGAATGAAAAAAAATGAAAAGACTGGCAAAAGGAGAATTTTGTGCGGGGTACGGTGCGTATCCATGCTTTAGAAAAGCATGCCGCGTCGCTTTTGCGCCAGTTCCTTAAACGTTAATAGGAACATAAGTAGCTTTTCTTAAGGATTTGTTATAGATTGAAAAAAGTTACTTTTTTTTTGTTATATTAATTTGTTGATTTGTTATAATTTGTTATATTATCTGTTATATTATCTGTTATATTATCTGTTTTCAGCCTTGCCTCAATATGTGCCTCAATGTGGCTAAGGGTTGCCTGGCCGAATGGGCCGAAGTCGACCAACAATGGGATCAACTTGTCGGTTCGTGTAAAATTTTCTATTTTTCGATCATTTCTGATGTTTGTAAAAGCTTTTGTAACACTTTTGCTAAGTTATTGCGTTCATATAGCCTTTAGATCTTTGAAAAAAAATTCTATTGAGTGAGTGGATATCTTAAAAATTGGCTGCATCAAAAAAAAAAAAATCAAATTACAATCAAATGACATCTCGAAATATCTTTCGATTTTGATTTTTATTGCTCATTTACTTGAGTTTTTCGATCTTTTACAAAAATCTCGCTTATTTTACTCCGAAAACCCGAGTAAACATCGGCTTGTCAATGAAAAATTTGGCCATTTGATCAAAAAATTCGTTTTGTTTGTTGATTTTTCCTCTTTTCTTTCTTTTTCTTTTCTTTTCTTTTTTTCTTTCTTTTTCTTTGCTTTTCTTTGCTTTTCTTTCTTTTCTTTCTTTTCTTTCTTTTCTTTCTTTACTTAAAAGTAAATGGAGAAATTTCTTTCCTATATCAAAAGCTCTTGAAGAACATGATTAACGATTGAGAGAGATCAGGGTATTTTTAGATAGAAAATAGGATTTAGAAATCAAAAAAATGTAGAAATCAAAAAATATCAAAAAAATATATTTTTTTTTAGGCAAAGTGACCTTCAATTAGCGGATTTAGTAATTTTTGTTTCTAAATTTGAGCCCTTCATTCCAAATTAACGTCGTTAAATTCTATTGTCGGCAAATTAACGTCAAGGCCAATCAGAATAGGGGAAATGATGATGTTTTGAGGGATCGGAGGTGATTGAACTGTAATTATGTTAGCATGGTGAATCGCATTACTCACTTTAGAGTGCCTTTCGAATGTTAACGATCTGCTTAATGATCTGCTTAGGTTTTTGTAGGGAAAATCTCTTGTGCTAATGCGTGATGTGCTTAATTTTCAGATTTAACTCTGCTCTTTTAGATATAGATCCACTTGATGTAGATGGATGATGAAATTTAAAGCTAAAAAGTGCTCAGGATTAAGCTTGAAATATGAGAATAGTTGAGCTAAGCGAGTGCTTTTCAATTTAAAACTTTATTAACTCAATTCCTTAACATTTCTAATGTCTTTAGCTTGTTTTTTTAGCTCTAATCACTTTAAAAATTACAATCCTCCAAATCTCTCGATCAATCTTCATTTTCATTCGTATCTGATCGAATCAAAGGGATGTCATTGTCAGATCAAAGAGAAAACATCCAGATGTCTATCATTTTCATGATTTTTTGAAAAAGAATCGCCCATCAATCACATAGTTATGCCAAAAGAGGAAAAAAAGAATCGATCGATTGCCCTTCACATTCCCTTTTCTTGACCCATTTCCTTTAAAAGTTACGTAATTGATACGCATTTGCATATATAGAGTTTGTGAGGAGATCAAAGAGAATTTGCACTAATCTTTGCAAATATTGAGGAAAGGATTTGCTAAAATCTTACGAGAAATTCTCGTTTAAATAATCAAAAATGATGTCAGAGCTAGTGTAAAACCGGTCCAGGTCAGGGTAGAGTCATCTAAGCCTTGCTCTGACCTTGCCTTGCCTAGCTGACCTTGCCTGCTGAGACATTCAGGGTTTAAAGCCAGCTCCTGACTGACTGGCTTCCATCATTGCTTGGCTTGGTCACACATAGCTTTACCTATCTAAACACATAGCTTTACCTATCTAGAACCTGCCATCTTACCGTGCCTGGCCGAGCCCCACTGAACTTGACCCCACAAAATGAAAGCCAGACAAAATGAAAGCCAGACTGAAAGCCAGACAAAATGAAAGTCTTGCCTTTCTTGAGTTGATCTGGCTTACAGACCTTAGGATACCGCTCGAATATCCTTATAGCTAGAAATATAAGCTTTTATGCATCCCATTAGATCCCAATTTCCAGGTAGCCTCTCGCGTTTGATCTCGTCGCTCGGCGGTCCACACAGTCTCCAATCGGCTTTCAATCCATTGCCCGTGCAAATATCCGAAGCGATTATGACATTTCAAGATAAAGGAGCCACGCTTACGAATAAGGTTTGTTGCGGGAGTTTCGATAACTTCTAAAACTTCTATAATCTATAATTAAATAAATACTGCTTCACAGACACCTGTTGATTCAAAATTGGGTGTGAGTTGGAGTGTTGAGTGACCTCCACACTTGAGAATAGGCTAGGAATGGATTGATTGAATTGGATATAGGAAAAGGGATAATCCTCTGGGTACACGATGATTCTCTAGGGAACTTAAAGTTGATCTTTCCCCCCTTGGGATGACCCGATTTGAGTCACAAAGAGGGTCAATCACCAAATGGTCAAGAGTTGACTTTCGTCGATGAGAAAGAGAGATGAGAAACTGATTCGTTTGAATAAGAAATGGATAAAGAACCCATGTATATGTTATGTCTGATTTAAAAATCCGTTCAATCTAGACTGATTCTAAATCAGTCTAGATTGAACTGATTTAGAATGATCGGATTGATTCTAGATAGGACGTCCAATCTAGAGTAAAGTAGGGTCAAACGTTCGATCTAGAATCAAGCCGACCACTCTAAATCCGTCCAATCTAGACTGATTCTAAATCAGTCTAGATTGAACTGATTTAGAATGATCGGATTGATTCTAGATCGAACGTCCAATCTAGAGTAAAGTAGGGTCAAACGTTCGATCTAGAATCAAGCCGATCACTCTAAATCAAACCTCCGATTGATCGACTTGATTCTAGATCGAACCTAACATATCTAATTTTTACACCAGAAAGGCCACTTTAGCCAACGTACACCTGAGCACAAAGTACACCGAGTATACAATGTGCAAAAAATTGCGACCACATCCTTTCTGGTGCACTGAATCCTACGAGATTCATTAGTATTCCTGCCTATTCACGGATTTCCCCTAAAAAAACTATCTAATCCAATTTGAAATGCAAATTCCAAGGTCATGAGATGATTGAATGAAACAACTTTTTGAACTAATCGTTATTCGAATTCTACGACGTTCAATTGGAAAGCCTTTTTTTTTTTTTGAAATCTTTTGAATCTTTTGAGGTTCTTTTTGATAGAAATATCCCTTGATCTAAAGAAATTGAATGCACAAATCTCCAACTGTGAACGAGATGTTTATTCGGAGTGTGAATGAGACGAGAATTTTTTTTTGTGGGGAATCCAAAAAGATCATGAAAATGAATGAAAAGTTTCAGCTAAAATCTCATTGATCTTTTGTAGAGATTTGAATGCTTTATAAAGATATTCATAGTTAATTTCAAATCTTTTCTACGTTAAATAAAAAAACGTCGAAAACTAAAGGGCGCGCCAAAAGTTCTCTCACCTCACTTACTGGGTTTTATTTCTTGAAAACTAAAGCTTCGGTTAAAATCTTGGTTCCATTAGAAATATTTGTTCATTTTTAAGTTCAATTGAGTTCAATTTCTAAAATTTTGACCACAAAATGTTTATTTGAAGGCGAACACTCAAAAAGTGACTTTGAGACACTACAGGGTGCGGCAGAATTATAGGTGCAGAGAAGTTCCATTGGAATATGACCAAAAAATGAAAAATTTGCCACAAAAACAGTTTTAACATATTTATTGAACTTAAATTAACAACTTTTATTGATCATATTCGAATCTTCCTCCTTTGGCGTCGATGCAAGACTTGAGTCGCTTGGGAAAGGCGTCGACCGTGGCGACCAAGAGCGAAGGCTCGTTTTCCGTCTTTATGTCATGCACCTATAATTCTGCCGCACCCTGTAGAATCGGTGAAATCTTCAAAATGATACCAGAAGCTGGTTCTGTTTTTTTTTTTTGGCAATAAATTCTCAAAGTTTATTCAATTTTTGAATAAAAAAAATTTCAGAAGAATCGATGGTTTGGTTCTTAAGAAATTTTTAGTTATTTAAAATGAAAAATCGCAAAAATCGACGGTAGTCCTATCATTTTGCAACGTACTACGTTGCGTTGATTGCAAAATACGTTGCACGTTGCAAAATGCAAAAGTACGTTGCAAAATGATGGAGGGGGGTAGTCAAAACAGCGCCATAATAGAAAACGTTCAAAACAGCGCCGTCAAATTTCTCACACTCCAAAAACCAAGCCGGTTCAAGTTTTATATCAAAAAATTCCTTGCGTTCTTGGCTACATGATGGGTGAAAGAGTTTTTTAAAAAAAGTTATTATTTCATAGATAAAAAGAGCACTTAAAATGTGTGTCGAGTGATACTCAGTTGGTTAACTGAATATCTTTAGAGACCGATTTTGAGTGCTCTTTTTATCTATGAAATATTGGGTTTGGGGAGAATGAGTCGGCGCCGAAAATCAAAAAAAATGTCTAAAACATCTATTCGACTTCGTCAAATAATATGCGTTTGATATCAGTAGAATGGTTAACTAATTCTCTACAAAATGACATTCTCTACAAAATAAAAGAAAATTCAAACAGCGCCTCAACTCAACAAAGGATCATTAGAAGCGTTTGTAGTTTGAAGTGTCTAGCGCTAGCTTTGTCTGACTCAGATTTTAGTCTTACAGATCTTGCCCTGATATATCTTTCATGTCCTAGAAACCGCTTAAACCTTTCTACTTTAAAAACACTTGCCTATCGCTGCTTCAGCCTATCGCTGTTGAACTTCTCATCTAGTTGATTGTAGTTGATTACCGAATTCTATCTCTTATAGTTGATTGTAGTTGATTATCGAGTTCTATCTCTTATAGTTGATTGTAGTTGATTCCCGAGTTCTATCTCATCTAATAGGTTGATGCATAAGTCTTTTCGTTTTTTTCGTACTTCTGTTAAAAAGTAACAAATTCACGAATTAATCTATAGTTTGCTCTATAAAAAAAAGCGTTTTTTTGTTCAATTTGCATCTTTTTAAATGAATTTCAGTTCACTTTCAAGCAAATTCGAGAGTGAAAAACGCCTTTTTCGTAAAAATCTATAAAAAACTCTACGGAAAAATTGGCTGAATGAATTTCTCTGAAATTTTGGCGAAATATCAAACGTTTTTTTTCTCTATCTTTTATCTATTGACACGAAGATAGGTTTTCTTTAGCTAAGGTGTCTAAACCGCATCATCGAGTTAGCCCTTTTTGACTACCCGACTTCATACTCTCAAGAAAATCCAGGCATAAAAATCCAGGCATATTTTTAAACCCGTTTTAATGTTATTTTGCAGAAAAATAATTGCTTTTTCTAATGAAATCAACCGTAGTTTAATTCGTGCATTTGTTGGCTTGAAACGGCAGACGAAAAGGAACAAAAACACTTATGCATCAACCTAATAATTCTCTACAAAATGACATTTAAAAGAAAATTCAAACAGCGCCTCCGCTCAAGAAAAAGCCATTTTTTCACAAAAACTACAAACTGTGATCTAGAAAAAACCATTGGTGGGATCTTCCTGCAAATTTGGCAACTTAAGTAATTGAATGCGCTCTATCTTTTTTATATAAGCACCAAAGAAGGTTTATGTGAAAGAAACTGTTCAAATGGATGAGTCGGACTCTTTGCCATTTTAACCAGCTGCGTTTGGAAGTTCATAAACTCGACGAAAGAAAAGCTTTGTGGAATCTCTCAAAAGTGATTTTGTAGAGAAATAGTGGATCCTTTTGATGAAACCAAACGTATGTTTAAAGAAGGCTTTATGTGTGCAAAAAGTCCCTTTAAAGTTTGGCGCCGACTCATTCTCCCCAACCCAATATTAACTTTTTTTAAAAAACTCTTTCACCCATCATGTAGCCAAGAACGCGAGGAATTTTTTTTGATATAAAACTTGAACCGGCTTGGTTTTTGGAGTGTGAGAAATTTGACTGTGCTGTTTTGAACGTTTTCTATTATGGCGCTGTTTTGACTACCCCCCAAAATGAAATGCAAAATGCAAAATGATAGGAAGTAAAGCCTCATTCCTCATTTCATTTCCAGGTACTTGCCACGTGTTTCACTTTGGACGAAGTCGACACAAATGAGAATCAAAAACGAAATTTCTATCGAGGAAAACGAGAAGTGAATGGAAATGTGAAGAATGGAATGGAAATGAGAAGAGTGAATGGAAATCCTTTGGAAAGATCAAAAAGAGCCGTTTGGTTACGACATGTACAAGAACAAGCTGATGGAAGTTGGAGAATGTTACAACAAATCATCAATGCTTTCAAGGAAAAGGTCGGATAAACTTTTGAGTATTGGGTTGGTGAATTGAAAATTGCGGGAATTTGAACTAAAATTTATTCAACATAAAACCATGAATTCATTCGAAATAATTTCCATTATTATTGACGACTTCTGCCTATTTTACAGACAATTTTCGGATTCCTCTTTCGTGGTAGGATTTTGGTTTTGAATTGAAAAACTTTCAAAGCCACTTTGTCAACTTTGACTGCTCCTTGGAAAGAGTTCGAGTAAAGAAAGAGAAAAGCGCTTTGGAAAGAGCGCTTTGTCTTTTCAAATTTCACTATTAACCTACAAGAAATACTAGGAAAGGATAGAGAATTGTAAAAAAAAAAAAGTTAATCAATCTATCTATTGGGTTGGTGAATTGAAAGCTGCCGGACTTTGAACTAAAATTTAAAACAACAACAGCTTACTCCTATTTCCAATACATGAATGCAATACCTTGTGGCTCAGCTTTACTCGGCATCTAATCACAGTCAAGGAATGCTTTATTTAAAAGATCTTTTTCTAGAATATCAATTTCTGAATTATTGGGTTGGTGAATTGAAAATTGCGAGACTTTGAACTCAAATTTATTCAACATAAAACCATCGATTCATTTCAAATAATTTCCATTATTATTGACGACTTTTGCCTATTTTACAGGCAATTTGCGGATGCCTCTTTCGTGGTAGGATTTTGGTTTGTGTGTGAGACAAGTGTGAGACTCAAAAATGGAGGACTGGAGCAGTTTGAGTTTTCCCAGTTTGAGCACTTTCTTCAAAAGAAACCCATTTTGGTGTCAATAGAAAAGTTGTAGAGAATCAAAAATTAGGCTTAACGCCAAATTTCCAAAAAGATACACTTAGTAGTTTCGCTTAAAATGCAAGTTTTGTGAAAATTCGTAAATTTGGCATTTCTTGAAAACCAGTTTTTGAATCATTCTGAAAATTTGGATATAAGATTCATTTTTGGTTCTCTACAACTTTTCCATTGACACCAAAATGGGTTTCTTTTGAAGAAAGTCCTCAAACTGTCACATAGGACAATAGCCCGCAGTTTTCAATTCACCAACTCAATAGAAAGGGTGTGTCACTTCAACATTTGTAGCTTTTATGTACTCTAATCTGGACTAACTTAATTTTACTGATTAGAGGACTAGACGATTAGGCGACTAGAACACCATCCAACTCTTCAGCTTACTAGTCTAGCCCATTTAGAACTCCAGTCTCACAAGGTTGAGATGACCTAGATCCGTTCTAAAGTCTTCAACCAAAATCTAAATAGAATAAATAACGTTTAGATTTTATGATTCAGCTAAAGTGTAACTAAAAGCTTCTAAACGAACGCTTTCTTTCTTGCCTCAGAAACCTTTCGAATCACCTCACTGCTCAACATTGTTTTCTTCTAAATCTTCTAAAATCCTTCTAATTCTTTGTCAAAACGTTCCCCCCGTCCCTCCCCTCAAATCTTGAATGTAATCTTGAAGAACACTCCTTTAAACCCTTATAGACCGAAAAGAAATCTTTAAAAAGAAATGATAACACTTTTTTTATGCATTAATCTTCGAGAAAGGGAAAAATGGCAAATTTTTCCTTTTTTAAATCATTTTCTCATCACAGGGATTCAAAATTTAAAAGATTCAAGGTTTTAGCGATGTAGAAAGTTTGGGAAAAAACGCTACTGTCGTAACGTGATTGACTTGCTTGTAGAATAAGAGCGTCTATCTAGAGGAATGAAGACAAATAAAAGAGTCACAATCGATTCGTATATAAATGTAGAAAATATAGAAATATAGAAATATAGAAATGTAGAAATGTAGAAATGTAGAAAAAGTGTGTTCAAAAAATGTCCAAAAAAAACAATGAGAGGGAGAGAAAATAAAATAAAATGACGAACTACGGGGCGTTTCTAGTGACAACCTAGACAGACGTGGTGCACTTTAGAAAACGACAATTTTGCGGAAAGTATAAAAGGCTCTCTTCTAGCTGCTTCTAGCTTACAATTTCAGCTTTGCTTGAGCTGTAGAATGATTACCGTATTTTCTCTAATAGTAGTGCACCCTAGGCTTCGTCTAAATTCCTCGAAATCTCGAGAACCGCTTATCAGAACCTATCGATATGGGGTCGGAAAATGTAGCCGAGGATGAGGTCTAGTGGGGGATTTGAGTGTTGAGCTTCTGCGAAAACTTAGAAAACGTAAAATAGTCATCAACTCGGCTGGGTGCACTACTATTAGCGAAAATACGGTATATGCATTGAATCAATAGAATTGAGATGGAAGTGGGGTCAGAAAATGTAGCTGACGATCTAGTTGGTTGTTAAAGTGATCTTATGATCTTGTGATCTTGCCTTATCGTGCCAGCGTGATTGAACCCTCGACCTTCCACTTAAGAGACAAGACTCCTTAACCAATCGGCCAGCTGGCCAAGTAAGCCAAGTATTTTCTCTAATAGTAGTGCACCCTAGGCTTCGTCTAAATTCCTCGAAATCTCGAGAACCGCTTATCAGAACCTATCGATGTGGGGTCGGAAAATGTAGCTGACGATGAGATCTTGTGGGGGATTTGAGTGTTGAGCTTCTGGGAAGACTTGGAAACTGTAAAAGTCACAGTGTAATAGTGACCAACTCGGCGGAGTGCACTACTATTAGAGAAAATCCGGTAACGAGTTTAAAAGCATTAATTTAGCTTGACTAAAATGAATTTTCAAGATCACACTGTAGTTTTTGAGTTGATTTTATAGCTTCTTAAAGGTTTTATAGCTCTGAATAAAAACTAATAAAGTTCCTTTGAAATGCACTTTTTTTTTTCAGCTCACTTTAACGCGTGGTTTCTTCAAAAAACTTCCGAATGATTTATGCGATGAACCACAATTCTCATCAAGTATCAATGAGAAATGTTGGACCGGGAAACACATTGGAAATTATAATCACGAAGTGGTGAAAGATGGCACAACTGCACAGAGAAATAATCCCGAATTCCTGGGAAAAGCCTCGTTTGAGTATAGAGGTTTGTTTAGAAAGTTAAACGATGATAAACCTTTAAAAACTTTGATTTTCTAGATTTTTAATCGAATTTCAATTCTTAAAACATTTTAAAGAAAATAGTTTTCAGGTCTTTTCATCGACGAGCGACTCCGGCTAGGAATGCTGGCGGCAAGAGTGAGAACAATTGCTGGTAAATTTTAAAGTACTATCATTCCTAGTTACAATATTTATATCACTTTTTACAGTATACATCAAGCCATGTTTTAGAACAAATTGCGGGGAAAAATTTCGACAACGATTTGCCAGAGTTAGATGAAAAGAGAATCGATGATGAGGATGAGAGTGATGAGGGAGAGCTCGAAGAGGCGTCCGGGGATGGAGAGGTGGGGGATTCAATTATCCAACTGAAACTTTATCAGTTTGCTGCCATGGTTGACTGGCTAAGAGCCAGGTATCAGGAGGTCAAGAGTTCGATTCCGGGGGTTAGATTATCGGTTCTTTTTCACATTAGGGTTTAGGGCAAAACCCTGTGCTTGTGTATTGTTTATACTACCTTATTCGTGTGAATAGATATATTTTTAGGACAGTTGTACCGTAACCTTTGGATAGTTGTACCGTAATCTTTAGATAGTTGTATCGTAATGTTTATACAGTTGTATCGTAATCTCCGGATCCGAATCCTAGATCCGGATCCGAATCCTAGTCCGAGTCCGAATCCTAGTCCGAGTCCGAATCCTAGGTCCGGATCCGAATCCTAGATCCGGATCCGAATCCTAGATCCGGATCCGAATCCTAGATCCGGATCCGAATCCTAGATCCGGATCCGAATCCGTCCGAATCCGAATCCTAGCCCGAATCCGAGTCCTAGCCCGAATCCGAGTCCTAGCCCGAATCCGAGTCCTAGCCCGAATCCGAGTCCTAACTAAACAACAAAACCAGTTTTACATCTCTAAATCCCTTGTCAAGTTTCATAAGTTCTTTTAGATTAAATTAAATTTACAAACAAATTTTCAGGATGATCACCAACCTCGATCCCACAAAAACAAAGACCGCACGAGGATACAAAATATAGAAACAAACGCTTTGGAACATACTTCAGCCAGCGGATATTCTCGATTTTCTATTTTCTATATTTTATTAGCACTCTACTTCATTCGGCAATTGTTATCCTGCTAACGTTCGTGCCTCAAGTTACACTCCAGTACAACTGGAGTTGGAACAAAAGCAGTTCAAAATGTTGTGCACCGCTGGGTGCTCGAACCCGGCGACCTTTCGCTTCCCGGGCAACGGTGCTAGCCATTGCAACACAAAGCACTTGGTGTTCGTGCCTTCAGATGGCGTTAACTACTGAATAGCTAGATTTCTCATTCAATCTTTACCACATTCCTCGTCTCTTCCTGTACCCTCTTGAAACTATCGTAATCCGTCGTAAAAAAAAAGGTAGCTTATGTGATTGGGATCTTTAACATATTGCATTGGCCTCTTCCTACCTTACTCTGCTTAAAGTAGTAGTAGTAAAAGGACGATAGTCTATCGATCTTTTATAGATCTTTTACTATATCTTGTTTTGTCTCATTCTCACTGTTTTTTTGCTCATTTCAACGGGTATTCAGCTTAAATTTCTTCACTTAAATGCAAATTTCTTCACTTAAATGCAAACTTCTTTAGTTAGATGCAAATTTCTTCACTTTTCCTCCATCTAGTCATTCCCCACATTCTCAGCGTACAAATGTGATTTCAAAAAAAGATGTTTTCTATTTTCTAATTTCTATTTTCTAATTTCTATTTTCTAATTTCTATTTTCTATTTTCTATTTTCTATTTATTCCCCTATAAATCTGGCTTTAATTTCCCCTTTATCAGTCGATTTTACGGGTTTTTTCTTGTCTGCAATTGTTGTTAAAGTACCCTTTTTGATAAAGAGCTTTTATTTTTGAAATTCTGAACTTTTCAACTTTTCAACTTTTGAACTGAGCCACAAAATTTAGCCACAAAATTAGCAACAAATTCCAATAAAAACAGAAGTGATCGTTTTTTAGATTTTCACTTAAATGATCAACAAAATACAATCGACTCTCTCTATGTAATGGAATGGAATTTTAATCCAATGCTAAGCTGTAAACAACAATGAAAATCGATGACAAAAAAACACTTAAATTGAATTGATTGAATTGAAAAAAAAGGATATTTTGTATCAAGTTGAACTTGAATAAGCGGTACTTACTTTGCGAGCTGTCATAATGAAACTGCAAATCGCTCTCTTGAATAAAATCTTGTAATTCTGGGATATTTGTTATGAACTGATCTAATCCTTTCTAATTCTTCCGAAGAAGGCAGCTCCGAGCTCCGAGCCTTGTCAGCTCCGAGCCAAACTGATATTTTCGTTACTATTGTTATTATTGAATGATTTGTCTATTCTTATGCAAATGTGTCCTCCCCTGTGCTCTCCCTTTCATATCCCGTTCATCGCTGAGAAGGGGCGGTCCTTGGGATTGGAAAGTCAAAAAAGCTCGATAAATGGGTGCCGTACGATTTGTACGAAAATCAAAAAAAATCGTCGTTTTGAGGTGTCGTCTGCTCTTCTTCAGCGCAACAAAAACAACTCATTTCTCGACCGAATCGTAACGTGCGATGAAAGTGGATCCTCTACGACAACCGGTGACGTTCCGCTCAGTGGTTAGACGCCGGAGAGGCTCCACAACACTTTCCAAAGCCAAATTTGCACCAAAAGAAGGTTATGGTGACTGTTTGGTGGTCCGCAGTCGGTCACATCCATCACAGCTTTCTGAATCCGGGCGAAACGATTACGGCGAAGAAGTACTGCCAACAAATCAACGAAATGCACCAGAGTGTGCCCGACATTGGTCAACAGAAAAGGGCCAATTCTTCTCCACGACAACGCTCGCCCGCACCTCGCACTACCGACCCTACAAAAGCTGAACGAACCGAGCTACGAAACTTTGCCTCACCCGCCATATTCACCGGAGCTTTCGTCTACCGACTACCACTTTTTCAAGCACCTCGACAACTTTCTCCGGGAGAAATGCTTCAAAACTCAAGACGATGCTAAAAACGCCTTCTCCGACTTTATCGCCACCAGAAGCCCGGACTTTTATGCTACTGGCATAAATAAACTTGTTTCTCGTTGGCAAGAATGTGTTAATTGTGATGGTTCTTATTTCGATTAATAAAGTTTTGTTTGGATCAAGTTATGGGATTTTAAATATTCACGTTAAAAACGCTCATTTATTTCCGGATAACCTAATATTTAAAATAGAAGATTCTACTACAGCTTTCAAAAATAAACCAATTAGAAGTTGCAAAGAATATAATAAGAAATATGATAAATATTTTGACTCATAAATAAACCAAGTTCATCTAGTTTTCAAATAAATAATGGAAGCTATTGATAACTCCTTAACAATTGATCAAAAACCCGTCTTTAATAATTCTATCCAAAAGGAGAACTTAATAAACATATTCCCCACAAGCGGATCAAATCTAAATGAGAATGGGGAAATGAATTTTGTGATTGAAACTTGCGACCAGTATCTACACTGTGGTGCAAAAGTCTTGTCCCACTTACTTTTCTAAAAAGTTTCATCAATTTTCTTCGATAAAGTTCATGGCGCTCTTTAAGCCATTAATAGTTTTAGTTACACAAATATATGTACAGTTTATTTACACAAACGTTATCGCTATACAACACTTATTCATTGAGAAAAAAAATATAATTGTCAAAACACCCCTGAAAATCGTGGTGCAAAAGTCTTTTCACACGAAACGAAATTAAGCTTTAATCAACATTTAGTCGCTCCTCCTTTTGCCAAAAGTACTTCTTTAATACGAGTAGGCATCGATGCAATTAATTCATCAAGAATTTCAGGTCCAATCGTCCTCCAAATTTTTCTGATGTAAAACCATAGCTCGACTTTACAATTGAATCGTTTTCCTCGCAATTTTGATTTCAAATAAGCCCATAAATTCTCAATAACATTTAACTCCGGTGAGAATGGTGGAGCCTTGATTAAAGAAACGTGATTGATTCCAAACCATCCCGGTAAATGTGCTTTTCCTCCATTCGAAATAGTCACAACGCGGCCCATCAAAAGTTTGCTCTTGTGTATTGGCGAATTATCTTGATAAAGAAACCATCCTGGTTTCATCGAAGCAGTCGCAAATGGAAGTAGACATCTGTCCAATATCTCAATATATTGGCGGGAATCCATTGTTGACTTTACGAGGACCAGCGGACCTTTTGAACTTTTACACATCGCACCTAAAGAAATCATTTTGAGCTGTATAAAAAGAAAATTATCCTTACCGAAACACATAATTGATCCTCGGCCCGTTTTCACCGTGGGTTGCAAGTACTTGAGTTGATATCGCTTTCCAATTGGACGTCGGATCAGATGATTTCGATTTGAAGGAAAAATATCAACTTTGGTTTCATCAACAAAAATCACTCGGGCCCAATCATCGATTGTCTAATTTGAATAGGTTCGAGCAAATTGAAGGCGCTGCCTCCTGTATTTGGCTGTCATCATAGGCTTGAAAGCAGGTCTTCTAGTATACAAATACTGCTTGAAGTAAGCGTCGATGCAAGGTCCAGCGGGAAATATTCTTGTTTGAAGTTTGTTTGAAAAGAATGACTCCATCGTTCAACGTCAAATTCGGATCCTTTTTGAAAGCTCCCGTAAGGAATCGGTCTTCATTCTTTGTTGTAATCCTCGGCCGTCCCTTTTTCCTACATCTGTGCACATTTCCAGACGCATTCATTTTTGCCATGACAAGAGAAACTGTTCTGGGCGTACATCCTAAGAGGCGAGCAACGTCTTGTCGTGGCATTCCTTCCTTCCTTGCCTCGACGATCCTTTCTTTATCCGGAGTTGACAAGTACGCTCCCGGCATCTAAAAACAATAAAATGGTACCAGTAAATACGAAGCGAACGAAAATAATAAAAATTTTTGCAAATGTGAAAAGACTTTTGCACCACGATTTTCAGGGGTGTTTTGACAATTATATTTTTTTCTCAATGAATAAGTGTTGTGTAGCGATAACGTTTGTGTAAATAAACTGTACATATATTTGTGTAACTAAAACTATTAATGGCTTAAAGAGCGCCATGAACTTTATCAAAGAAAATTGATGAAATTTTTTAGAAAAGTAAGTGGGACAAGACTTTTGCACCACAGTGTATTACCTAGCGAAAGTTATTTATATTTAGAAGGATCTCTAACCAAACCGGATGGTTCTAAACTTACAAAAGAAGAGAAAATTATATAAACTAATAATGCCCCCATGTTCTTATTTGATAGAACAACTTATAGCTTGAATGGTAGCCAAATTGAGAGTGTTAGAGATCCTGGAAGAGCAAGTGACAAAGAATTAGAAGGATTTGAGAAGAAAACAATGTTGAGCAGTGAGGTGATTCGAAAGGTATCTGAGGCAAGGAAGAAAGTCAGGTCCACCCTACATCGTCGATTTTCAGCGATTTTTTTATTTTATAAATGTTTATTGATAATCTAACAGCATTAACAAATTATGACATTACAAAAATAGCAAATGAATGAAAGATAAAAGATTTTAGAGGAGTCTTTAATCATTGGCACTACTTGGCTGTGCGTCCTCACGGCAGTCTTCACATAGATCTCGATCATAATAATCAGATACATCCTCAGTTTCCTTACCACAGTTCTCGCATTCATTAGGATCACTATAAGCTTCAGAAGTGACTCTTATTAAAAGAAATATTAAATAAAAAAGTAGAACATTCTTATATGAATTCATTTCTATTAATATAAAATCATAAAACTTACGACATTTCAAAAATGTGGAATAGAAATAGCTTGAAAAAAGATCAAGAATTGAGAAGTGGAATCAAAAACTGAATGAGAAGGGATTGAGAAGCGCTTGCTTTTATATCAGGAAAGATGTTGACTTGAAGGTTCTCGATTGCTCAAGAAAACTTATTTTTCATTGTCCTGGCGCCTACCGTTCGACTTATCTTCTTGGTGAAAGTCACCTGAGCGTTATAAATTTGCTGATAAGAGCGCTGATCCGTAAAATTTTGAAACTAAATTAGTTATATTACATAATTAATGTAGTTGATAGAAACAACAACCCAATTAATGAAGAAAATATTGTAACTATTCCAAATGGTAAATATACGTTTGATGAATTAATCATGACAACTAATGGATTGTTGAAAGAAGATAAAGGCTTTTTCAGAGCAAGTTTAGAAGGTAATAAGGTTATTATTGACATCACAAAGAGCGCATATTCAATTGACTTTAGCAAACAAAATAGGCTAGATAATGCAAATTTTGCTAGATAATTGTTTTTGAGGCTAGATAATTGTTTTTGAGTCAGACTCAGTCACTAAAAGTACAAAGGGAGAAGGCATACCATAGTAACCATAGTATACCATAGTAAACAACGGAATTTTCAGAGGTTCCCTCATTTGTCTTTTTTTCTGCAGTCGTGGAATTGTCGTTGAATCGTCTCTGTAGGTCTTTTTCTCTGTAGTCGTTGATTTTCAATCCAAAGTGTTATATATGAAAATGTTCATTGAAATGTCTACTAAAACACGGCGTACATCCCAAAATTATAGGATCTACGGCTTACGATATTTTGGGGTTGCAAGCCATCCCATCCCGTTTTTCTTTATAATTGGGGTATAGTGATCTCAAAAACTAAAAGAGCTAGAGACAAACGGTTTTCAGATTTGAATTCAGCATAGTCGAATTGCTAAAAGTATAAACGGAGAAGACAAAAAGTGTCGTCTATACCATAGTAAACAACAGAAATACAGTATTTTTCCATACTTTTGTCTGTATACAAAATAAGTTGGCATATCTCACAAACTAAGGGAGCTAGAAATAAACAGTTTTCAGATTTAAATTCAGCATGATCGAGTTACTAAAAGTACAAACGGAGAAGGCATTAAATGTCGTCTATACCATAGTAAACAACAGAATACAACAATGGTACAACAAAGACTTTTTTTTTTTGCTTTCTAAACCGGCTGTCTCTGATAAAACTTTGTTTTACGTAAAAAGGAGTCGCTTGTAATAAAAATGGCTAATATGAAACAAAATTCTATAAACATCGCCTTAGAAAAGACTGTAGCTGCAGCAATTGCAGCTACAGCCTTTTCTGTAGGCTGTAGCTGCAATTGCTACAGCCTAAGCCTAAGCCTAAGCCTAAGCTGTAGCTGCAGCAATTGCAGCTACAGCATTGCAGCTACAGCATTGCAGCTACAGCATTGCAGCTACAGCATTATCTAGCTTATTTTGTTTGCTAAAGTCAACTGAATATGCGCTCTTTGTTATGTCAATAATAGCCTTATTACCTTCTAAACTTGCTTTGAAAAAGCCTTTATCTTCTTTCAACAATCCATTAGTTGTCATGATTAATTCATCAAACGTATATTTACCATTTGGAATAGTTACAATATTTTCTTCATTAATTGGGTTGTTGTTTCTATCAACTACATTAATTATGTAATATAACTAATTTAGTTTCAAAATTTTACGGATCAGCGCTCTTATCAGCAAATTTATAACGCTCAGGTGACTTTCACCAAGAAGATAAGTCGAACGGTAGGCGCCAGGACAATGAAAAATAAGTTTTCTTGAGCAATCGAGAACCTTCAAGTCAACATCTTTCCTGATATAAAAGCAAGCGCTTCTCAATCCCTTCTCATTCAGTTTTTGATTCCACTTCTCAATTCTTGATCTTTTTTCAAGCTATTTCTATTCCACATTTTTGAAATGTCGTAAGTTTTATGATTTTATATTAATAGAAATGAATTCATATAAGAATGTTTTTATTTAATATTTCTTTTAATAAGAGTCACTTCTGAAGCTTATAGTGATCCTAATGAATGCGAGAACTGTGGTAAGGAAACTGAGGATGTATCTGATTATTATGATCGAGATCTATGTGAAGACTGCCGTGAGGACGCACAGCCAAGTAGTGCCAATGATTAAAGACTCCTCTAAAATCTTTTATCTTTAATTCATTTGCTATTTTTGTAATGTCATAATTTGTTAATGCTGTTAGATTGTCAATAAACATTTATAAAATAAAAAATCGCTGAAAATCGACGATGTAGATGTAGGGTGGACGCGACAGAAAATGGATATTTGATAGAGGACTTTCAGCCTCCAACTCGAGTAGATTGGGTAAATATTGCCTAAAATATAGGAGGGTGCGGGAGGTGGGTGATGGGTGTGCTAGAAGGTGGGTATTTTGATAAATGCATTAATTGTAGCAATGTATGGCAGGCGGATTGGGTAAATACCCGCAAATACCCTTCCTTCGTAGTAATCTAGACTAAACATCGTAATCTAGCTATTCTAGGTTGAATATCCTATTCTAGATTAAATACCGTAATCCAGAGAGTCTAGACTCAATACACTAATCTAGACTGATCACCCTAATCTAGACTAAATACCGTAGTCTAGCTATTCTGGACTGAACATCCTACCCTAGATTGAATACAGTAATCCAGAGAGTCTAGATTCAATAAACGGCTAGGAATGCTGGCGGCGAGAGTGAGAACAATTGCTGGTAAATTTTAAAGTACTATCAATCCTAGTTACTATATTTATATCACTTTTTACAGTATACATCAAGCCATGTTTTAGAACAAATTGCGGGGAAAAATTTCTACAACGATTTGCCAGAGTTAGATGAAAAGAGAATCGATGATGAGGATGAGAGTGATGAGGGAGAGCTCGAAGAGGCGTCCGGGGATGGAGAGGTGGGGGATTCAATTGTACACGTGAAACTTTATCTAGAACAGTTTGCTGTCATGGTTTGCTGCCATGAGCCAGGTGTCAGGAGGTCAAGAGTTCGATCCCGGGGGTTAGATTATTGGTTCTTTTTCACATTAGGGTTTAGGGCAAAACCCTGTGCTTGTGCATTGTTTGTACTACCTCATTCGTGTGAATAGATGTATTTTTAGGATAGTTGTACCGTAATCTTTAGATAGTTGTACCGTAATCTTTAGATAGTTGTATCGTAATCTTTAGACAGTTGTATCGTAATCTTTAGACAGTTGTACCGTAATCTTTGAACAGCTGTACCGTAATCTTTAGACAGTTGTGCCGTAACCTTTAGACAGTTGTACCGTATTCTTCAGACAGTTGTACCGTAATCTCCGAATCCGAGTCCTAACTAAACAACAAAACCAGAAGTTTCACATCTCTAAATCCCTTGTCAAGTTTCATAAGTTCTTTTAGATTAAATTAAACTTACAAACAAATTTTCAGGATGATCACCAACCTCGATCCCACAAAAACAAAGACCGCACGAGGATACAAAATATAGAAACAAACGCTTTGGAACATACTTCAGCTAGCGGATATTCTCGATTTTCTATTTTCTATTTATTCCCCTATAAATCTGGCTTCAATTTCCCCTTTATCAGTCGATTTTACGGGTTTTTTCGTGTCTGCAATTGTTGTTAAAGTACCCTTTTTGATAAAGAGCTTTTATTTTTGAAATTCTGAACTTTTAAACTTTTGAACTTTTGAACTTGATATTCAACTTTCGAAATCACAATAGAATCTCCTTTTTTGGTTACGGAGAAAGTTTAGCCACAAAATTTAGCCACAAAAATTTAGCCACAAAATTAGCAACAAATTCCAATAAAAACAGAAGTGATCGTTTTTAGATTTTCACTTAAATAATCAACAAAATACAATCGAGTTCATTATACAAACTATATAATGAACTCTCTATATAATGGAATGGAATTTTAATCCAATGCTAAGCTATATAAAGAAGCTTTTTTTAAAGTCCTTTCCATTCTGTTATAGAGAGAATCGAGAAGAGAATATATTCATTTAAAAAAGCTTAAAGACACGCCCTCATTCGCTCCTTGAATTTCTCAGCCAATCGTGCTGAAACCCCAGAGTTTTTCTTTAGTCGATCGCGTTCAGCCAAAACGATTCTAGAAAAAAAAGGTTTTGATCAACGTGGAAAACTTTGTTTTCTTGGAAAATGCTATAGTGGATCTCGAGGAAACTTTTGTATGGAAATTTCTATGTACATTTGTATGGAAGTTTGTATGTAAATTTGTATGGAAATTTCTATGTACATTTGTATGGAAATTTGTATGTTAATTTATATGGAAATTTCTATGTACATTTGTATGGAAGTTTGTATGTTAATTTGCATGTACATTTGTATGTACATTTGTATGTACATTTGTACGGAATTTTTTGTATGTTAATTTGTATGTTAATTTTTTGAATATAAATTTAAGAAAACATTTTGATTGTTTTCTTTAAAATAGCTTTCTTTTCATAGAAAAGATTTAAAAATCTCTAAAAAAAGGTTCTGTTTTCAAAAAGATTTGTAAACATCATTATTTTTATGTAATTTATTGGGATAAATATATCTGGAATTGATTTTTTTTGTTGTAATCTTTTTAAAACCCACAATCCCTCGTGGAAAAGCTGCTTGTCACGGGCGTTTAGACAGGCGTGGAGAAGGGTTTGCGTGAAAACATCTCTCTAAATGCGATAGTTCAAGATTTAGGGAAAGGGGAAAGGCTGGAAAGGTGAGATTTTCGTTTGAAAGTCGATAGAATGCATTTGGGAGTTTCTGAGTACAGATTCGGATTCCCTAGACGCGATTCTATAAAGCGTACTGTATAGTGAATTCTATAAACTCTATAAATTCTATAAATTCTATAAATTCTATAAAAGCATTCTATAGTGCATTGTTCAATAGATGTTCAAACAAAAGTCTCACCTTTCAGCCTTTCCCTTAGGTTTCTTAATTCAGGAAGATTCTTAATTCAGGCTCGGACTCGATTCGGATTCGAATTCGGATTCGAATTCGGATTTAAATTCGGATTCAGATTCAGATTTTAGATTCAAACATCCGCTATAAAGTCCGCTGAGTATCTAGACAAAAACTCGGATTCGGATTCAGATTCAGATTCAGATTCAGATTTAGAGTCAGATTTAGATTCAGATTCAGATTTAGAGTCAGATACAGCTACAGAGTCAGATACAGAGTCAGATACAGAGTCAGATTTAGATACAGATCCAGATACAGATCCAGATACAGATCCAGATACAGATTCAGATACAGATTCAGATACAGATCCAGATACAGATTCAGATACAGATTCAGATACAGATTCAGATACAGATTCAGATTCAGATTCAGATTCGGATTCGGATACAGATCCAGATACAGATTCAGATTCAGATTCAGATTCAGATTCAGATTCGGATTCAGATTCGGATTCAGATCTAAATCCAGATACAGATTCAGATTCAGATACAGATTCAGATTCAAATACCCGATTCTCTAAAGTGCATTGGGTGGCCAGAGAAAAACTGACCTTGAGCTCGTGCCTTTCTCTAGTTATTTGCACTTTTAACCTAGAAAAAAAGACTTTAGGTCATTTTGCTGACCTGTGCCGCACTGCCGCCAATTGTGACGATTTGATCGCGGATTGGGAGTAGGAGACGAGCGGCCTCGTCAAATCTAGAATCTCAAAGATTATTTGAATTTCCAAGGCTCAAAATTGTAAAAACGATTAAGCTGGCGTTCGTTTATGTCAAAAAAAAAGCGGACCTCTCATTGGCGAAAGCGTGCATCCCGTCGAAGAGCTGTGCCCCAACGCGCTCGCTCACTCGTCGATTGTCACCGGATGAGGTGCTGAAAAAGAGTTCTTTTTTCCTTAAAAGCTTAAAAGCTTTTCAGATATTGTTCCAGAAACACGTACGTAATGAAATTTCGAAGACTTTCCCTCAATTTCTCTTCTTTCTCGGGCTCTTTCCGTCGGATGAGAGCCGGTCCAAAATGAACATCATTGAAAGCGATCACGTGATCATCCAAGTGTTTATCGATTGAGAAAAGATCTTTCCACCTGGGAAATCGGGGATTTAAAGACGCTAATCAATATTTATTTAGTAGAAATTGCGCTAACCGTTTGCACAATTTACGAATTTGACATTTGACAGGAAAATCTTGTCACTTGTCGTCAAAGATGGAAAGCTAATAAACAAGATTCTATAAACAGCGCCTTAGAAAAGGCTGTAGTTGCAGCAATTGCAGCTACAGCCTTCTTTGTAGGCTGTAGCTGCAATTGCTACAGCCTACAGAAGAGAAGCTACAATTGCTACAGCCTACAGAAGAGAAGCTACAATTGCTACAGCCTACAGAAGAGAAGCTGGAATCGCTACAGCCTACAGAAGAGAAGCTGCAATCGCTACAGCCTACAGAAGAGAAGCTGCAATCGCTACAGCCTACAGAAGAGAAGCTACAATTGCTACAGCCTACAGAAGAGAAGCTGGAATCGCTACAGCCTACAGAAGAGAAGCTGCAATCGCTACAGCCTACAGAAGAGAAGCTGCAATCGCTACAGCCTACAGAAGAGAAGCTACAATTGCTACAGCCTACAGAAGAGAAGCTACAATTGCTACAGCCTACAGAAGAGAAGCTGGAATCGCTACAGCCTACAGAAGAGAAGCTGCAATCGCTACAGCCTACAGAAGAGAAGCTGCAATCGCTACAGCCTACAGAAGAGAAGCTACAATTGCTACAGCCTACAGAAGAGAAGCTGGAATCGCTACAGCCTACAGAAGAGAAGCTACAATTGCTACAGCCTACAGAAGAGAAGCTGCAATCGCTACAGCCTACAGAAGAGAAACTGCAATTGCTACAGCCTAAGCCTAAGCCTAAAACCTAAGCTGTAGCTACAGCATTGCAGCTACAGCATTGCAGCATTAAAAGCTGCAGCAATTCTTTTGCACATTTTCTTTTTATCAATTTTTTTAGATCAAATCAGTTTATTGTATTGTTTCGATTGTTTGTATTCGTTTTTTTATCGGTATCAGTTTAATTACCCAAGTTTAAGGTCTGATTGTTTTCGTTTGGTAGGCTTTAACCCTGATCAAACAAGAGCAAAAGATAAGCTAGATATCAATGTATAAGTATAGATTTAAATCAGGATACAAAAGTAAAGGTAAACATTGTTTTAACGATGTCAATGTCAAAGTCAAAGTCAAAGTCAAAGTCAAAGTCAAAGTCAAGTCAAAGTCAATGTCAATGTCAATCTCAATGTCAAAGTCAGTCCCAATGTCAAAGTCAGTCTCAATGTCATTGTCAATCTCAATGTCAGTCTCAATTTCGTCTCTTTAAAACGATTCACCCTATAAAGACATTCGATTTAACGATGGAGAAATCCTCGCTTGCCTTGCGAATCGTTAAATTCAGATTTAAGTGCAGTGTATTTGGATGCGAGTATTTAAAGCAATACACACACACACAAATAAACATAAACATAAACCTTTCCATTGTGCCATATTCCTACCGTTTCCCAACATCGAACCCCTCCAACTCTAATCGCCATAAAATCGACGCCGCATCAACATAATCCAAAAGTCCATGCGATTTCGCTTGTCGAGGACCGATTTGTCTAGAAATTGAAAATAATATAATAATAATAAATAATAAAACCAAATTTCGGGGTACTCCAGTAGTTAAAGTTGCTTCAAAATCACAAGATCAATCTCTTAAAAAACGAAATTTTTATGCTACAAACTCGAACTAGATATAGAGCTTTTTAGCTTAAAGCTTTTAGAGCTTTTAGCTTAAAGCTTTTAGAGCTTTTTAGCTTAAAGCTTTTAGCTTAAAGCTTTTACCTTAAAGCTTTTAGCTTAAAGCTTTTAGCTTAAAGCTTTTAGCATAAAGCTTTTAGCTTAAAGCTTTTAGCTTAAAGCTTTTAGCTTAAAGCTTTTAGAGCTTTTAGCTTAGATTAGAAAGTTTCACCTTTTCAACGTGAAACTTTGCTTTTCTAAGTCTAAGTCGATAGACCGATAAACAAATAGCACCGTCGAAATCATTTTGAGTGCTATTGTATATGTTGTATCCGATTTGGATTCAATTGAATTCACCTTAAAATACAGGAAAACCTTTTTTGGGCAAAGGTGGTGCTAACGGACTGTTCTAGGTTGCCAGAGTTAAACCTCGATAAAATTTCTAGAAAATGATCAAAAACCTTTTTAAAAACATGACACCCTACTGTGAAATAATGTTTCAATCCAAATCAGATATCCAATTTGGATTGAAATCCAAATCGGATACAACATATATAAATAAAAGCAGCCTCTGCCCGTCCTTTCCTTTGTAAACGCTTTTTCTCAGTCATTCTTTTTGCCCAAATAAACTAAGATTTGTTTTTAAAACACTCAAAATGCAATATAGTTGTGTCATTTAAAATCATTTTTTATTTAAAAAAATCAAAACTCAAAACTTAGTGGCACGACGGAGAGTCGAACCCGGAACGTGTGGGCTATAGACCAGCGTACTTGCCTCTACACCATGGCGGCAGAAAGCGACCTTTAACGGCTAGCTAGATAAATCCACCTAACGTCCCAAACACTTAACGACTAAAGCCAAAAAATTCGCCGTTAGACAGGTCTTTCGGCTGGTTTAAAATTGGAGTACTGTACAATACAAATTGCAAATTATTTCGAGTACAAATTGATTTCTTTAAAGCTCACTTGTCAAAGATCGATATAACACTCTCTTTGTCTCCATCTTCAATGTAGAAAAGCGCGTTGTGCCAATAGTTGTGAGTGGCCAACATGTAGCATGGCTAAATTAAGAAATAGCACTAATTAGTACTGTAATATTAGGTCAATCAGTAATAGATGAGTCATTTTTCTCTTTTCTTACAATTTGCCCCAGTTTGCCAATTAATAGACGATTTTTTTCGCTAAAAATCTGTTTTTGAGTTATTTGAGTGATTTTTAAAAGAAAAATCAGTTTATTTTAACAAAAAGAGACAGGAAACCCTGGCTTTTTTTTCTTGTTTTTTCTTGAAATTTATGAATTAGCTGTGAAAAAGGAGAACGGTTGATTTATTTACGCTCGCGCTCACCTCCCAATCAGCCACCGTACCCTCCAAGAAGCGAGCTCCCTCCTTTGTCCTGCCATTCATTTCCATGCAATGTGCCCGTGCATGTGTTGACCAACAATCTTGCTTTTGAAGGCTTAGTCCCTGTATTTTTCAATATTTTCCCCATAAAAAGCCGACTACAAATACTTTCAGCGCTTGCTCCTCGGCCTCTTTGTACTGACCGCACTCCTCCAAACCGAAAGCGTACATTCCGTGGAGGTAACTTGAAATTGATTATTATTATTATTATTGAAATATTCGATTCTATCTATCGTATATTATAGTATTCATCTTTGGCTATTTATTATATCAAAAGTGAAAGGATTTTTTATCTCTATTACCGTACCTATAGCACGGCTCATCTTTCCGCACTCGATCGATCACTTTCGCCACACTGTCTCGCTTGTTCGTCGAGTCGCCCATAAAGAAATACCTGAAAAGAATACGTCCATTACAGTATTACAGGATTTTTTTTGCAGTTCTTTGAGGTTTACCAATAAGTCCTCTCGTTTTTCTCGACCGTTTTTTTTAAACGATAGCTCTGAAAATTTGGTTACCGTGTTTTTTCTTGAGAATTGATAGAATTGAGATGGAACTCAATTCTATTAATTCAATGCATATACCGTATTCTCTCTAATATGCCAATATCTGGCTCCTAATAACGCCAGAATCCTCAAAATTATATCAATATCTTTGTTCCACTAGTATTACCCTGGTTTACTAGTACCGAATTTTTTCTAATAGTAGTGCACCCCGCCAAGCCGAGTTAATCACTATTTTACGGTTTCCAAGCTTTTGCAGAAGCTCAACACTCAAATCCCCCACTAGATCTCATCGTCAGCTACATTTTCCGATCCCACATCGATAGGTTCTGATAAGCGGTTCTCGAGATTTCGAGGAATTTAGGCGAAGCATAGGGTTCATAGAGAAAATACGGTACCAATAAATCTCAAGACTACAAGAGCAAAAACAGACGAGATTTTCGAGAGAATGATTTTGGAAACGATCAAAACCCATCGGTGAACCCATTAATAGAACTGACCCATCATGTGCAAACTTGAGCGCCATTAAATCATTTGGATGATCGCTGAGAATCCTTTCCCAAACCTCGGTCGCTTTTCGCATTTCGCTGAACAAAGAATTCTCAAAAAAAAAAGCTTTACTTTACTTGATTCAAAAACAGAATACACACTTATTCAAAGTTGAATCTTGAATATTTTTTCCTTGATGGTTATAAAGATCCAAAGTTATAAGATCTGGACGAAGCTTAAGGTCTGGTTATAAGGTTATAAGGTTATAAGATCTGGACGAAGGCTAAAAGACGATCAGATCCCGCCTGGCATAGTCTATAAAAAATAGACTAGATTGATTTCCAGGGATTTTTTGAAAGTCTAATGCAAAAGAAAAAGCTAATGCAAAAGCCTTTATTGTTTTCAGTTTGTTTTATCTATTGTAACTCTATTATTTTCCTAGATTTCCATCGATTTTATTAGTTCATTTTATTAGTTTTCCATTCACCAACCCATTCGCATACAACGCTGCTCCTTGTGCATGCAGTTTTTCTCTCTCTGTTCCCATTTTTTCGGAATCTGCTATCAATTTCTGAAAACTTAAATGATTCTTCAGAAATTCTTCATTTCACACACATCGATTTGTTTTTTATATTCGACATCAACGCGTGGCGTGTGAGAAGTGGAAAGGGATTGGAGAGCGATCGTGAAACAACGCGGTAACACTGGAAATTGAAACGATTGTACTTTGAGCAAGCAAATGTGCGAACAAATGTGCAAACGAAAACCTTCTGGTGTACTTAATTTCAGAAAATTTCCCTCAAAAGAAATGTGCAACAAAACCAACAAGCTTCCGGATCAGCGGCGCTCATTTGTGTCATCGTGTGATCGATGCCGCCGAGTTGCTCGCATTTTATCCAACTAAAGTATTTTAGCATTGTGAAATAGGTGATTTGATAAAAGAAGTTTCATCTATTACTAGTTATCGGGATTACCTTAACATTTTAACTTAGCATTTACCTTAACATTTACCTTAACAATTGTCGTAAAGTCGCGTCAAACATTCGAGCGCACTCATTCGATGTGGTCGTCATCGGCAAACCGCTCGCTTTCCAGCCCTAAAATCATGCAAATATCTTTTTCATAATAATTTACGATAAATAGGATTTGTGATCTTTATATTACTGATATTATTACCGATCTTATTACTGATATTATTACCAACCTTATTACCGATCTTATTACCGATATTATTACGGATCTTATTACCGATCTTATTACTGATCTTATTACCGATCTTATTACCGATCTTATTACCGATCTTATTATCGATCTTATTATCGATCTTATTACCGATCTTATTACCGATCTTATTACCGATCTTATTACCGATATTATTACCGATATATTACCGATCATCCGATCTTTTACGATCTTATTACCGATCTTACCGATCTTATTACCGATCTTATTACCAATCTTATTACCGATCTTATTACCGATCTTATTATCGATCTTATTATCGATCTTATTACCGATCTTATTACTGATATTATTACCGATCTTATTACTGATCTTATTATCGATCTTATTATCGATCTTATTACCGATCTTATTACCGATCTTATTATCGATCTTATTATCGATCTTATTATCGATCTTATTACCGATCTTATTACTGATATTATACGATATTATTACCGAAACGACTTTTATCGATCTTATTACGATCTTTACCGATCTTATTACTGATATTATTACCGATTACCACTTACCGATCTTATACGATCTTATACCGATCTTTCCGATCGCCAATCTTATTACCGATCTTATTACCGATCTTATTACCGATCGTATTACCAATCTTATTACCAATCTTATTACCGATCTTTATCTTATCGATCTTTATATCATTGATCTTTATATTATCGATTTTTATATAACCGAATTCTTCTTTTAGAATAACATGCTCCAATCGAATTTAACAAAACCCTTTTTAACATACTAAACATTATTTTCTTTACGGTTTTACTTTACTTTTTTATATTATTTATTATTCTTTAGATATGCTCTATTCGAATTAGGATTTGCAAGAAAAACAAGATCTGATCTTCAAGTAGTTGGAGAAGAACAAAATGCTGACGATGCTCTTCTTACAACCCTCTTTCTATATCCAAAAGAAAAAAATCAAGCTTTTGATGAGCATGTACGCAAAGAAAGCATTAAACAACGATGCATTAAAACGATTTGAAGTCAAAAGATCAACGATTAATTGGAGACAGAAAGAAAGTGAGCTTTGAAGCGACATGCTCTATTAGGTTGACAGTTTTTCGTATTGAAATGGAATGGTATTTCGTTTTAATAGAAGAATTATGATATCTAGCTTTGTCTAGAATTAGCTGGTAAGCTAGTTTTATCTAGAATTATGGTATCTAGCTTTATCTAGAATTCGTTGCTAAGCTAGCTTTATCTAGAGCTATGATACCTAGCTTTATCTAGAGTTATGGCATCTAGCTTTATCTAGAATTAGCTGGTAAGCTAGCTTTATCTAGAGTTCTGGCATCTAGCTTTATCTAGAATTCGTTGCTAAGCTAGCTTTATCTAGAGCTATGATATCTAGCACTTTATCCGGCTTTATCTAGAATTATGGTATCTAGCTTTATCTAGAGTTCTGGTATCTAGCTTTATCTAGAATTCCTTGCTAAGCTAGCTTTATCTAGAGCTATGATACCTAGCTTTATCTAGAGTTATGGTATCTAGCTTTATCTAGAATTAGCTGGTAAGCTAGTTTTATCTAGAATTATGGTATCTAGCTTTATCTAGAATTCGTTGCTAAGCTAGCTTTATCTAGAGTTCTGGTATCTAGCTTTTTATCCGGCTTTATCTAGAGCTATGATATCTAGCTTTTCCCAGCTTCTCTCACCTCTATATCTCTTAAATTCGTCGCACACCATTCGCCCATTCTCTTTTCTTCTTTAGAATATGAAAATTTTCGAATCTAAAAGGAAATTTGTGTGACGATTACTTTTTTGATCTTGAAAACCAGGTCTACACCTGGTTTTCAAGATCAAAAAAAAAAATTCAGAAACGAAATTCTCTCGTGTTCCTTTAAAATTTCCCAATTCTCAAGCAAAAGAATGGTCAAATGAGAATTGAGAAAAATGAGAAAAATGAGGAAAACAGCTTTTTCCCACCAGCCGAACACACCGGCAGAAGCAATTCGAATCAGACAAAATGGGGTGGAAAGAAAAGAAGAAAATGAAAAGAGAACGAAAAGAGAACGAAAAGAAGAACAAGGAGAACCAGGTTTGTTCTTGGAAATCCCATTTCCCATTCGTTTCTTCTTCTTCTTTTTTTTGAATCATCTCCTGAAGGATCGACCTTGTCTCATTTTTCTGAGCAATTCTTCTGCTTTGACTCCTCCTGACCTCCGTACTTTCCTCCTAAAAGAGATCAACGAGGTTGCGCTTTTTTTTTGACCGGATTTCGATTTGTCTCTCTTTTGAAGAACTCCTTTGCCTCTGTCACGTTCAAATCACAAAGCTCATTTTGAAGTTTTTACCGTATTTCTTTTCGATTTCTTTTTGAAATTATTACCCTTGTAGTATGTTGTAGAATAATTTAATTGTAGCATACTTATTCATAGGTAATTACAGTATAAATCTAGAATTTTTAAACCACGATACAGTTGGTCAGAATTGTTTAAAAACTCTTCTAAATCAGCCCAAAACTGGTTCACAAAAAGTAGAAGCTGGCTTGGCTTGGCTTGGCTATTTCCTTTCTTTCTTTCCTTCTTTCTTTCCTTCTTTCTTTCCATCTTTCTTTCCATCTTTCTTTCCATCTTTCTTTCCTTCTTTCTTTCCTTCTTTCTTTCCATCTTTCTTTCCATCTTTCTTTCCATCTTTCTTTCCATCTTTCTTTCCTTCTTTCTTTCCTTCTTTCTTTCCTTCTTTCTTTTATTAAATGCGATTCTCATCTCATTGGCATAAAGATAATCTTTTGATGTGAGAAAAGAATTGCTTTTTTTTGAAAAGAATAAAAAGAGTGAGAGATTGAGAGAAAGGGATCTTATTAGTGGAAAAAGGTAATAATTGGATGTGCTTTGGGAGATTTTGCTTTTTGCTTTTTGATAAACTTTAGACCATTAGAACTTTAGACCAACTTTAGAACTTTAGACCGTAATCCAAGCTTATAATATCCTAGCTTCACTCAAATCTAGCTAATAAAGTCTCCTTTCTTCTTCCTTTCTTCTTCCTTTCTTCTTCCTTTCTTCTTCCTTTCTTCTTTCTTTCTTCTTCCTTTCTTCTTCCCCTTTGTCTTTCTCTTGACAAGTTAAGGTGGATAGCTCAGTGAATAGAGCAATTCCCCGGAAAGCAAAAGATTGAGGGTTTAATCTATGTGCTTTTTCTTCCCATTTCCTTTAATTCTTTATTACAGTTGTTATAATATCTCTTACAATAATTGATACAATTTTCTGTATCAAAAAAACATATCAAATTACCGACTATAAACTTAGAATTGCTTCTCTTATTGCCCGTCATTTTGCAAAGGTTTCAAAAGGATGAAAAGTAAAAGCAATGCTTTTAATATTTCAATATTTCCTATCTACTTTCATGATTAAACGATTTGCTAAGATTACAGAAACTCTTAAATTCATTGTACAATAAGTATTGCTAATCCAAATTTTCCAACACCATTCAAAGATTGCAAAAAAGAACGGTTCTTTTTCAAAAAGATCGCCTCTTGTTCAAAAAAGTCGCTTCAAAATGGAGAAAAGATATTGGAAAAGAGATCATTGTGCAAAAAAAAAAGCAAAAGAATTTACAAGAATTTGCAAGAATGTTCAAAAATCTTTATTCAGATAGAAATTTTTGAGATGAAAGGCGCAAAAAATTTCCTGGAGTTAACGCTGATATTTCTGATGATATTGCAAAAGATCAGGTGATTTTAAAAGAATAGAATATTGAAATTTTAAAAAACAGTAAGGGACATAGGATTAGATTCGATATTTTGTGAAATTTTTTGACAATAATCTTTTCAAAATAATTTCAGATCAATGTGTACATGGATTGATCATCAAACGTGCGATGAATTATGCAAATCGGATTCATATTGGTGAGTGAAAAAGAAAGAAAGAAAGAAAGAAAGAAAGAAAGAAAGAAAGAAAGAAAGAAGAGGAAAATTTAAACTAACTGAATATTTAAAAAGATAAGTAAAAGATATTCAGTCAAAAAAATAGCTACCGTAAATACTGTAATAGTACCCCGGCACCCCGATAATGACGGTGTGGAATGTTGTGTAGTCTAGCTTTGAACGAGTTTTTCTCGACACTGGTTTACGCTACAATGCTCGTTTAGGTATCAAAAAATAGCTGAAATTCAGGGCTATTTTTTGATACCTAACCGAGCATTGTAGCACAATCCAGTGTCGAGAAAAACTCGTTCAAAGCTAGACTACGCAAAACTCCGCACCGTCATTATGGGCGGTGTGGCGTCCAATTAAAGTATTTACGGTAACTCTTTTTTTTTAGGTATGGTCATTGCGCTGGATGGGACGGGATGGATTTCAGTTGTAAATGCTTTGATTACAACCCACCGTTGAGCGGTGATCGATGCAAGGAGAAACAAAAGAAATGCGAAAAAATGTGCATTAAACAGGTTGGTGAATGGGAAAAGTACATGTGTACTAATTACAAGTAAAAATAGACAAGTACTTTTACTTGAAAGATTCTAATCTTTTCAAGAAGTGAAAGGGGTGAAAGCCAGACTGCAAATATTGCATTAGAAAAGAGAAAAATGAAAAGAAAATGGCTTGTCACAGAATTTTTTGAAAAAATTCTCTTTTAACCCATAAAAATATCAGTGTTCTTGTATAAAAAATCTAAAAAAAAACCATTTTTACATTAAAACTTGAAACTGTCAAAAATTTTGAAATAAAAAAAATAGATCGATTTTCAAATGCCCTTGAAGAATTGAGAAGAAGAAGGAAAAATTTACAATCAAAGGCCAATTCGATGTATTTTGAAGGGGATATTTTGCCCGTTTAAAAGACGGGGAAAGTTGAGAGAAACAACATGGGAAGAGACGCAGATTGGGAAAGAGAATTGAGGAAAGAGGGAAAAGGGAAAAAATGGGGAATTGACGAAAGCTGAAGCAAAACAAGGATAAAAAAGGGCGAATGGAGGGAGTCCTGAAGCCGTAAACATTTTTCTAATTTGGCATTGCGTAATCCAGGGGTGAAACGGGGTGTTCTTGGTGTTTGATAAGACTTGAATTTTGAGTGATAGTGTACAAGCACTTTTGCTTTTTTCTCTTTAATCAGGCCATAGACAGATTTTGCGACAAATGACGCACAACCAGTCTGCCAAGAAATTTCGTTATTAAAAAGTCGCAAAATTTCAATTTTAGAGGCTATTTTATGTTGCACAAGTACCTTCGCAAAAAAAAATGTTACATTTAACAAACGCCAGTTACATTTGGATAAATGCAGCTGATGATGGCTAATTAGCAGCTAAAATCTCAATTCGTGATTGTTTTTAGGTATTTAATAGTTTAAGACAAACTTCCAGGGCTTGGAGGGCGGCTTTTGCTACCCGCAACGAGACAACGATCTGCGCACGAATCGCACCGCGTGTGACTGTTTCAAGGCACTCCCACCACAACTCCGTCGCAAGCGCTCCCTCATTGAGAACGATGGGAAATTTCGATTACGAGTTCAATAAATGATATCTCTCAATTCCTAACACAATATCATCCCTTTTGTTTCCTTTTTTCCAACTAAAACAAATAACTTTTATTAAAGTAAGGGAGCAACAAAAAATGTAGTAGGGAGTAAAACAACATTAAAACAAAACAATGCATTAAACTTCGTTTCATTATTAACGGTAACAACAAAAGTGATACAAACTAATGGGGAAATTTTATGCGTACCTTGTCCAGCAAAGTCGCGCCATTTTTGCACTCAAAACGTGTAGCCGCTCACCGTCTCAATGATGTGATCGCTTTCGATAAGCAGAATGTCGGCTTTGTTCAAGAGCTCTGCCACCTAAATTAGAAAATTAGTTAGATACATTACAAATGCACGTGCAAAGTAAAATTCTATTAAGTACCCTATTCCTTACTAAGTTTTAAAACCCAAATAACCTTGTCAGCATCTGACGACCTTGCCTTTCGCAGAATATCCATCATCGATTGCTGTGGAAGTGCCTCACCAAGAAGAAGCTCCATGTCATCGACATCAAAATCAGGCAAATCAAGCTAAAGTCTACAGTTCAACATTGATCAGTACCGCCCAGGTAGATAAACAAGTAGCAACACCAACCGTCGTTGATGCAAACTCGGACTTTTCCGAGCGAACAAAAGCACCAAGTTGACGCTGAACATCCAAAATCTCTGCGATCAAATCCTCGCTGATGTTCAGCTCGTCGCCCAGCTTTGCTCTAAACAAAAAATGTATCATACACAAAAAAACAAGCTTTAGAGTCATCAATGTAAAAACTTACTTGATTTTGAGAAGCGACTTCTGTGCCTTTTGAAGAAGACGAGTGACATTGACGAGCACTTTCTTCTCAATCTTCTTTTCACAGCATTCAGCTTTTTCTAGACCGAAACATGATAATTGAACCATTATTTAAAATTTACCTTCACCACAACCGCATCCGGAAGGTCCCTCAACATTCTTCTCCAACTGATCCGAGTATTCACGATAGTCGTGGGTGAAAATGTCGAACTAAACAAAAAATATACATGGTGCAATGGAGTATTAGACGACTACTTACCATAAATACTCTAATAGAAGCGCATGCGCTTCTAATTTTTCCCTCCCTCTCTGGGGTGCGCTCTTTTATGAGAGTATTTAAGGTACGTTCAAGCCTGCAAAACAGGCATAGAACCTGGCTTATTTGGTTACTGAAACAAACAAAAAATAATGCTACGTAGTATTTTTAGAAATGCCGTCTTGCAACGTAGAATTAACTAATTTTAAGCATTTCCAAGATTTTAACGCAATGTTACTGCAAAATAAACAACTCAAATCGATAAAAATTTTAAAAAGCCGACCTGACTGCTTTGAAAGCTACATGAATCGATCATCCGATCAGCATCCTCGACCGAGTCGAATTCTAGAAAATCTGCCATTACCTGAAAAGAAACAAAAATGAGTTACAGCATAACCGGTTTAAACAAAACAAATGAAAAAGTAATACAAAAAGAAAATAATGCGAAAAAAAATGTACACAATTTTTAGAATTCGCATCTATTTAACTGAATATCTTGAACAAGTAATATAAGATTATAGAGTTCATTGTTTACTCAAACTTTTTCACTTCGAAGGGCGACTCCGATTCAAATTCCTTTATTCACACAAACAAAACGTCAACAATTCTTGGTTTTCGCTGCACTTCAGCTCAATTTCACCCATCGGTCCTTCCGCACCCGTTTGAGTAACGCTATGTGCTTCACAGCTTTCCGAAGTGGTTCGCCAATCAGATCGTTTACGAGTTTTTCCTAGTTCAAGCTAGGGATAGAGTTTGTTTTTTTGAAAAAAAAAACCTTTGAATAGTTGCTAAAGTCGATGAATTTTAGAAATTCAATCACAAAATCGAAGCAGTTCCATAGTTCGTCATTATAGTGCTAAATTTAGTCTTTGGGGTCATCTTCTTGTCAAAAAATTTGTGTTAAGGTAGTTTTTAACTTTTAGAATTTCGAAAACGGCTTAGATTTTAATTAAAGCCGTTTTCGAAATTCTAAAAGTTAAAATTAAGCCGTTTTGTCGGGAGTGGGACAAATGCGACCTTTTTTTTGCTAGAAAAGGCCTTAGGAAAGGTCGTAGAGCTTCAAAAAAGTTTTCATAGAAGGGAATCGTATGCGTAGATTCCGATTTCGACAATCAGATTTCGCTGACACGTCAAATTTGGACTAAAAGGCAAAAACTACGCAACTTAGCGCTTTTCCGCAGTTTTTGCCCTTTAGCCCAAATTTGACGTGTCAGCGAGGTCTGATTTGTCGAAATTCGGAATCTACGCATACGATTCCCTTATATGGAAGTATTTTCGAAATATTTTCGAAGCTCTACGGCCTTGCCTAAGGCCTTTTCCAGCAAAAAAAAGGTGCGCAAATGTCCAGGTGCGCAAAAAAAAGGTCGCATTTGTCCCACCCCCGTTTTGTCTTCTTCTTGTCAAAAAAAATTGTGTTAAGGTAGTTTTTAACTTTTAGAATTTCGAAAACGGCTTTAATTAAAATTTAAGCCGTTTTGTCTTGGTCTTACTTTTGATTGAAAGACTTCTTGCTTTAGGGAAACGAAATCCCGAAGTTTTGCGTCGAAACTGTTTAGATCGTTCGTAAATTCCGTGAAGAGCAAACAGTCATCCCATCCCAAATTTTCTTTGGAAATACCTAAATTCCATTTTACAGTCATTCTGCCGAATTGTTTATAACCATTTGTCCAAAACGAGTAAACGAAGCTCTCGGAATTGACGATTCCGACGTGAAGATCATTCCCCAGTTCATAACTTGAAGCTGATTGTTTTTATTTTTATGGAATTTAGTGACTTACTCATTAAAGCTCCCTTCTGACGGTTTCAACACCAATCCACAACTGCATGAGACCAAATTTCGAAATGGTGATAGAAAATGTTGCAGTGTAACGAAATCTTCCGTTTCTTCATCGCATTCTGGGCAAATCTGCAATTGATTTCAGAAAAATTGATTTCAGATTACCAGTAACTTTTTCTCCTCAAGGAATAGAAATTTCGCGGAACATTTAGGGTGTTCTTTAAGTACAAGATTCATTTTGGTTATTGCGTCAACAGAAACTTTCTTTATTCGGCTGTCCTATCACGCCATTTAATACAAAAGACGAATCGGGGTCGCGCTTTCTTGGGTTTGGGTTTGAATTTTTGAAATCCCACCAGTTGCTGGGCCATTTTACGTTAAATTGTATACAATACTACAATTTTTTTCGCAGTTTCGGTTTTTCTTTTCCTTTTTTTGTAAACTTATAACCTTTTCTCTTTTTTAGATATGGCGAGACATCCAGTTCCGTTGAAAATTGATGACATCATCGGTAACAACCTCGTCGAGCCACAAGAAATCGATTTGGATCTCATCGAACAACAAGTGAAAGCGCTCAGCCAAAAGACGACCATGACTTTCAACGAACGAAGCCACGAGAATCATCAAGACAAACTCGATTTCCGTGACGCTCTCGACGGCTTGGTTACTGAATTGACCGAACATCGCCGCGAAATCGAAACCAATGATGCAAGAGTGAAAAAGCAACTCGACGGTCTTCAACAACTTGATAAGGACTTGGAGAAACTCGAGAAAGCCGTGAAACGAATGGACGAAAATGTGCTGACGACGATGGAGAAATGCCTCTTGGATACGCAACAGCTCAACACGAAAAGTTATGCCTAATTGAAAAATATTTTGTATATAGCTTTTGCGGTTACTACTGTGGTTCACTTCAATTATTTGCCCCTCGATTTTGATCTCTTTTGGTTTTATATTTGCTCGATTGACGATAAACTTTAGGAGATGCAGCGATTTGGTGATGCTGTTCAGCTGCCGGGTTGTACGCACAAGTTGGGATATTTGCAAACATCCACAGGTTGGCTTTAGTTTGAAAATTAATTTGGCAGACTTGAAAAATCTTGCTATAAATAGTTTCCTTTACTAAAATTATTTAATGTTGCTTTTTTTAGGTAACACAGCTTTGGATAGCCTACTAGGCGGAAGCCTGCCCAACACGGCGCTTTGTGTTGTCGACGAGCTTTTAACCAGGCAAATGCTTTTGGGCCGCTTTAAGACTTTTAGTTTTGAAAAATTAGATCAAGAAATCACAGATATTGATTTTCTTTAATATTGTTAACGTTGTTAATCTATAATTTTTAGGTGTTATGGCACAGTTCTGTTGCGATATTTCGCCTCCGAGGGTGCTCATAACGGCCACGACTTGTTGATTTGTGGACCAGAAGCCAGGGAGCTCCTTCAAAATCTGCCAACCAGAATTCAGTCGACTGATGAAGGTAATTTTGCCATTAAAAGTTTTAATTATGCCGAATTTAGGCAAATCACTGCCAAATTCTGGGCCAAAAGAAGAAGACTTGAAGATTGCGTGGCGCTATCAAACATTGCAAGAGAAAAGCTCTAATGTAGTTTTTGTAGCACATTTTACATTCATCCAATTTTTTAGCTAGGTCAAACAAAATTGCGCTACGATTTGGGCAATAACTTGGAGGAGCCAACGAGATTCGGAAGTAAAATCGATGTCCTTGAGAATGATTCGTACGAAACTCTGCTCGGCGCTCTGATGGAACGATTGAAAAGCAGCGATTATAACAAAAATGAAAAGGTAATGTGTTTATTAGTTGTTATTTGTAAAGTGAGCTTTAGTCTCCAAAGAAACGATTGCTCCGAATTGTGATTCGTGGTCTCGGCTCTCCACTTTGGACCGATCACAAATTTCTTCCCCGATTTCTTTGTGAGTTAAGGTAATTATTTTTAGTTATGGCGTTATGATTTTATTAAACAATACAATAACTCTAAAACATATTTTAGACTTGCTTGTCGTAATGCTTATGCAGTGGTTATGTGCACAATTGATACGACATCGTTTCAGGTATTTTTAAAATATTGACCTTATCATATTAAGTACTCATGCGGATAAAATTTGATACTAAACATTGCTAACTTTTATTCTTTTGGTTGTTGTAATGCTTTTATCACATTTATCTTTTAGGAAGCGTTAACCCATCGAATCGAAACGCTTGCCGATGCCCTATTTCGGCTGAAACCAATCGAGGAGAAAGAGCGCAAAGCATTAGGAATCGGTGACAAAGCACATGGATATTTTCAGGTAAAGGCTTTATATGTTTTCTTTTCCAAAACCTATGAAAGCATAAATGAATTTTATGTTCAGATAATTCAACTGCCTCGAATCACGTCTGCGGCTCCATTCAAACCCGAATCGGTCGATTTAACGTTCGAGTTGCATCGAAAGAGCTTCGATATAACGGTTTGTTTCAAATAGCGTTGTTTTGCTCAAAATTTAATTAGTAAATATCAAAATTAGCATGCACTTATCATCTATCTTTCCTTTTTTAGGTTATTCATCTACCACCGGCTTTTGGCGACGATTCGACAACAAAAGAGTCGATCCCGGCTGGAAAATTCACATGTTCCTCTGGACTTTCTGCTTTTTAAAGGTTTATTTCTTTGTTTTAGCACTTTTTTTTGTTAATTTGACGGGTTTTTTCATGTTTGTGATCCAATTTTGTATTAGTCTATAGAAATTTATTGAAACTTTAATAAAATCGGTTTGAGAATCGAAAACGAGACAAAGTTTTTGTATGTGCAAATGACTAGAATTCATTCAGCGTGATCATTTTTGGAAAAAACAAGTTACAACTAACACAAAATAATTTGGGGAAAACTTTGGTTGAGGCACCCTGGGCAAAGAAAATAGCTAAAAGAAGATGAAAACCGAAAAAAAAATTGCAAAAAAGTATTACCCGTATTTTTTCTCATTTTGCATGTAGGGAAAGGGTTTTTGTGTGTATGGCATAGGATTTGAGAAGCTGACACCCATAAAAGTTAAAACTGAAAAAAAGGAGAGCAGTACTAACAAGTTTAGAGATTAAATCTGCGTAGAATGACGAGTTTGTGAGGCGATGATCGCGTTGAGACGCTCGGCACTCCCGGCCAACGATGTATATGATGGAGGTGGTGAGGGAGGACGTCTGAATTTTGGATTGAAATTCCGACTGTAGCACTTTAAAATGTGTGCTCCTTTCTCGATTACCGTAATCCTGTCTCTATTTTTTTAAATATCAAATATATCTATTTTTTTTAGTCTAATTCTAAAAAGTAGATAGATTGGGTAAACAAAAAAGAGACAGGATTACGGTAGTCGGATAACTGGGACACACTTTAGAAAAGTGATTATTGGATAGAAACTCTGTAATCTGGAAGATAATCAAGCTCTAATGGTGACATCAATTATTTAGCTACATAAGTTACCTTGTATTATTTAGCTATATAATTTACCTTGTATAATCACTCGGCGCACCGTGGCCTGGTGGTGGAATGATCGTCGTGTTGTACGGTTGTGCCATTCCTTCGGAAATCGTCGCCACATTTGCCCCACCATACTCTTGCTCGTTTGCCTAGAATTTGTTGGGTTTTAGTTGGCTTTAGTTTCTAAAGCCTTTATCGAACCTGTACCTGTTCAAAAAGGCTTTAAATTTCAAAATCAAAAGCCCCACCAGCATTTCTCGTCTCACTTCATGCCGTTTACATTCGTTCAACATTTTCTGTAGACATTCTCTGTCTAATGGCTTCTCACTTTCATCATCTCCGCCTCGTCGACATCCCCAGACGAGTGGCCCAAAACAATCGCAGAAACAGCCACGCATCATCTGAAAAATGGAAATAGCTTAGAAGCTATTAGTAAAGATTTAAAAGAAACAAGATTTTAATGATTTTGTGATTTTGTTTGAAAAATTTTGTTGAATTTAAGCAAAAAACCCCAAAAAAAACCAAAAAAACCGTTGGAATAAGCTCTCAAAACGGCAGTAAGTCATACACTCGAAATTTCTGTTTTCTTTGTTTTTGGAGAAAATTGAGAAGCTCGATCTTCGAGGAGAAGTGTGTGAAACAAAACGGTGAGCAAATATGATGGGATATGTGTGGCGCTGTGCGGTAAAAATCGACCCCAAATTATGAGTGGGCGCGGGCGCCAAGCAAACCAAGCCAATACACGGCCATTTTTTAGCCTCGTACTTTTGTCCTGGCACAGTAAATCTTCAAAGTAAATCTTCAATTCTTCCTAGTGTACTAGAAAGCGAAAGTTTTAAAGCATAAAGTAGCCATTTAGCTTATTCGATACCGAAAATGTATCCGATTTTAAGCAATAACAATTTTGAATAGTTGGGTAAACGAGGCAAGCCTCAAGGCTGAGCTTAAAGATGAGCTATTTTGAGTAGTGCAATTTTGAAATCAATATCAAAATCAAGCACTCCATAGCTGCATTCAGAAAAAGTGTATTAAATGATGACTTGTTCACTTGTTCACATTTTCTAGCTTCATTTTCATTTAAAGCTTTTTCTTTTCTCATCGTTTTCTTTCTTTCATTTCTCTAATTCAAAAGACACTCATTCTTTCTTCTTTTTGAGAGATTCGACACTAATTCCCACCGATTAGGCAAAAGAAAAGAGAGAAAGAGATTGAAGGTAAACACAAAATTGTAAGCCAGACGAGGCTGCAAGGGGAAAAGTTGAGGAGCAATGTAAAGAAATGTAAAAAGAGATGAAATCATTTGGACGGTTATATATAAAGGGACTAAGACGTCCGTCTGTCTGTCCGTCTGTCTGTCTGTCTGTACGTTCGTCCGTCTGTCAGTCCGTCTGTCAGTCCGTCTGTCAGTCCGTCTGTTTGTCCATCTGTCTGTCTGTCAGTCCGTCTGTCTGTTAGTCCGTCTGTCTGTATGTCCGTCTGTCTGTGAGTCCGTCTGTCTGTCTGTCTGTATGTCTGTCTGTCTGTCTGTGAGTCCGTCTGTCTGTCTGTCTGTCTGTCTGTCTGTCTGTCTGTCTGTCTGTCTGTCCGTCTCTCTGTGCGCGCTACTCCTCAGCCCCCAGAGGACCGTTTGCAATGATTTTTGCGTCGTTGAATAGGGAATTACATGTAGTTGTGCAATGGGTTTTTGGATTTTTTAAAAAGCATAATTCGAGTCGCACGGGGAGGTCGAACCCGGATCATATGGGCGATAGACCGGCGTTATTCACTGCTCCACAGCGACAAAACCCATTGATTCCCAAAACATTCGAGAAAAACCCGCCGTTTCTCGGCTGGTTGATTAATAAAGGAAAGAAAAGGAATGGCAAAAAATATGGAAGCAAGGGGAACTGAATCGTCGACCTAGTGCTTGTCGGGTAGAGGCTCTACCACTGAGCTATCAGCGGCTTTTTTTTTTGCTCAAGAAGGAATAGGAAACACAAGGAAGAAGAAAGAAATATTTATTTAATGTTAGAGTTTTTCAATCAACTTGAAAACAGTATCCAATTCACTTGAGCTAATATTTCCCCAACTTGTCGATCGAAATCTGTACATTAGATTCGTAAAACTTTTGATTTCACAAATTTCTACACATTTTACCAATCTAAATTCTCATTTAGTCGTAAAAATTAGGCAAGGAATACTTTTTGGAAAGGATGAGCTTGACCAATATTGTACTTTGTACTCATTGAGTACAAAGTACAGTACTACATCTCTGTTTTATGCATTGAGTACTCAATTTTTCGATGCTATAAACAAAAATAAAGGGAGCAAAATGCGCCAGAAAGAGTGTGTTTACCCCGTAAAACGTACCCGAAAAGCTTAAAGTTAAACTAAAGCTACTTCAACAAATTTATGGTTTTCAAATTCGCAAAAAAAAACTCTAAAATGAGATGCCCTTTTGCCCCGAATTGTTTTTCCTCTTTCTCTTCTTTTTTTCCTTATCGAATACGTCCCATTATTATTGGAAAACGGGCCAACGACTCATTCAACAAAAGAATGAAACAATTTTGTGGGGGAAAAGCCACAAAAAGACTCCATTGTTCAAGGGATAGAGTCACAAAAAAAAAAGTTGAGCCCACATTTTTGAGGTGTTTTCTGTTTTCCGGAGGCATGGGAATTTCAATGAAATTGAATGGGACAAAAGAGGGATTTTGTTGCTAAATGGATCATCTATCTATAAATAAAAAGATTAGTAAATTAAAGGGTTTTATCAAGTGCTTGATACTCCTAGCTCCAGGATGCAGTTTAATCAATTGAAAAATCTTCCAAAGTCAAGCCAAGCCAGCATTGAGTCAGCCCAGCTCTTCAGCAAAGCCCAGAAAAATTGCTTTTCTACTTTCCTTCTTTCTTCCTTCTTCTTTCCTTCTTCCTTCTTCTTTCCTTCTTCTTTCCTTCTTCTTTCCCTTGTCTTTCCTTCTTTCTCTTGGTAAGTTAAGGTACCGGATAGCTCAATGGTTAGAGCAAAAGGAAAGCAAAAGGTTCAAAAGGTTGAGGGTTCAATCTGCTCTTCGGAAATCTAGTAGCCAATTCCTTTAGTTCTTTATTTTAAACAACTCTGCTGATCCCTTCAAATCTATCAACCTAATCTACGTAATCGTAATCGAAATTTACGTATTCTACACCAAGTACTTAACTTGTGGCAAAGTTAAGTAAAATTGATGAAACTAAGTGAGTTAGTCATGAAACTAAATCAGTTAGTCATGAAGCTAAGTGAGTTAGTCATGACACTAAGTGAGTTAGTCATGAAACTAAATCAGTTAGTCATGAAACTAAGTCTATAGTCATGAAACTCAGTCAGTTAGTGATGAAACTAAGTGAGTTAATCATGAAACTAAGTCAGTTCACTTAGTCATCATAACAAAATAGAGTTGAAATTCTAAAGTCTATAAAAAGCCTATAAAAATATAAAAGCCTATAAAATCCTAAAAGTATTATGAATATAAAAACAAAATTTTCCTTTCATCGAATGGAAAAATGAGTAAAATGAAAAGAAAAAGCAAAAGAAAAAGCAAAATGAAAAGAAAAAGCAAAAATAATATCCCCGGGGTAACCCAAGGGATTTTGCGAATATTCGATGAGAAACGAAAATGATGAAAAGATGAAAAGGGGGAAGAGTAAGTCTGAGAAATTCATTCATGGAAAAGATCTTTCTAAAGCTGAGCCTTGGAAAAAGCTAAAGAGTAGTCGTTCTAGAGCTTGGAAAAAGCTAAAGAGTAGTCGTTTTCATTCCTCAAAAAGCCCCAGGGTACACTGGGGCTTTTTGAGGAAAAAAAAGAGTATAGACCCGGCTGAAGAAATAGCCTCTTTTTGCCTCAAAAAATCAATTGCAACAAGCTGCGGCTGCGGCCTTTTTAAGTCCCTTTTTTTTAGCTCATTCTTTTCTCTCAAAATGTAACGGGATCTAGATTTCGAAAGAGTTTAATGATGTTGATTTTAAAAAAAATAGTAAACGATGAAAATTTTTGTTTTTAAAATAGAGCTATAGTTTTCAAGAAAAGGTTTTCGTTCGTTCGTTTGCATTCGTTTCATTCATTTTATAAATTTGATGATTAAAAACTTGAGCCTAACTATTCATAACTAGAGTTTGTTCGTTTCGAATAAAGCCTTTTTACTAAAATGCATCGATTTGAGAAAATAAAATAAAAAAGGCCCCACGCGACCAACCCCCCCCCACTGGGGCGGGGCGGCCCTTCCTTGAGAAAATCACCGTAGTCAAACAGCCAATTTAATTTAATCAGCTCAATTTTGGTATCATTTGATGAGAAATCACAAGGCTCAGCTAATGATATAAAAATTGTATTGATTTGATGAAAACTAACGCTTTGACTACGGTAGTTTTCTCAAATAGGTGCATTTTAGAAAACGCTTTAGTCGCGTTAATCGAGAGGAACACAATCTATCCATAAAATAAGCTAGAGTAAGCTGTGTGCTAGTAAGCTAGAGTAAGCTAGAGTAAGCTAGAGTAAGCTAGAGTAAGCTAGAGTAAGCTAGAGTAAGTAAGAGTAAGCTAGAGTAAGTAAGAGTAATGCCAGTGCAGTTGCCGGTATAGCAAAGATTAACGTAAAAGTTGCCATTTTTTAACTATTCTTTAACTTGAATATCATTGAATCGAATTGAAAACTCACCAAAAATGTGACACAAAAGAGACACAGCAACACGACGCCCACGATGAGGATCATACTACCGGGAAGGGCTGAACCGTAGCTCTGAAAAGTGCATGAATAGAGCAATGATTAGTTGAAGAACTTTGAAAGTTTTATTAGCCATTTTATGCCAATAGTTGGATTGATTTGGGTTGTACTTTATGCTTAGAATTCTATGTAGCATTTCATATTTTGTTTTTTTTTAAAAGCAAAAGCGATGTCACGGGCGGGAATCGAACCCGCCCAATAGGATGCCTCACACTGCCCATCGTCTAGCACGCTACCGACTGCGCCACAACGACCATCCCTGCTCCTTCAAAAATTCAGCTAGAAAAACCTGCCGCTAGGCTTTTTTGGCTCGTACTTTATCCATCTACTTGTGCTAGAATCACGCAAATTCTTCCGGATTTTTTTTAAAGGTGTCTCGGATTGTTTTAATACGAATTATAAACGCGTAGAGTACAGTACTTTACTATAATCTATTTTCCTGTCAAATTTATCAGTATGTTTTTCAACTTTTCAACACCCACTTCACTCTGAATCAACGGCAAGGCGATCGGCGGCGGAATCTCGCATGAAGAGCCCGAGTATTCCGGGGGACACCTTCAAAAGTTTAATATAATAAAATAAAATTCAAACATTGATAATAAACATTGATAACATTGATAATAAAATCACATTCAAAGCTTTATAAATTATCAATGAAAAAATTTGTTAGAAATTCGTTTTCTATACATGAAATTTGGCGGAGAGGAAATTGAAACGATTTTTGAGCAAACAAAGAAGCAAATGAAGATTCGAAAATGAAATAGACAAAAGGATTCGATTGGGGAGATGTTTTTGGCATTGAAAAATGATTTATTTTGATTTATTGATTGATTGATTGATTTATTTATCAATTTTGAACAATTTGAAGCTTCAAAATCACTTTTTAGTCTCACTTTTTAAGTTTTTAGACTTTTTAAAGCTTTTAAATGAGTTTATATTGTTAGGAAGTTTACTTGAAAACAATTTTAAACAATTTTAAGCTTCAAGATCAGCTTCAAGATCAGCTTCAAGATCAGCTTCAAGATCAGCTAAGATCAGCTTCAAGATCAGCTTCAAGATCAGCAAGATCAGCTTCAAGATCAGCTTCAAGATCAGCAAGATCAGCTTCAAGATCAGCTTCAAGATCAGCTTCAAGATCAGCAAGATCAGCAAGATCAGCAAGATCAGCTTCAAGATCAGCTTCAAGGTCAGCTTCAAGACAAAAGGATTCGATTGGGGAGATGTTTTAGCATTGAAAAATGATTTATTTTTCAATTTTCAACAATTGTGAACAATTTTAAGCTTCAAGACCACTTTTAAATCTCACTTTTTTAAGTTTTTAAACTTTTTAGACTTTTTAAAGTTTTTAAATGAGTTTATTTTGTTAAGAAGTCTAATTGAAAACAGATTTCTCGAAATTTGATGAAATTCTCAATGAAAACAAGTTCTTTTCTAGGAATCTTTCTTGGAAAAGCCCAAAAACTTGAGCTCGAGGCCGTGTGAGAAAAAAAAATGAGAAAAAGGGAAAAGGGAAAAGGGAAATCGATTAAAAAGAGGGACCAATGAGAGGGGAAAGTCTGGATGAAATCGACAAAAAGAACACAACGCATTGAAGATATATACAGATGTATTTCGGAGTTTTGAATGTTTTTATAGAAAAACTATAAGCTCATGTTTCATTTCAATACCTAATACATAAAGAAAAGCATAAAAAGTGCTGCTAAAATGATTGTGGGACATTTGAGACGCGCCCCGCCCCTTTTCCTATTGGCGATTCAACTTTAAGCTCAAATTTCTTGGTGTTTCGCTGTTCAATTGAAATGTTCTTGATATCATTGGATTCGCCAAGTCTTTCTCTGTCGATTGATAGAAAAACTATTTCAATTGGACAGCCCAACACCGGACCACTGACAAAAGGGCGCGAGGCGTGTCAAATGTCCGCCCAGTCCCCTTTGCCATTAACAATCCAGCTTTAAGCTCAAATACCTTGGTGTACGGCTGTTCAATTGAAATAGTTTTTATACCAATCGACAGAGAAAGACTTGACGCATCTAATGATATTAAAAATATTTAAATTGGACAACCCAACATCAAGATATTTGAGCTTAAAGTTAGATTACCAATGGGACAAAGGGGTGAGGCGACGGATCTTTTATGCGCGCCTCGTCCCTTTGCCATTGGCAATCCAGCTTTAAGCTCAAATACCTTCGTGTACGGCTGTTCAATTGAAATAGTTTTTATACCAATCGACAGAGAAAGACTTGACGCATCTAGTGATATTAAAAATATTTAAATTAGACAACCCAACACCAAGATATTTGAGTTTAAAGTTAGATTGCCAATGGGAAGTTAGATTTTTTAAAGTTAGATTGCCATTGCCAAAAGGCGCATCAGATAACCTGAAGAAATAGTATTCGTAAATGAAACAAATTCAAAGCCTTTTTAGATATTTAAGCATAAAAAGTCTTCTTAAGGCTTAAGAATCGAAGTTGTGCGTTAATTTTGAGCAGTTTTTTTTAATTTCAGTTTTTTTTACCCTTTTTTGTCGTTTTTATACTATAAATATTAACAAAAGTTACAAGAAAAATTATTTTTTTAACATTTTTTACCCAATAGAAGCTTTTTTAGCGATGAATTTTGATTGAATTGTAGAAATAAATCTTTTTAAACAAAAGCATTAAACAAAGCAATCGTGCTATTGTGTTCAAGAATAGCTATAGCTTCAAGAATAGCTTTAAGAATAGCTTCAAGAATAGCTTAAAGTCTAATAGTAAATGTCGAATGTCGAGCGTTCGATCAAGAGTGAATCTCGAAAGCAAAGAGATTACAACAATGACATAAGTGAATGAAAGGGGGAAAAGGGCCGAGAGAAATGAAATGCAAAGTGTGCACGAGTTTGTCGAAAAGAGTCAAATCTTTTCGATGACAACTGTCTCGATCTCAAACTCAAACTCAGCCTCAATCTCACACCAAGACTTTTCGATCTTATTCCCAAAAACTCTTCGTTTAAACTTCCACTTTTAGTCAATCTCAATTTTATTGGGTTGGTGAATTGAAAAGGGGTTGATCATGCTGTAGCAATCATGCTGTAGCAATCATGCTGTAGCAATCATGCTGTAGCAATCATGCCGTAGCAATCATGCTGTAGCAATCTTACTGTAGCAATCATACTGTAGCAATCATGCCGTAGCAATCATGCTGTAGCAATCTTACTGTAGCAAACATGCTGTAGCAATCATGCTGTAGCAATCATGCTGTAGCAATCTTGCTGTAGCAATCTTGCTGTAGCAATCATGCTGTAGCAATCATGCTGTAGCAATCTTACTGTAGCAATCATGCTGTAGCAATCTTGCTGTAGCAATCTTGCTGTAGCAATCATGCTGTAGCAATCATGCTGTAGCAATGTGCTGTGCTAAGGCACCTTCATACCCTTGGATTTAAATCGAAACTTGGGGCTTGGGTGCCTCATGACCTCAATAACCCCCAGAAGTGGCAGCGCGCCTCGATCAGTCCCTCGTCCAACTCTCATAATACAAAAGGAAATCTTTTCTTTTTCGAATTGTGATAGCAGATGAAAATTGGGTTTTATCTGTGAACTTTCAGAGGACAACTGATCTCATCTCATCTCGATCTCAAACTCAAACTCAATCTCAACATCTCACACCAAGACTTTTCGATCTTATTCCCAAAAACTCTTCGTTTAAACGTTGCACAGTTGATCTCAATTTTAGAAAAAGATCTTTTAAATAAAGCATTCCTTGATCGTGATTAGATGCTGCAGCTTTACCCAGCATGCTGAGTAAAGCTGAGCCACAACGTATTGCATTCATTTTTTGGAAATTGGAGTAAACTGTTGTTGTTCTGATTGGTTTATAAGACTATAAGATAAGACAAAGGAGACATTTCTCTTTTAATGTGCTTTCTGGATTTGATCAGAAAGATCAGATTTATTTTTAAAGCTTTTTTAAGCGTTGCTAGAGCGTTGCAAAGTTGCGACACGTAAACTGTTGTTGTTCTGATTGGTTTATAAGACTATAAGATAAGACAAAGGCTATTTCGTCAACACAATGACACGCGGCGGAATGTTACAACAGAAGAGCTTTGATTAAACGGCTGTTAGGTGAGTACAGTAATTGTCAGAGTGACTGACAATTACCCCCACTCAGTTCACATTCTTCAGCTTAGCGAAGAGTCAATCAAGTCAACCTAATTCTTTTTTTATTATCAAATTCTAAATTTCTCTTTTAACGTGCTTTCTGGATTTGATCAGAAAGATCAGATTTGTTTTTAAAGCTTTTTTTAAGCGTTGCTAGAGCGTTGCAAAGTTGCGACACGTGTTTCCTGCGGCGGAAACGTGAATTTCTCATTTTTTAACTAGTTTTAATGGCTCAAAGTTGTTCTAAACAATAAGTAGAAATGCTTTAAAATGAATTTCTTGAAAAAAAAGGATAGCTCAGTCTAATTCTCATCTAAATGTCCGTCTAATTTTATTATTTTAAGCCTAACTTCAGATTTTTCTGAATAAGAAAGGAAGAAAAGCCAGACCAGATGAGACTTTTTCTTTGTCTTTACTACAAGACAAAGACTTTACTACTCTGAAACTACGATTTTCGGAATCTACGCGATTCCCCAGCACTCTATCATAAAGAAAAACAGCTTTGAAAATCAAAATGTCAAAATCAAAGTACTGAATTTTGAGTATCCCATCTTGTGCGCGCTGAAATGCGTCAAAAAATACCCTATTTCTAAACATTAATATTACCATTGTGTAGCCCTTGAAAAGAGCTTTCAGAAAATGTATAACACTAATAGTTTAAACGCAAAGACAAGGGAGTTCCAGAGGCGCGAAAGTGACGATCGTTTTTTCAAATATCATATTTCATTGTCCAGTACTGTAGAAGATTTAAAAAAAGCTCAGATTTTTTTTTTACTGGACACTACTGGACAATGAAATATCATATTTGAAAAAACTCTTTCGCACTTTCGCGCGTCTGTAACTTCCTTGTCTTTACCGTATTTCTAAATATTACTATTACCATTGTGTAGCCCTTGAAAAGAGCTTTCAGAAAATGTATAACACTAATAGTTTAAACTCGCTAAAAGGATTTTTCTGAAATTTTGGTTGTAGACTTAACTTTTTGTGGGCTATCTTTTTTATTTTGTCATTAAAATAGGTTTCATTGGATGAAACAGTTTAAATCACATCATCGGACCTTGTCGTTTTTGAACACTCGGCTTCTTGCTAATGAAAAACCTTCAAAACAAAGCTTTTCAGAAACTTTCAAAAGTCATTTGCAAGAGGAATGATTGGGCTATCTAATGAAAAAAAAAAACCGTATTCTTATTCAATTAGAAAATGAATTTGGGTGAAAAATTTAGTACTCAACCTAATAGCTCTATGCAATTTCATTTCCATTTCCTATTTATCGATCAGTTGAAAATCCAAAACTCTTTCCAAACTACACTACTGGACAATGAAATATGATATTTGAAAAAAAGATCGTCACTTTCGCGCGTCTATAACTCCCTTGTCTTTACCGAGTCTTTACTTGATTTCTGACTTGATTTCTGACTTGATTTCTGACGGAGCTCTGGTTTTGCCTTGTTCAACTTACCCTAGCTCCCTTATAGAAACTTCTTTGCAAATCGCACATTATCCACAAATGGGAGCGCAATTTTAATCGTCTTACTAGCATTTATACACTACTGGACAATGAAATATGATATTTGAAAAAAAGATCGTCACTTTCGCGCGTCTATAACTCCCTTGTCTTTACCGTATTTCTAAATATTAATATTACCATTGTGTAGCCCTTGAAAAGAGCTTTCAGAAAATGTATAACACTAATAGTTTAAACGCAAAGACAAGGGAGTTACAGACGCGCGAAAGTGACGATCGTTTTTCAAATATCATATTTCATTGTCCAGTACTGTATGTAAGAGCTTTACCCGGGTTTAAATTCGTCTTAAACATTCGTCTTGAGCTTTTTTTTCCCCTCGAAATCTCTGCTAATCAAGCTTTTCAAGTCTTAAGACTTGAAAAGCTTGATTAGCAGAGTCTTAAGACTTGAAAACACTGAAATTTTTGTGGAATTTCGCTAAAAATTGTTAAAAATTGTTAAAAATTGAGATTTTTTGATCAAAAATGATTAAGAAAAAACTTTTGAACAGATTTGAAATCAAAAAGAAAATTTTTTTGAGCAAATTTTGAGCAAAATGGAAATTTTTGAGTGAAAATACTCTTTCTCTCTTATCAATTTCAGCCTTTTCATCGAATTTATTCGTTCCAATGCAGAATTTGGCCTTTTCAAAACTAGAAAGTCAAAAATGAATAACGCTTTTGAATAGGAAAAGTTCGAAAAATGAAATTTGAATTTTTGAAATGAATCAGAAGTGATTATAGGAGAAGCAAGGCTTGGATTTCACTTTGAAGAATTCGCTTTTAGAAAGTAATCTTACTAAACTTGAAAAAGTTACGGTTAACTTGGGGATAAAAGCTTCGAGATCAAAGCGGTTTGAAATCAGAACTGATTATAGGACAATAAAGGCTTGGATTTCACTTTAAATTGTTTCATTTTCTAAAATCAATTTGTAGTAAATAAAGTAATAAAGTAATAAAGTAGTAAATAAAGTACAAATCTTGATATCCAACCTGCACTCTAAACTGCCATTATTTCTTGAGAAAACCGTCTGATCGGCTGACGAAGTAAAAGAGATATTGTAGAGATCACAGGCAAGCAGTGGGGTACCACCCCTGGAAAAGTTTTATGTAACAATTGTACAGATTGACTTGTACTGACTGACTTGTACTGGTTGACTTGTACTGATTGACTTGTACTGATTGACTTGTACTGGTTGACTTGTACTGGTTGACTTGTACTGTTTGACTTGTACTGATTGACTTGTACTGGTTGACTTGTACTCGTTGACTTGTACTGGTTGACTTGTACTGATTGACTTGTACTGATTTACTTGTACTGTTTGACTTGTACTGATTGACTTGTACTGATTTACTTGAACTGATTTACTTGTACTGGTTGACTTGTACTGGTTGACTTGTACTCGTTGACTTGTACTGGTTGACTTGTACTGGTTGACTTGTACTCGTTGACTTGTACTGGTTGACTTGTACTGACTGACTTGTACTGTTTGACTTGTACTGTTTGACTTGTACTGATTGACCTGTACTTAAAAACTTTCAAACTCACTTTATGACTTTTTCCAAACCGGGAATTGTCGCCGAAATGTTTGGGATGAGTTCACCTGAAAAAGATGCTTTAAAAACGGTGTTTATCGTACACGAACCAGCAATATCTGTTGCCATCCAGTCAGTTGGGTCAATAACGTGGTGAGAATGAAACTGAAAATGAAAGCACAATGAAAGATGAAAAAAGACGAAAAAAGACGATCTTTAGGGTTGATCAAAATCATTAAAAATGTAATGGTTCTTCTATTCTATGTAATATTCTATGCAATATTTATAATATTCTATGTAACACGCGCAGATTTTATGATTAATTCTTGTTTTTTAGCTTAGTTTTATCTTAGAAAGGCAAAAAGATGTATAGTTTATGAAATTGTTCAAAACATCTTCTACCTTTTCCAAATGCAAATCAACATATGGCTGCCCGCCAAAGCAGCACAATATCAACAGCGCCTCCATCGCTGAATCGACGAAAATCGGGAAAGGGAGGTATTTTCTGAAATCAAAAATATCAAATAAAATAGAATCTAGAAATAAAATAGAAGAAATATTGAAGAATTAGCTTTTAGAAAGTACTAAAGTACTTATTAAACTTGAAAAAGTTACGGTTGACTTGCAGATAAAAGCTTGGAGATCAAAGCGGTTTGAAATCAGAAGTGATCAGTCAGCGAGTACAAGTCAACGAGTACAAGTCAATCAGTACAAGTCAACGAGTACAAGTCAACGAGTACAATTCAACCAGTACAAGTCAATCAGGACAATTCAACCAGTACAAATCAACCAGTACAAGTCAATCAGTACATTCAACGAGTACAATTCAACCAGTACAAGTCAATCAGGACAATTCAACCAGTACAAATCAACCAGTACAAGTCAATCAGTACATTCAACGAGTACAATTCAACCAGTACAAGTCAATCAGGACAAGTCAATGAGTACAAGTCAACCAGTACAATTCAACCAGTACAAATCAACCAGTACAAGTCAATCAGGACAAGTCAATGAGTACAAGTCAACCAGTACAAGTCAACCAGTACAAGTCAACCAGTACAAATCAACCAGTACAAATCAACCAGTACAAATCAACCAGTACAAGTCAACCAGTACAAGTCAACCAATACAAATCAACCAGTACAGGTCAACCAGTACAAGTAAATCATTGTAACCCAAACAGCCTACAGCTTGATTTCTTTGAAAATAAAATTTAAAGATCTTCAAATTGTTAAGGGTTTTAAAATACGAAAGTTTTTTTGGAGAACAAGGCTCAGTAATTAGGGACTAGAGGCGGTCCCCAGTCTCCATCAAAAGTGAAATGAGCAAAAGAAATAAAGACTTCAAAAATGGCAAAAATGGCAGCAATTGTCTTCAAAAAAAGAACAAAAAGAATAGCAAATGTTTGAAAAAAACTCAAAAGCAATTGATCGAATCACTTTGGTTTAACTTGATTTCATGTTGAAGAGCTTAATAAGCAATAAGCTATTTGGTTAGCCTTAACAAGCTTAAGCAACCATGATACCATTCGAATCTAGGCCGAATTTTTTTGAGAATTTGAAAGCAGAAAGCAATTGCTTTATCTGATTTGTGCTCTAATTTATAAAGAAAAGAGACGAAGATTTTCTTTAGCGGAGATCTACCACAAATTCTCATCCACAACTCTCTCCCTTTTTTCTCCTCTCAATCCTCGGTTCACTTACCCCATTCCCTTTTTACCAAAAAAAGGCAGAGAAATTTGAGTCGACAGAAAATTGCATATCAGATTACAAAGAAAGAAGAAAAGGGAGAAGAGAGAAGGAAGAAGAAAAGGAAGAGGAAAAGGAAGAGGAAGAGAAAGAAGGAAAATCCTTCCAACAAAAAGACATGGCTCATTGGGGAATGGGAAGCGAGAGCTCTTCATTGACCTCATCTAACGATTGTGAAGGGAAATCTCCCAGATTTGTTTTGAATTCTAGGTTTTTATTTTTTTTATTGATTAGGAATAAGGCTTCCAATACGGTTTCAATACGGTTCTTTTTTTGATACAATACGGTTCTAATACGGTTCCAATCTGGTTCCAATACGGTTCTAATAAGGTTCTAATACGGTTCTAATACGGTTCTAATACGGTTCCAATACAATTCCAATACGGTTCCAATACGGTTCCAATACGGTTCCAATACGGTTCCAATACGATTCCAATACGGCTCTAATACGGCTCCAATACGATTCCAATACGGTTCCAATACGATTCCAATACGGTTCCAATACGATTCCAATACGGCTCTAATACGGCTCCAATACGATTCCAATACGGTTCCAATACGGTTCCAATACGGTTCCAATACGATTCCAATACGGCTCTAATACGGCTCCAATACGATTCCAATACGGTTCCAATACGGTTCCAATACGGTTCCAATACGATTCCAATACGGCTCTAATACGGCTCCAATACGATTCCAATACGGTTCCAATACGATTCCAATACGGTTCCAATACGATTCCAATACGGCTCTAATACGGCTCCAATACGATTCCAATACGGTTCCAATACGGTTCCAATACGGTTCCAATACGATTCCAATACGGCTCTAATACGGCTCCAATACGATTCCAATACGGTTCCAATACGATTCCAATACGGTTCCAATACGGTTCCAATACGATTCCAATACGGTTCTAATAAGGTTCTAATACGGTTCTAATACGGTTCTAATACGGTTCCAATACAATTCCAATACGGTCCCAATACGGTTCCAATACGATTCCAATACGGTTCTAATACGGTTCCATTTTTCACCAATACGGTTCCAAGCTAATTTATAAGTTTTATAAGCAATCTATTCGTTTACCAATAGAAAAGAGTTGGCAAGATTAGACCAAGATCATAATCATGATCAGCCAAAGTGATCAAGCTATAGAAAAACTCTTAAAGTGTCACGGACGATCTAATACTAATTTAAAAGCTTTATAAGCAATTTATTGGTTTATCAATAGAAAAGAGTTGGCAAGATTAGATCAAGATTGTGATCGTCACCAAGATCATCAGCATCAGCAGTCAGGCTATAGAAAAACTCTCAAAGTCGAAAACCGACAATCGAAAAAAATCACAAAAATCTTATCAAAAAGAAAAGAAATTAAATAAAACTTAAGAAATGAATCTTTACGAGATTTTGAATGAGAAAAAGCTCTAGAATTCCCAAAGATGTCCCCATTTTTTTCCCCAAAACACCATATCAAGACGAAAGAAAGGGAAAAATCATTGGTCCCTTGGGGATTTTTTTGAAGAGATTTATCGATAAATGAAAGAAAGAGTCAACCATTTTGAGAATAAATAACCTATTTCAATCTTTTCCTATCTTTTATAGCCTTTTTTTTGAATTCACCTATAAATTTGAAACTTTTTCCCGAAAGGAAACAATTGTTTTTGGTCCTTTTGGCCCTTTTGGCCCTTTTGGCCCTTTTGACCGCTTTCCTCAGAATTTCTTTTTTAAAGTAAGAAATTGATATTGATATTGATATTGAAATAGTTCAAAATCTTAAAGAAAAAATCCACTTAACTAGAATTCTTATTATATAAAAGCTTCCGCAATTTCATCTTCAAGAAAGTTTCCCGAACTTCAACTCTGATAGTGAGCTCTAAATTGTGCCAGCTACCAGGCTTGACATTAAAGGTCAAGTCAAGTGTCAAGCCTTTAATGATAAGTCATTAAAGGCTTGACAAGCAAATGTTTGTGAAGTTCTCCTTCACATAGACAGATATCCTTGCCAACTTGACGATATCCTGTTGAGATTACAAGGAATTCTCCGCGATGTCGCCCAACGTCGACCCTCGAGTAGCCCCGGCACAAACGAGAGGCTTTCTCTTTGTGAGTAGATGTTTGTAGATGAATTACAAGCAACATGGGGCGCGAGATGTTTCCATCCATCCAGTTACAAGTCCCGCATCTTTTAGTTTCCCGATGTTTAATCTTCCTTAGTGTCTCTTCGAGTCCATAGAGGTAGAACGACATCGCTATCGGCTTCGGCGTTCATCTCGTCATCAGTGTTTGCATTATTGCTGGTAGTTTCTTTTTGGTGGTTCGACGCCTGTTCGCCAATCGACAGCTAGCAGGCCGTCTCAGCTCTAGCAGCTCAGCAAAGCACAGACTTCTGCGTCACTGGGCCAACATCTCTGCCATTTCAGTCGGACCCTCAGTAGATGGATAAAATGTAAACTTTAAAAGAAAAAAAAAAGTTTGAAGTAACAGGAATCCTCTGCAAGAACTGATGACACTTTTTTTTGTTATTTCTTTCTTGCACGTGTTCAAGGGAAAAAAATTATCGAGTTTCCCTTTCTGCAATCTTAGAAAGTAGAGAAAAAAGAGGGAAATTGCAAATTGGTGCCTGCGAAACGCGTTTGCTTGATGTCGTTTGTTTCGGCGAGGAAAAACGGCTGTTTTTTTGGGATTTTTGGGATTTTTTTGAAACTGGTTTCGATTCAATTCAAAATATGCTATTTGCAATTCATAGAATGACTAGATTAAAGAAGTTACCCAGTTAAAAGTTAGCCAAAAGCTAACTGAAGGTAACTGGAGGTAACTGGAGGTAACTGGAGGTAACTGGAGGTAACTGGAGGTAACTGAAGCTAACTAAAGCTAACTGGAGGTAACTGGAGGTAACTGAAGCTAACTAAAGCTAACTGGAGGTAACTGGAGGTAACTGAAGCTAACTAAAGCTAACTGAAGCTAACTGACGCTAACTGAAGCTAACTGAAGCTAACTGAAGCTAATTGAAGCTAACTGAAGCTAACTGAAGCTAACTGAAGCTAACTGAAGCTAATTGAAGCTAACTGAAGCTAACTGAAGCTATTGAGCTAACTGAAGCTAACGAAGCTAACTGAAGCTAACTGAGCTAACGAAGCTAATTGAGCTAACTGAAGCTAACTGAAGCTAATTGAAGCTAACTGAAGCCAATGAAGCTAACTGAAGCTAACTGAAGCTAACTGAAGCTAATTGAAGCTAACTGAAGCTAATTGAAGCTAACTGAAGCTAACTGAAGCTAACTGAAGCTAACTAAAGCTAACTGAATACCTTTTTCCCCTCGCTGAACACTAAAAATTGAAGATTCGTTACGAGAAAAGGAGAAAAATGATGAAAATACATCAAGAAATTGAATATTCGAATCATTAAATAGGAAGATTCAGTGGAAATGAGTGAATAGAGGGAAATGGGGAAAAGAATGGGGATAATTCCAAGGTTCAGCCGGGAGAAGGCACTCCTCCCTCAAAGCCCATCTTACAACGATTTTTGATCAATGAGGAAAAAAAGTAATTGAGAATTCTTAGACGCAATAGTAGTGATATTATGTAGTTCTATTTCCATTGTGAATCGATACAGGCCTAATACGGTTATTTTAAACCCAGATCAAGCTGAAGCCAGGTCCTTAACCTGGCATTATTCTAAAGGATATTTCTCCGGCAAAACCTGACCGGCAAAACCTGA